TTATTTTTTATTTTTACTAATCTAACATCACCTAAATTATAAGATAATACAAGTTTTTTAATGTCTAGTGGTAAATCATAAAATAACATAATATATTTAAATCTTTATTTTATTTTAAATGCTTTTTCAAATCTAACATAAAACATATTATTAACATCTTTGGAATTCATATTAACATAAAAGAAGGAGTATGGCTTACCATCTACCGCTTTATGATACATATTTAACAGTTGCTCTTTATCAACGATGGCCGAGTTTTCCTCAATGAATGACATTAACTCTGATACATTCTTTAACTTAAAGATATACAACGAACTAGAATTCAACCTAATGATTGGTGCTAGGACACGATATTTTTGAACGCTTAAACAAAAACTAATGGCGTCGTGCCTGCCTCTCGTTGCCAGTCCATGAAGTAACTTACTATATCTAACAAATTTAGGGTCGTCTGCAAAATCATCAACTATGATTAAAATTGAATGTAGTTTCTTCATCTTCTGTTCTTTCATATAATGAATTATCTTTCTTTGTGTGTTAATTATTTCTTCCAGTTCTTCAGGTTGGTAGGTGTCATAATATAACTTTTCTTTTTCATCATCAACCTTCATATTATCTTTTTGATATTTCTTGACTTCAACGAAGGTAGGGTCATTATGAACCGACGGGCTAAAAATGAATATACGGGCGAAGCAGTCCCTATAAACATTTAGGATAAGGTTTTGAATTAAAACTGTTTTGCCACCCGTTGATGAAGCAACAACTAATTGAGCGAAAAGGTAGTTTTGGCACATGTTCATATTTAGATTGTTTGAAATCGTAATCAGTTATATTTATTGGTTTTATTATTGGAACATCAGACATAATAAAATAATATTAAAGTTATTTAGAAAATATTTTATATTTATTATTTTATATGAATAGAAGTTATTCGGATTATATTGATATAATAGATAAAGTAGAAAATATAGAACAAGTTGTTATAACCGATAATAGATTTAAGAAAGTATGCTATTTTGTTTTAGAATTAATTAAGTTTGTGATACAATATATTAAAAATATAAATATTAATATAGATGGGGAGAAAGAAAAAGAATAAGACAGAATCAGTTGTTTCTTCAACTGATGAAGAAAAAGAAGAAATTGTTAAAGAAACATCAGTTATTGAGTTTGCTTGTCCAATGTGCAAAAAAATCTTAGAAATGAAAAATGAATTAGAAATACAAAAGAAAGGAAACTGTAAATGTTCGTGTATTCCGACAAGTTTCAAAATAAGTAGAAATGATAAGAAAATGAATATTGATAAAACTAAAGACAGTATAAACTTAGAAACAGATGTTCATAATATTGCTATACGATTTGGGTGGGGAGTTACTCCATCAGATAATGGTGATAAGGAAACTCAGGAAACTGTTAAACAAATAATGAAAAATTAGTATTTAAAGAGTAGATTTAACATAATTGCAACATTTAGTTTTAAAAGTTTAGTTTTATAATTTAGTATATATGGAGGAACATTTAGCGAACATTGACAGTAGTTTAGAGTTGTTGTTTCCAAGATTAGAAAAAGTGTTGGAGCAAAATGAAAACATACTGAAAATCTTAAAGAGCTTGAATATTAAACCTACATATGATAACAATAACAATTATCAAGCAAAAGAAGTAGATAGAGACAGTAGCGAATACAAAAATAAACGAAACATTTATGTTAAAAAACTGAATGAAAAAATCATAAAAGAACCTAAACAATCAAGTCTGGATTACTATCAAGTCAAGTATAAAGAAGATACCAAGAAATACGTTTAATCATTAACTAACAAAATTTCGTGTCTCAAAAGCGGTTTGTTTATTCCTGCTACTTTGTAAGTTTTATTACCCATAATATCATATTCAATTTTATCAATATTGAATATTTTATTAGACCATTTAGAGTTATACTCCTTTCTGTCGGTGTAATTACCCCTTTTCTTTTGGAACACTTTTACCTTGTCGTTCTCCTCTATTTTGGGATACTTTCTTTTGTTTTTTTCTCGTAGTTTAAGATTGACCTTTACATTTATTTCATTGTCGTCCTTGTGTGCTTCAGACGGCGCCATCCTTGTTGATGAGTGAGATGTGCTGTTATACTGTTTCAATGCTTGCGTTAGGGCATCGGTCCATTTCATGTTGTTAAACCTAACTCTATCGTGAATTTTGTTTTTCATCGTTCTAATAAAACGCTCGGCCACATTTGCGTGGGTCTTCGTGACGATGTGGTTTATTCCTTCACTGTTGAAGAAATCCTGAACTTGATTTTTAGTTGCAAACGCTCCGTCGTCATCAGAATACACGGACATCGGATAACCCATCTTTTTAAAGCTTGCTCTCAACGCCTTCAAAACGTGCTCTCCGTCTCTTTCCTCCATCGGTATTACATCTGCTAATTTACTGAAGATGTCAATCACGACTAAAGCATACTGTGGAACGTTCTTGTCTTTTGCTAAAGGTGACATATGCATTATGTCTATTTGATATTCATATCGTGCGAATGGAGCGGTATAGGAATTAGTACCTCTATAATTTTTGATTTGTTTATTTGGTTGTTTCTTTAAGAAAGACTTTACATCGTCTATTGTTATTGTTGGGTCTTCTTCCTTTGCCTTCTTGTGTGTCGCTTGTGTACTTCCGAAACCCTCGTCTAAGTCGTAATAGATGTTGCTGATTATTTGGTCTTTTGTTAATCTCGCCATTATATTAAATTGATAGAAAATATTTTTTCAATATAAAGCCCCACCCCTTAACATAAAATAACAAAACTACTTAAAGAAATATTAACTTATTATATTAAGTGAAAATTATGGCTGAAATAAGATTAGATGACTTGAATTTAGAAAATGTCGGAGTGATTGCTGACTTATCAAACTTGGTGCTATCAGACGAAGAAGATGATGATAATGACAGTTATAAAAAGGAATTAGATGAAGAGTTAAACAAAATAAAGGATTTCATCAAAAGACACCCTTTGCCACCAGTTGATGAAAACGAAGAATTCTGGAAAGATGTCATTAGCAGGTTTAGGGATAATAGCGGATTAAACTTGATGGCGATATACTCATTTGTTAGGTTTGACATCATGAAAGAAATGTATGAAAACCTAACAGATGAAGACATCATAAAAGACTGTGGTAAAAAGTTAAACCGAGATGGAAAGTTTAATGCAATGATTATTAACCACTATATCTTATCAGGAGCGATACGGAAACTAAACAAAGAAGACAGTCTAGTAGATGGACAGATGCGAATTATTGAATTCTGGTGGGATGGAATAGGTGGATGGAAAGCGTGAGTGATTTAGTTTAATGATATTATTCAATTCTAATATGATTAAACCTAGTTTTTATAATCTAACAACAAGGTTAAGACATTTAAATTAAACCTGAAACCCAGACCAGCCGACCAGCAACCCCCTAGCCAAAACTACTTAAAGAAATATTACCTTATATATTAAGAGAAAAATGAACGGTGATGGAATCAATAATTATATCGATAAAAAATGCTATGATTGTTGTCACTTCAAAAAAGAAAATATGGAATTGTATAAATTGAGTTTACCTAATGAAATAGTGAATAATATTATTAATTATTCAATGGATGGTGAAGAAGACATATGTAAAAATTGTAAAACATGGAGAGATAATCAATTTTTAATCAAATGTCTGTTGGGAATAAAAAGAATACATAATAGAAATGTAGAAGATGATATTTTAATATTTCTAACTATAAATAAAATACCACCTTACGATTGTGTTAAACAATTTCTTAAAATCAGTAAGAAAAAATATGAAATGATTGATGATATATTATGGATGTTGGGTTATAGTCAAGAGAAAGGAGAAGATGTTAAAGAAAATATCAAATTATTTATTGAAAGTAAAAAGTTTAATGTTCAGAATACAGTGAGAGATGTTAATATTATTTTTAAAATGATGTATGAAAGAAGTAAGACAAACCAATTAGATTATTATCCTGAACTGAAATTATAATCATAATATAATAATAACATGTAAAATCTTATATGTTATAATTATACTGAACTTTTAACCTATAAAACCCCTTAAACTTATCTAAATAAATAACCCCTTAAACATATAGAGACCAATGACAGACAAAAAGCAATGTTCCAAATGTAAAGTCTTTCAATTGTTAGAAAAGTTCAACGAGGGAAGAAAACAATGTAATGTATGCTTGGAGAGCAAACAACGGTATAGAGAAGCACACAAAGAACAAATACAGCAAAAGTCAAAGGAGTATTACGAAAACAACAAAGAGCAGAGTGTAGAGAAGAAAAAGACATATAGAGAGAATAACAAAGACACTATACTGGAAAAGAACAAGATTTATCGTGAAAAGCATAAAGACGAAATAAAGCAAAACTCAAAAGAATATAGAGAAAAGAACAAAGAAGACACAAATGAAAAACAGAAAGACTATAACCAATTGAAAGTAGAATGTCCTTTATGTAAATGTATGGTAGGAAAATACAAAATGAAAAAACACCAACAAACAAGTAAGCACCAACTAAGAGTGAAAGGTCAAGAAAACAATAACGATACTGTGAGAGATTACATGGAAACAACAAGTGACTTTGAACAAGAATAGGAATAAACAAATGAACCACCAACACCCCAGAACATAATAACTACTAAAAGGGCTAACTCTTTCAAATGAAAAAAATGTCGGCCCCTAGAAAATCCACCCCTAACACCCTACAACAAAATATAGGATGAAATGAAACAAGGGTGTTAAAACGTTGGATAACAACATTTGACCCAATAACCCCTACACTCCTCCCTCTTTCCCCCAGGCCCCCCCTTTTCCCCCCCCCCCTCCCCCTCAAAAAAAAGGCAAAAAGCAAAACAACAACCACAACCAAAACAACCACAACAATAAAGGAAAGCAAACACACAAACAAAACCACGGCACACCAGAGCCCTTCCGAAGTCTCCCCTCCCGGAAGCGGGCAGGTGCACAAGCGGGCGCTGGAGGGCGTGGCTGCGTGGCGTGGGACCCGGAGAACCCCTGTTGCCTGGAAGGATGGCGAGGCCGAAAATTTTGAACAAACAAAACAGCAAATCACGTTTTTGCCATCTTGGTGGAGTGGGGCCTGCATGGGGCTTTACAGCCATTGTAGAACCAAATGGGTTTGCGGCGCTCAATTGGGTAAAAGTAGATGCCACATGTCCCCAAATGGTTTTATCCTCTGCGAAAGAAAGGGGATTGTCACTTTCGCTTTGGTGTAAGTTAAGGGGATTTCATGTGGTGTGAGTTTCGACTATTGGTGGGATGTCGTGGATGGAAATATGGGTAGGCCTGTACTCTTTGTGGTGAAGATTCGCGGCAGATTCTAGCGACCTTGTCAAGGAATTGGCTTGTGACCGAAAGCCAATGCGGATTCTTTATTTGGGGATTCCTTTGTCGGGTGTGTAAGCTGCGCACATTGTTGGTTTGGGGATTTGAACCGCTGGTTCTTATTTCCAAATGAGGAAGCAACAAGTAACCTACTGCCCGAGTTCCAGAACTTCATTGTCGGGAGAACCGCGAACCGCCCTAGTGGCCAACAACAAGCACCCCCCGCAAATTGGCATGGAATGCTCGCAAGGGTTGGATCCAAACCCTGGTTGGTTTTGATTGGGGGTTCAACAGCATGGTAGAGGGGGTCCACAGAAAGAGACATTTCCACAGTCAAACTTTCAGTGACACATGTCACAAATCCCTGTAAACTCTCAAAGTCTAAAGGTCTTAAGGGTATGACTGGGAACCGCCAAGTCCAATAGTTCCATGCATTCACATGGACTGGATGATGCCACAATCAGGAACCCAGGTCCCTTAAGCTTACAACTTGGGCCATGCCCTTGAGACTGAGAGTTTACTGTGATTTGTGACGAGTGTCACTCAAAGTTTCAACCTTTAGCCAGGGAAATCAGCCGGCCAAGCGCAATTTGCCCGGAAGGTCCAAATCTCGCCGAAAGTCTCAGGTGCGTCTACGTGGCTGGGGGTCTTTGCATGCCCTCCGGCATCCAGAAGAGCCAGCTGAAGGACGACCCACGTCATAGGCCAAACAGTCCCCCAGCTGGGGTTCCTTGCACAAATCCGGGGCGCTGGTGTGACAGGAATTTTTTATTAACGATTCCGGGTGCTTTCAGTGGGGGATGTTTAAGAGCAGGGAACCCTGTATTTGTGCAGGCGGAGCTGCCAAATTTGCAGTGTCAGAGCATCTTGAAATAGGCGCCTAATCCGGGTCTGATTTTTGCCTTGCGATGCTACATATCTAGCGTACGTATACACCACCTAAACCGACAAAGCGTTGATGTGTTGCAACTATGCCAACAAGTCCGAAATAACCAGGCTTCAATCATTTGGGAGCTGCATGGCAAGTCAAACAACGCATGCAGCTGAGTGCCTGCATGTGTAGCTCTGCTCGTCTCAAAGCTTTTGATAGTTTTGGTACCTTGGAACACAATGCGACCGTGCCCTGCTGGATTAGGGCTCCTTAAAAGATAGATTTTGCCCATTTGAAACATGGCTTCTTCCACCAAAAGAAAGGGAACCCACCATTTACAAGGCAATGTTCAGGTGTATAATGTAAGGATCCCTGTGGATCATGCAAGGAGCGCCCACGTAAGGCTAGCTTGCATATATACACTTGGCAGGTGAGAACTAAGACTGCCAACCAAACCCAAGAGCAAATACGAGACATGCACATCGTGCGGCCCTTGGCTTCCGATTTCCTCCTTTAGCCACGGGCCGCATGCCACAGGAGGAGGTCCCCGCCTTGCCTCCCTTCCTCAGGTTCCCTGGCGAGGGCACCTGAGGCTCCCAGAAGTTGCTTTGACTTGTAGGGTTGACTGAACATGAAACAGAATCATGATAATATATATATATATATTGTTCGCCCCCCAGAGTTGGGCCAAGTGGAATTTGGGGCACTTTGGTTGCACATAGACACTTTGGTCCTAATTTGCAGCCCCCAAGTCCCGCACGAGATGTACCACAAAGGCGTGTTTTTCTCAGCAGCTGCAAGCTATGGGGATGTTTGCCCACATAGCCTCTGGGATGGTTTGCAGCTTTCATGGAGGGTTCCAAAGGAGGGTTTCAGGGGGGGGATACGACATGGGCTTTTGGTTTTTGGTCGCGAGGATGTGGCCACCAACATCGATGAGAATGTCAACCGGCCTCTTCCGAAGCTCTTTGCAGAGGCTCGTCGCTTTTTTTTGAGAGACCAAGCAATCTTTGGGGTTTCCACCAAAAAAAAGGAAGAGCAAGATGTTGGTTCCCGAGCAAAGAGCACCAAGACTTTGCCCCGCCAAATTTAGGACACGCCACAATGGAACACACCATTAAAAGATGGACCAAGCCGCAATTCTAGAACATCGGTTCTGTGTCCCTTCGGTTTACCGACGAACTTCTATTGTGCTGATCGGCGTTTTCAGAGAAACACTGAGGAGATGGATTCCCATTTTTTGATTGTCTCGAGGTACACTTGAAGCCGTTAGTGGATTCTTTCAAGAGGGGGAATCCTCGGGTTTGATGCCTTGCGGTTTTCTTGGCTCTCTTTTGAGAGATCCACATGCATATAGTATGTATATATATATATAGATACATACACATGCTTTAAGGTTAAACATGTCCTAGTTGGGGGGTCAAAGCTGTGGCAGCTTTGAGTACACACATGGCTGAAAAGGGCACCCGTTGGTTTGAGTCTGCCTCGATCAAAAGCGCAAGCCTCTCCGAGCGGTGGCAAAAGGCTTGGTTGCCCCTCGCCCGCCACCCCCTGGTGGACATGAGTTCGCCATGTCCTACCAACCGTGTTTGGACCAGTAGTTATTTGTCAACCTTTAAAAGTTGCCATGCAGAACAGGACTTGCAAAGAAAAACCTCTGGCTGGTGCTAGGGACCAATTCCTTCAGGCAGCTGGTTTCCTTTTGGTTTCCCCTAAAACGATCCCAACAGGGGAACCAGAGTGCCACGTTTTGATATCTCAAACTAGACTGCAACAATTTGAACCAAGCCCTGGGTTTAAGTCTGGTTGGGGCTTTCAAACAATGGGACCCCTGTTTTGAGAAACACGCCTTCAAAGGCGCTACTCCTGCGGACCATGGAGTCTCTGAGCGAGCACATCTTGCATTGCCCCAAAGCTCAGAACAGATCTCTCCGACCGGCAGGGTGCCATGTGTCAAAAATTTAGAGGCCAAGGATGGGTGGTTGTCGTGGTTGTCTTTCTGACTTCCCTTGAAAGAAACACCTCAAAAGGGACCCGTACTCTCAAACAAGACGCACTCAAATTGGACCCATCACTTTGTCAGGTGGAACCCTGTGTTTGAGTACCGAAGGCAGATGGTGTGTGACTTTCTGACTGGTAGCTGGGGTTTGGGAAAAACATGTTTTGGCCTCGAGGAAGCGCCAACTCCAGCGAAGCGGGACTGGAAGCCGACAGGACCCCCTTTGGTGGACGATGTTACTGTGGAATGTCCTTCTATAGGAGCTTTGTTGACATCCTTTTATATATTAAGGTTCACAAACACGTGGACCCAACCCGAACAATGACATTCTCTTGCCCGGGGCAAGCACTGAGGCAGCCAAAAGGACGGCAGCTTTGACATTTAAACTTTGGCCGTTCCAAAGTTTTGTGGACTAATAAAGTAGTGGAGCAGCCGCACATTATTTAAATGGGGTACTCTTACACCTTGAACACGAACAGTTAGTCTCTGATCTTATTCTTAGGTTAACTTAGGTTTGTCCTTTTTCCAAAAGCTCAACCCTTTTCTGATTGCATCCATTTTGTGGAGTTGTTGTCACGCGCTCTCTGGCGGATCAGATTGTCCCAAAAACATGCGGCTATGAATTCCAATGAAAAAACACCCTCCGAAATAGTTGGTAGACAAATCTCACTTGAAATCCATACCCATTTGGGAAAGGTGTCATTCCTCACCGTTCCCGTTCGTGTTTGGGACTTCATTGTCTCTGGACTGCATTCTTGAGGGTGTTTGTGGTGCCAACCCTCAGGCTCCCAGTTGCAAAGCATTTGCTGAAGATGTTGTCTGATTCGATTTGAGAACCTGCATAACCATATGGAGCTAGTCAGGTGCTGATGGCATGCCTCCAAGCCATGGACCCTGATTTTGTTCTCAGGGGACGCGATTGGGAGCATGGCGAGGCCCGGAGCGCTTGGCCTTTCTGTACTTCAAGATCTTGGTGGCTTCAAAGGCGACTTGACGAGCTCGAGGGGTCGCACTGTCGTCTTTCTTAGACAAGCGAAGGATAGCGAAGGGTGGGGGGGGGTCTTCTTGGCTGATGCTCAAGGCTGCAGAGCTCAGAGCTCACCAAGGCACCACTGCACTGTTCAAAGTCTTTGGCAGGTTGCTAGACTCTCCACAGAACAGGGATCAAGATTGCTCGTCAACCTGACTCGAACACCGCTTCTTTCAAATGAGATACTAGTCTTTGCTTTGCTTTTCGTAAAGGCACATCTACCACTCAACCACAGCGTTTCAGGAACACCGACTTGTAGCCAGTTTCGTCTCAGAGCATCCTACAGCCAGTTCAGAGAACACACGGATACTCTGAATAAGATTCTGAAACACAACTACCACGCTTCAATGGGTATGTGTCAAGATAGGGAGCCGAAAAGGTACCCTCAAGAAGCATGGGCCCTTTTAGGCTCCTAGTTGCCTCGATGTTGATCTGCCAGGGTGCGAGTTCTCCATCTCCCTTCTCGACAGGAAGAGTGCGGGGACGATGACAACGTGCCGGCGCACTTCATCATCGATCTGGAGACTTTGCAGGAGCTCAGGGGTGAGACTTGATGCTGTAGCAACTTTTCTTCTAGCTCTGTGCATGACCTTTGCAGAGCCACCATTGCATTGCAGTATGAAGCTTGCAAGCCTTTTGAAGGTGGTTGTGTCGATGCAAACAGGAGGTTTCTTCATGAATCTGGGGTCTTGTCCAAAGTTACTTCAAAGTTTGTAGACCAAAATTTAAACAGCATCTGAACCCCAGATTTGAGCCAAGGATTTCGTTCAGGTTCCAGATTATTTCTCAGAGTCCACTGGAGGCTGCTCTGATGTCAGGATGGCTTGGACCAGATGCAGTTCCACTCCAATCCCTATGAGTGGGCAAGGCGGGCTTTTTGCCTAGTGGGCTTGTCTCGAAGTTGGGGCCCTTTACCTTTTGATCTCCTTTCAAACCAACCCACAAGAAGAGCCACCCCAATGGTGCCAGCAGTGCTATGCAGACTTTCCAGCTATGGTTGCATTTTTTGGAAAGCTAACGGGAAAACGCAAGTTTTGGGGCTCCCGCAGTTGACGCCTCATCTACTTGCCTGGTCAAGGCACCCTTTTCGCTGTCTCTCTGAGGGCAAGGATGGATTTTAACGGCGAATTCCCTCAAAAGTGTAGTGGTTGGTGGACACAAAGTCCCGCCTAAATGATGTCCTGTCAGCGGCCGCCACTTCAATTTCAAGCCCATGACCCGAGGGAGTTTCCATCCTACTTCCAAGAGTGCTTCAACCCACAGAGATACAGCCCGGCCCATCAATGCGACATCCTCAAATTCATAATCTTTTCTGGGGCTTCCCCCCCCCCCCCTAGGTAAAAACACAAGAAGAAGAAGAAGAAGAAGAAGAAGAAGAAGAAGAAGAAGAAGAAGAAGAAGAAGAAGAAGAAGAAACAGAGGAAGAAGAAGAAGGAGAAGGAGAGGGCGAAGAAGAAGAAGAAGAAGAAGAAGAAGAAGTAACGCTGACGAGCCCTGAAAATGCAACCGCTTGAAGACCCGTTTTAATGCGTCTCTGCCGACGCCCGGTGCATGCCCAGGATGCCCAATGGAAAGCAGTCGCTGGGGATCAACTTCGATGACATCAACGAGTGTCATGCCCCCAGCCAAAGCTCTTCACCTCCTGTGGTGTGTTTTTTGAGGGAACAAAGTGGGCTGGTTTGGAAAGCCGACAGGAAAACCTGCATGTTGTTGGCTCCCCTAGTCTCATACCCTGTGGGAGGCCTTGGCAGCTGCTACCTACACCTCACATAGTCGACTTCCGATCTCATTCGGGAGACAAGATGAAAGATGGCATTGTCTTTTACCTCGTCCAATTGCCAAAGTGCGACTCACAGTAAGTGATCCCCGTTTTGGGTGGTGATTACATGGGAACCCAAAAGAAGAAAACCATGCAGGCATTGTCAGGGGTGCTCAAGCGTGGCTGTCCACCAAAAGGCCCGCAATTAAAACGCATACCTCAATATACGCTTTTAGCCGACTTGTGCGGCGATGCGGACCGCTTGGGTGCTTCGAGCTTGAAATGCATCAGTTTAAGAGGTACTCCCTCTATGGGGAACCCCTTCTGCAAAAACGGGGTGGTTCCCTATGGTGCAACAGACACCTCCACTGCGACGCTCACATCGTCTCACTGCCCTCCGTGACTTTGCCCAAGACCCTTCGGGTGTGCCAGGGGGGAAACCACCTGCTTCGGGGTGCTTCCATGTAGAGACAAAGCTCATATGCTTGAAATTTAAATGGAGAAGCGCCCTAAAGTTTGGGCATGTTTCAACATCGTGGGCCCCCCAAGCAGGTTGGGTTCCTCTCGGCTTCCAATTTCCAAACAGGTCAGAAGCCATTTTTAGTTTCCCACCTTTGTTTTGCGCTTTTCGTTTCCAGGGAAACAAAAGGGAGACACGGGTCCCTCGCGCGGATTTTCCTCCACCGGTCGGCTCGGCTGAGGTGGCATCCAGTGCAGAGAGGAGGTTGTGAAGACGCCCCTTGGAAGCGATTCAATCCGATTGGATCAGGCAGCCGAATAGAATATTGGCCTTTTGGTGTGGTCCAACTTCGACAGAGTAGTTGGTTTCCCTTTCAACCAAGCAGAAGAGTTGATTGCGGAATAGTTGGCCTTGGTTTTTGGTTTCAACGGGGAACCACCTCAAAATTAGTTGGTGTCCACCAAAGTTCATACCATTCGAGAGCCGTTATGAAATACTATCAAGCCAAGCTACCAGATGGGATAATGCCTATGCCCATGATTATCGACGGAGTTGTCCTACATGGATTATCTACGGTGGGTGAGGACAATTCATTTTGGCTCCGATGTGCTGTTCTCGGAAACAGTCCGAATGGCGCCAGCTACGGCCGCATCGGGTGCCTGATGGTTCCTGTATGTTGGACCGAGTCCAAATATTGCAACTCTCTTGTTCAGGGTAGGTTTCATTTCGGTAGTCAACCCTGCAGAGTAAGCCTGCAAGCGTCCAGGGCACAGGAGGGCCCCCCCCTCACTCCACGAGTTCCTGGGCTGTAAAATGTTCCATGCGAACAGCAAACGAGATTGGGCTTGTTCCACTGGCTCAGCAAGTTTCAACGTTCGCAAGTTTCAACCGCTCCACTCCAAGAGGCCGCTCCGCCAAGGTACAAGGAGCCAAGGAGCCTCATGGTGTGAGCCTCCAGTCTGGCGGTTCTTTCGTGGCCTGGGGGGGAGAAGCGGCTGGGTGGTTTCTTGGGACATGGTCCAAGTTTGAATCATTTGCCCTGGGGCGCTCCTTGTCAAGATATGTTTTTTTTGCTCTGAAGGAAGACCGAGCTGACGTTTAAGTCAAGGCGACGAGGTTGATCATTGGTCCAACCCTTCTTGCTTCGAGCCGCCCACGGGTTGTCCAGCAACTGCCCATTGACGCATTTGCCTGTGCCAGCAGAGATCATTGGCTGTGAGCATCTGCAAAGCAACTGCCAAGCAACAAGTCCCACAGGGATCGCAAGGCTCACTTTACCCCAAACAAGGACTTAAACCCAGTGGTTGACGCCCTTCAAAAAAATAGAACCATTTTTTTAAATTATTTGTTTTTGTCCCGCCTTTGTCCAAAACTGAAGCCTGGCGCCTGGTGTTTGAGAATTTCCAAGGTTGTCGTGGACTTCATGATCTGCTACCGTGTGCCTTTCATGCTGAAGCGGGGCTCCTAAAGCGAGCCTTGAGGGCGATAGGGTCGCTTCAGCCAGATATGACAGAATGCTTTGGCTGGCTTTGAGGTACTGTGTTTTTGCTTGCCTTGAAGTGTTGTGTTTGTCTGAGTGAGTGAGTCGGCACTGAAATGCGCGAGCTGGTTTCCAAGATAGAGGGTGGGTGCATGTTCGCGCATTGCAATATGGGCCAGACAGAACGTGACGGACTTTCAAAACAGGTTCTAGGGCGGTTTCTTCTCGGATGGATTTGACCGGAGTTGGGCCAGCTTTTTGGTTTCTGACCGGAGGTGGACCGGTTTTGGAGGGGATTTGACTGGTTGCTAGAGGGTATTTTGACTGGTTACCGGAATTGGGCCGAATTGACGCTTCTAGAGGTTTAGTTGGGGTTGGCCCGGTTTCTGGGGTTTGTAGGGGGGTTTGGCCGGGGATGTGAGTTTTGGGGGGTATGATGGACCGGGTTTTGGAAAGGATTTGGCTGTTTTCTATAAGGTAGTTTGATTGGTTTCTAGAGGGGAAGTTGACCGGTTTCCCCCGGAGTTGGACCGGTTTTTGGTGAAAGTTTGGCTTGTTCCTAAGGAGAATTGCGTGTTGGGCCTGGCCTTGATGCAAAGGAGCTTGAAGCAGCTGGAGCATGGTTTTGGGTCGTGCGACATGGGTCGTTGGACGGGGCGGGCATGCGTGCGCACGGGCGTGCAGCCGGGCGTGCAGCCGGGCGTGCGGGTGTGCATGCAAGCCTGTGTCTGTTTATTCGCCAGCCTTTCTGGTTTCCCTGTTCGGGTGTTTTGTCGGGGGCCCTTAAATATGTTGTATACCCTTTGTGGATGGTGTAAAGATCACCATTAAACTGACCCTGTGATGTCCGAATCATTCTCGATGGGGCGACGAGCCGAAGAAGCGGAAGATCAAACGGACGACCTATTGTGGATTGGTGCTTCGGAGATTTGGCACGGAAAGCGCTGGCAACTCCCACATGGTCCCAAGACGGTTCCCTTTTATCGCCTTTTATCAAAGGGTACAAGCATGCATGGCCCTAAAGGGTGATTCTGGAACCAAAGCTTGACGACCAAACAGAAAAAAAAAAAACAAAAAAATCCCTCAAAATGAGAACAATGCATGGTTTCCTCAACAAACAGCTTTTCTGCCGATTTCTCCCAGGGCATGGACGCTGCTGATTGCGGTGTACATCTACCTGGGCACCGGCGGATCCGGCGCTGTGTTTGTGTTTCCACGCCTGATGAGTTCAAAGAGTGGTTGTGGGGAGTCAGATTTTTGGGCAGTTGCCAAGGGAATCGCCCTGTAAATTAATCAAGTAGTCATGGGAATGAGCCACTTTGGTGTCACAGAAAGGGTCACTGTCCACAACCATGAAGAGGGTGCTTGCGCTAGGTTGTTGAAAGTCCATTTGCATGATCCTTATATAGTGGTGGTGAGACAATGTTTGCCTAGACTTAGGCGCGATCCGCTTTCCGGAAGCCTTTTTTCCTTGACATCCGGTCATGGCGGTTCTTGTTACGGGTCTTGGCTGCTTCCATCGATTCTCGGGAGGCAAGGCGTGTTGTGCCAGGCTTCGGCAACGACATCACGACATCCTTCAATGGTAGCTGGCGCGGGGCTTGCGGGGCCTCGTGAGCACCACGGAAGTTGGCCAAAGGGTGAGTTTCGTTGCTGGGGTGATGTTTAACGTGCAAATACATGCAACAGGCCTATGAAGGCTTTGCAACCATGTTGGCAGAACCATCCGTTGCTGGGTTGCGGATTTCTATGGACATGAACCATTTCCCATGCGGCGAGGTGCTTTAGTTGCTGTTGACGCGCGTTGTCCAATCAGGCAGACATTTGCAAGAACAGGAGTCCTCAGGTGCATCGTACCCTCAGTCGTCCAACCGGAGTCCTCCATACGAGTTGTCAAGGATCCTTGGCGCCTCAGGGTGGTTCATGGCCGGGGGCATGGGAGAAATCGCAGCAAACCTTGTCCAGTGGAGAAACTTACGACATGTCAGACTCCCTTGTAGCAACCTCGTTTTTCACCTTGCATGATACAAGCGGCTAAATGATTACCAATGGCTTTCTTTTTGTTCCTGACCACTTTCTGCTTTTAAGATACCCCTCAGCCCCATTCTGATTATTTAGGCCCTTGCACCCGAAATTGTGGGTTAGTATTCCTCAAACTCCGACCTACCTTCCACTTCGGCTTCAAGAACTGGGGGGTTCAATCCCTACGGGTTGGGACTCTTTGCAATGAATCAGTTGCACTTAAACAGGATCTGGAAACTGAAAAAGGGGGTTTTTCGTGTCCTCTTCGGGTTATGACCTTGGGTTTGCAAGTCCCAAGGCGCCAATCGCCACCAGTTGGCCCTCCCTCTTCCGAAGCTCTCCGACCTGTGCTCTTTGTCTCCGGGTGCCTTCTCCCCCGCGATATTCTTGTTTCTTCCCGAAAAGGGAGCACCCACTGGGTACCCCTAGGTTTCCTTCGGGTTTATCGTGTCCCAACCTTCCGCGCAGGTTCAAGCCCAAGTGGTTGAGGCTGAACTTCATCCAGTACACCGCAGCGGCGTGCACGCCCAGTCCAGTTGTTTTGTACATTCAAGCGCGGAGTCAGCGGAATATACGAGGTTTGGTGGCCAAAATTTGCTGTTTTGCCTGGAACTTTGAGAAGAAAGGGTGGGAGACGTGGCCACCTGCTGTTTTCTAGCGCCGGGCCCCTTGCCTGAGCCTTAACGTTTGTTCTGCAACTTTCAGTCTGACTTGCTGACGCCCCCGCACATAGTTGCATCAGAGCCCCTTGGATTAGGTTGAAGGAATCTGCGGTTAGGCTTTGGACAATTCCGCCTGATCCCAATTTCACCTTGAATCCCCGTCGCTTCCCGAGGCAGATGCAGCTTGTTGGGTGATGTTAGAGACCATCACCATTTGCTATACCTGCCCGCACCTCAGACAAAGAACCCGCGGAGATGCCAGTCTGAGAGGCAGAGTTTGGATCACAGGATTTTGGGAAGCGGGCCTTCAGGCGTGGTATTTGAGGGAGGGCAATGGAAAATATGTGGCTATGTCCTTTCGCTCGTGTTTGTCGCACGAGCTCACACTGGCACCTTGTGCCAAATAATTCGGGATCAATCCATGTCCGCAAGCGGTCTGAACATAGGTGTCCTTTTTCGATCAGTTTGGTTGAACATGGACAGGGACACTTTGAGCATAGCGGGGAACTGAACTTTGCGACCTATTCCTGGTCCCTCAGCGTCGTTCATTCTCTGCCAAATGACCAAGACGCAATTGGTATTTGATCCTTTTGATGTCCTTTTTCAGGGACCAAAGTACCATCCTTGTGACGTTGTTGGGGTACGCTGGCTATGACAAACAAGGACAAGCCTGCTTGTGCGTGTGTGTGTGTGTGTGTGTGTGTGTGTGTGTGTGTGTTCTTTTGCTGGTGCTCTTTTCGGCTTGGTCTCACGGGAAACCAACAGGAAAATATCACGCTCGCACCGCACCGACACCAATGCTTTTTCTGCGGAGAAGAGGCTTAGCCTTTTTCAATGTTCGAACCAACCTACTTTGATGTTTGAAAGGGACACTTTCCTCTTGGGGGTCTATGCTCATTTGCAGGGAGTACCACCGTTTTGGGGGATCCCTTTGGTTCTTAATAGGGAATGACCCTAAACTCAACTATCCTGATAGTAGCAGGGGAGTAACCATGCAGAGAAAACGGAGCTTCGTCCCCTTACCCAGATCAAGGAAATTGTGCCATCGACTTTCACACAGGTGGCAACTGGCCCATAAAATGCCCCGACCTTTTCTCAAGACACCAAAACAGGACGGGTACTGCGCCTCGAAACTAACATGGGCTGCCCAAAAAGGAGGAGATTCCTCACATGGTATTTGGATGTGGGTCAAAACCAAGGGTACCATTTTGGGCTAGGTGCACAATCCATTTTAGTCCATTTTAGCGGGGATTGGGATGTTCACTGGGGGTACGGGCTTTTGACCCGCAGCCATTTGCGTTCCATGTCGATTCGAATTGAGGCTGGCAAAGGTGGCCTTCTCTCTGCCGGCGTTCCCCAGGGGTACCAGGACGCCCGGAAGCCCGCGGAAGCCCGCGGAAGCCCGCGAAGCCCGCGGGGCGGGCGCTTGGGTTGCTCGGGCAAGGGTGCTTCTTGGTTTTCTTTTCAGCCGACCCCAAAAGGGTACCCTCAAAAGAGAGAGCCCCACCCTCTTTGGCAAGGGAAACCAAGCGAAAAGCCCCACATTTGTCTAAGGACTGGACACACCCATTCAAATAACATGCTCACCGATTCGGGAGCACGAGATAAAGGTCCTGGGAAAATAAGGAACAGTTCCTTAATTCCAGGGTTGAGAGTTATGGCAATTTGCCTAGAGCTTTGCAGGGGAAGCGGTGATGACTGGGTTTGTTTTCTGAAGTGGCACCTGTGGGCACATGGAAGGCTTTTGTGATTGGTCACCTCTTTTTGCTCATTGGATTTTTCCGTGGCGCGGCAAGTCGCATTGCCGGAGTGAGTTCTTCTCATTTGTGGGGGAAAGCCGCCATTTGAAGGGGTGCCACAATCCGAACCCCGACAAAGTGGCTTTGATGAGTGCGAACTGCTTCGCCGCCGGCGTTCCATTTCAATTACCCCAAGCGAGGCGGAAACTCAGCTCTTGGAGAAAACACGAGTCCAACCAGAAGGCTGTCCTGCATACCGAACTGGTCCCCTAGAGGTAAATCGGAAACGGACCGCCCTTGCCGCGGGTCTGGATGTTCTTAGCCTCAGTACCAGGGGCCGCGTTCAGCGATTCGAATCCCTCACGTGCTCCAGATTTTGTCAATGCGTCCCAATGGGTTGTTTGAACCCTGAGTTGAACCAAAGTGGAAGGCGGGTTCTAGGCCACCTGAGTTGGTGGATAGCTTTCCGCTTTCCGGCAGGTTGGCGAGTTGAGTGTCAAGAGTCACCGGCCTTTCGTACCCCCAACCCTGAGATTTGGGTGGTGGATGTGGGTGTTTCTCAAATTAGGTGGCGCCTGAAATGGTGGTTTCCTTTTGGCTTCCCTTAAAAACAAAAACTATTTTTTGACGGGGTGCCACGTTGGTTCTCTTGAAGGGGTTTCCTTTCGGTGTCCTTTTGGCTTCCCTTGAAGGGGGCCTTCCCTACTTTGAGAAGCTTTCCGGCCCAGTCTTTTGGATCCTGAAGCACTTCGTGAACGCGTGCCTCTCCGCTGCTGGCCCGAGCCTCTGCGTGTCGAGTTGCATGAGGGGAGTGGAGCCCAAAATTCGACTCTTTGGGTCAAAAGAATGCCCGGACATGCCCTAACCTCATCCAAAATAGACCCTGAACCCACACACACACACAACTCTGCCTGAAACCACCCTACACAGCCCTGAACCGTCCTGAACCAACCTTGAATTCATCTACATCCCATGCACACAAACAGCAAATACTAGCTTCCCAAAAAATCAGTTGACATTCAGATCCGCGCCGCTGTGCCTGACAAACTTGTAGGCCTTTGGTTTCGATGCTTCGATGTTTCGATGTTGGCCCGGGACGTACGGCTTCTTTTGTGCCCCACAGAAGCGGAGATTCAGGATCCCAGGTTTCCCATTGGTACAGCCCATGGGCTCGAAAGCTGTTGCTCTGGGTTTGCACTGAGCTCTCATGGGTGGCCGAGATGGCAAGGTCAGTCGCCGATAGCTGGCATTGGAGGTATGGATGCTTGTGACCACTGGTATAAGCCTGTAGCGCAACACACGTATATACAAATATAGTATGTATATGTACATATTATTTTACACCTTACAGAAGTGGACCTCCATACCCCCGAAACCCATCCCTAGAAAACCCCTTGAACACGTGAGCGTGTGTGTCAGCTTCCCCTTTAGTTGGGTTGGTGTAAAAAGGGTTCATGAACCCTGAGAGGTTTGTAGCGCACCAGCTGCACAATTCCTGGTAAGTGATGATAGCTTTGGTTCGCGGGGAGGGGCCTTACCTTTGGGCCTTCAGCAAATATCTAGCTCGCGCCCAGTGTGGTGTGTTCGGAAGGTCGGAGAGGATGTGACGAGCGCGGATGAGTGCACATGGTGGAGCAAGCACCACCTCGCTCTTCAGCCGCAGAATTTCACAGGAACATCGCAGGAATGGTGAGCCTCCCAGCGACTGATGCCGACAGAATGACATTCCTTCACTGGCCGCTCTGCTAGGCCACCGAGTCGTCCGCTTGCTGGCAGCCCGTGTTGAGGTGGACAAGGCTTACCACGCCACTCTGCCAAACGGGGCACGCAGGTGGAGTCGTTCCAAGACAGTCTTCCCTTGGCCGCGCCGACTGTGAGCACGCAATGCACAACAGGATGATGTGTGTTGGTTGGTTGCATCCGGCGGTGGCAAGAACCAAAGCTGAGAAACATGGAAGGACTCTCGAGCGGTTTGCTGCCGAGACTGATCAAGTTGCGTTGCTGCTGGCCCGCGCTGACACGGCCGAAAATATTGGAAGGACTTTCCTGAAAACAAAACAACAGCAAGTTGTGCTTTGCTTGCGGCAAGTCCGACTGTCAGGGGCTCGTGCAGCTCATCGCATAGCTTCACTTCGCTGAAAGCAACGGCGAACGCAGCAACACCCAACATGCTGCGTGGACGACTATCTGATTTGCGACCTTGATCAGTCGTTTTCATCCACCAAGTGTGCTCTGGAAATCGTGATGGGGACGTGTTCGTTTCCCCGATGGCCCCGATGGGTGTTCGCAAGACAGCATAGGAGGACATTTTGTTTCTTCGACCCCCAACCTGTTTTTTTGGGGCTCATCAGCCAAAGGAAAAGCGGGGCGGGGGGGGGGGAGGGGTGATAGAAAGCGTCATAGCACCTCAATGACCGCAAGATTTCAATGGGTGCTCTCAAAGTGGGCCGACAGGAGACTCCAGGTCGTATTTCCGCTGCAGCTCGGTGAGCCTTCACGGGAGACTTGCTTCAACCATGTTATTTCCTTTTTGTCAAGCCCAAATGAATCGTGAGGACGCATCAGGTGTGACCAGTGGGTTCCAGTCTGTCATACGTTCAGTTTGCTCTTGGCTTTCGGTTGACAGGCCGATTTCAGGCATCCGTACTGTCGTACTGCCTTCGCGTTGCATGGAAGACACCACGCGCACGGCGCCAAACCGGGTGGATGCCATTACCGATTTACTTGAGCTGTTCTAAGGGATTGGTTGACATTCAAACCAGTGTCGCTGTGCATGAGAGCTAAACTTTAAGATTTGGTGTTTTTCCTAGCCGTGCTCGTATCAATTTCGCGTGGCTACGACACGGTGGTTGCCCTGCAAGAGGGGAGATGCGGGATCCAAAGCTAGATCGACTTGTCTTTGCGGCAAGTTCTCAATACTGCCGCAATTAATTGCAGTGCATGTTTCGGTGGGAAACGTAACTCTCTGGAGTACGGCAAAGCACAGTTCACTTTTGCAAAATAGCATGGAACCCAAAAAAGAGGTCCAGCAAAAGGAGTTCCTGCAAACATGCCGGGTTTCGCGGTCCATCTCAATCATTGAATCCACGGGGAGGATTCGTTTCTTTCATGCTGGGTCATGTCACGCTCTGATTTAGCCTTATTTTGCTGCCCTGAATGCTTGTGATTTCTTGTGGGTGTATGATGGCGGCTATAGAATGCTCATTCCATATCCCTGTTTTTTTGGGCACCCGTCCAACACCAGAAAGGACACTGGCTGGTTGCCTGGTACCCATTTGGGAGAGCCGAGGCTGCCTCATGGTGTGGAGCAACGCCAAGTTCGCTACGAAGCCTTGGCAGCCAGGGGCCTCAGGTCCGGTGATGCGGGCCTCGTCTTTTTTCTGTTTTCGGATGGGTGTCTCGTTTTCGCGAGGGTACCAAATGTTTTGGACACCGAAAGGGAGATGAAAGAAGCTTAGGATACCCAAAATACCCATGCCCCGTTTTGTTTGTGCGGCGACTTGGTGGTTTGGGCGTCCACCCCGCCCCCGGCTTTTTTTGTTGGCAATTGGTTTCATAGTGATATGCGTTTGTGGCCCTAGTTTGGCGCTTTCTCCATTTTTTTCAGCCCCGAAGTCGGGTGACTTCCGGAGAATGTTGGTTGCCCAACTGGGGAGGGTGGGGGAGGGGGGGTCCTGGTTTGGACCGTTTCCCTTTTTACAAATGTTTCCTGATGGATTCCGTGTTCGTGAGTGTGAAGGTGAGGGAAATGGTCATGACTGGTAAGTCTCCTCATTTTTTTTTATGGCCTGCAACCCAGCGCGCATTCTTCCCGGGTTCTTCTTTTGGGCGGCCTCCAGGGAAGGATGTATCTCGGGACCATTTTGTGACGCCTTTAAAGGGCCCCGGTCAAGACATTGTCAGCCCGCCAGAATTAGTTTCCTGCTCACACTTTGAGCCAAGATCATTTGATATGATGAAGTTTCAAGTCTATCTTTGAAAAGGGGCTGGGTTTCACTCAAGAGCTATGAGCTGCTACGAATGGCGAAATGGCGCCCAACATGCGTGGGACCTTTGCTTGATGGTGGCCAAAACGGTCACCACTCAGGGTGACCACTTCAGGGGGCAGGAGAGCTGCAGTGTGGGTAGCCTCAATCTCAAAATTTGCTCGTTTTTCAGGGTATGCTCACTTTCCTTAAAAACCTCGAGTTTGCCATAAAAACTCAACCTTAAAAACTCAAGGTTTTGACATACCCCATTTTTTGGTCCAAACTAAACAGCCCCCAATCCAAAATTTGGAGCACACCCCAAATGTTGTGCCCAAAGAGTGTCCAAACAGCATTGTGTCTATAGCAACACGGTCGGCTAGCAGAGGTCTGATATCGATGGAACCCCCAAATTTTGTGTTTGATCAGGCGCCAAGACATCCAGAGAAACAAAAAGCGTTGCGCTCAAACAGCTCGAGCTACTTTCAAGCATGCCAACTGCCCTTAAATCCGGAAGCCTCTCCATGAAATATCCTGGAAACCTAAGCATGCTATAATTGCTATTTTAGAAATGCACAGATTGCACGAAAAACATGTTTTTGTGGGTCGGGGTACTCTCAGAAGGGCTGTTCAATCAACTTTAGAAGATTCTGGTGGCCGAAAAAGGACGTATGCGCTCATCCCAGATGAAAGGGGTGGAGTTCCCCCCGATTTTTGGCAAAACTCGGTTCGAGAACACTCCAGAGACCCTAAGGTTTCCAGCTTGCAAAAGACATTCATGTGTAGCATCCGGAAGGAACCCATGTATTAGGCTCAAAGTCTTTGACGGGCCACTTGCGGCAACGAACATTCGCCGAGGTGCCGGCAGTCAGATGCCAACGAGTGTGTGGATCCTCGAGCCGCCAGCTTTCAGGAGCATCGCAGTCGATCAGGAAGGTTCCGTACATGGAATGTCAATTTCAGGTTTGGATTTTGGCAGTTTGCCCGAAACTTTCTCTTGAGGCCAGGGATCTAAGTGACTTCCTGAGCTTCCACAAAAACACATGCACTTTACGCGTGGGTTTCTGGTTTGAAACGAAGGACTGACTGGGGACACTTGGAAAGACGGAAACGGCGTTGGGTGCTATCACCTGCGGGCCCCAGTGATACCTGGGAAGCCTCCACCTCTCAGGGGCACCTCAACTCCGCGGATGCGACCGGGCGCTCTATGAATCTAAACGAAAGCGGAAGTTTGACAAAGGCTGAGAGGGGAACAACAAGAACACGTGGGTGTAGTCCTCTCTTTCTTTGGTTCAACTTTCTAAGTTGTTGGGTTTGCCTTGCAAATCGAGCGGTGGTTGTGGGGGGGGGGCGCCGGATCATTTGAGGCATGCCCATGTTCGTATCCTGGCCATGCGCGGGCGGGAGACGTTGAAGCATGCTGAATGTCGCAGAGCCCAGACGAAGCATTGGCTGCCTGGGGGCGGTCTTTGGGCCCAAGCGGTGGTTGCCAAAATGCCCTAAGATCTTTTGGAAGGCTCTTCCAAATCTCAGTGCACCCACTCCCTCAACCTGTAGTGCGGCATGTCCTTCTTCCTGTCCAACAACGCCCCCGCAGAAACAGGTGCCAAGGGGATGGACCACAGATATGGGCGTCTTTCCAGAGGACGTTGGAAGCAACTTCCCTCGATCCAAATCGTTTTTTCAAGGGTTTCTCTTCAAACAAGCAAACGGGCAGACCTTGTTTCGTCACGGGGAAATCACTCGGTCAACCGAGTTTGTTTGACGTGGAGGACCTATGGGAGACGATGAGCTATGCCTTGATCTACTGGCTGGCGAGAGTGCTGCTCTTTTGGCTCATGCACCGTAGGCGCTTCAGCCTGGGAAACTGGCGGGGGAAGAGATGGCGCGAGTTTTTGTTGGATCTGTGACCTTGAACACTTGAAGGTTGGAAATTCACATATTTGCGTGGCTTTGCACCTGCGCGAAAAGCTTCTTGCCGAATCTGCCGCATCAGCGATGTCACTGTTTGGGGCCCGGTGAACGGAGCGAAAGCCATGAAGGTCACTTTGGGAATTCGATAGAGTAGACTTTGGGGTGCTTCAAGGGTGAAACTGCGGGGGTTGCAGCCTGGACAATCAAGGGGCACGGGGGTGCGGGGTGAATGGTGAAAGCGTTGGGAGCTTCCAGGCTTAGTTGAGGGTTCATAGAAGCCAGCAACAGGAAACTCTACAGGAAGTTGGCCAAATACCCACCAAACCGCTTTCCTGTAGAATTTCCAGTGGCTGGTTTCTTCAGAAAAGGTAGTAGTGGTCATGGACGACTGAGCAGCCTGAGCACCTTACCCTGGTCTTGGGGGGCAAACCGTGTGAGTAAAAATGTGTAGTTCCCTGTGGCTTCACTGGAAAGCCAGCTAAGATACTGTAGGGTAATAGAATTCCAACGAGGACGGCCGATGTTCACTTCGAATCAGTCCACAGCACATTTGACGGGGTGAGCCACCCCTGATTGCACTAGGGCGACCCACATGGCCTTGCGGATTCGTTCGAAGTTGACCTTGCACAAATCCGCCAGGTCCTTCCCGATGTTCATACATGGGACCCCGTGGCACACAGCACGCAGAGAAGGCCTGGGATTGGCGAAAACTCACCGGGACCCGTTGTGGGAAGGGGTTGATTCCCACTTCTGTGAGAATTAGGGACCTTTTCTTGGAATGCGTGTTTTGGAGGGTATCCTTTTCGGGTGGTTTTGAATGGAACCCCACAGGACAAAAGCGCCATTTAGGGGGTCCTTCTTCTTTTGGCACATGCCCGGATGGAGCATTAGTTGTTGGAAAACACAGAAGCGGGCAATTCTTTCAACCCTGCTTGCTGGGACCTTCTACATGACGCCAACGTTTAATTGAAGCTTCGCCACATGGATTTGTTTTTTGAGGGTGTCTTTCGTGGGGGTGGCTATAAAGGGAAACCACAGTTTTTCAGGTCCCATTATTTTGACAAAATGCCTAAATGTGGTTGCCACAATCTAACGCATGGTACATTTGTGGTGGAGCAAGCGCTGAGGTAGACACGGTCGCCAGCACTGACCTTGCAAACTTACTTCTATCTTTCAAACAAGGATGCTGACATTCAGGTGACCCTTTGTCGGTGGCTTGGATTGGTGGCTTGGGAATGTGAACCCCGGCTGTTGTGGGCAAATGGTCTGCTATCCCTTAGCCTCCAACGTCTAATCCAAGCCACCAATTAGAGGAAATCAGAGATATGCATGAGCTTGCAAATGCAACTGAGGAGGCACAGCATTTTAGCGGGCTTTGCGGGGAAATTAGCGGAGTTGTCCTCTTCGTCAATTAACGCACAAACTCTTGCTTCGGCCCCATGGTGGCAGAAAGGGTGCAAAGGAAGCAAAGGTTGAGGGCAATTCCCAGGTGAAGACAACATGTGTGCACTAAACTTATTTCGCCTCCTGGGCGTGCGATTTTGAGGGTACCCCTTTTCACCTTGAAAAAACACAAAAAGGAGAACCGCTATTTTGAGGGTCCCCGCTGTTCTGCCACGCACCCTTACAGTACCAAAATGTCCAAAGAGCCAAGATGCTCCCCAAGCCAATGCATGATTGCCGGCTCTTTGCAGTTTTGAAACGTTATCATTTTCATCCTTTTCCTGTGAGTACCCTTTTCTCTGGTTTGTGTTCTCGGGAGCCAAAGAGGAAATCACTCATTCTGGGGTTCGCTCGGTTCAAGTACTGTAGTACGTTCTTGAAGTGGAGGGGAAGTGGAGGGCTTTTTCCAACAACAATGCTCAACCCTTAGGCTAGATGGCACTGAATTCCCTTGTTACACTGGTGTCCCACTAGGGATTGCGGATTGCGTCAATCCCCCAATGTGGCAATGTGGACATGGCAATGTTATTGGGCACGAGGGACCCCAGCACCCATGAAGGGTCCTGGTTCTTTTCCGGTCAGTGAGTCACGGCTCTGCGGCTTTCCATTACGATCGCGGCACAATCGTCAGAGCGAAGAATCGGTTCCCATTGTTCTCTTTTTGCTTCGTTTGGTTGACGTCCGTGAGTCATAGCGGCTTCCTTTGGTAGGCGGAATGTATGAAACCAGTACGAGCCGTTATGAGCTCAGAATGGGGACCCCCCAAAAGCCTTTGGCTCCCCTGGTTGGTTTCCCAGCACCCCAAACCCCCCTCACGGTTAAGCGTTTTTCTTCCACCTTCCCTTTTTGGCGCAGGTGGGCGAGGGCGGTGCGACAAGGCCAAAAAGGACTGCCGCGTGCGGATGCTCTGGGCCCGGAGCATAGAATCGGAGCAACTTGCTGACCCTAGTGGGCGTTTGCACAACTGTTTTATTTGGGTATGGGTCAAATGAAACCACCAGGGGACCGCAGGTTTTGGTCCATGGTTCGACTTACTATGGTTCCATTTGAGGTACCTATTTTTGACCCGCAGCCATTTGTGAGTGAGGATAGAGCATTGTTTTCAAGCAGCATCTGAAGAAGCTTGTTTTGGCATGCCCCAGATTTGGGCCAAGAGACTGAGCTTGTTTCAGCATCCGTTTGAGCAAATTACGACGATGTGACTACGTGACTAAGGGGGGTTGCGACGTTGCCTATGATGAAGGCTTCTTTCATACGGATGCCCTATTTGCGGTTGGTGATTTTTGTAGTTCGGCCCAGAGATTAATAGTTGTTTCCTGGTCGGACAAGGGTTATAATTGCCCAACCCTGGCTTCCTGTCTCTTGAGCAGAATGCCCGCTACAAAATGTGGCGAGTGAGACAGATGCAAACAAACACATCAAACGTGTATCAGTGCATATGCAGATTACATCCATATATGTATATGCATCTATACAGTGTTTCAGACATAGATAATTGCACATGACATGTGTATGGTTCATGCATGAGCCACATGCCGGCATCCAAACTGTCGGATGAGTTTTGCCACTGCGTTGGATTACCGACCCACGCGTTTCCCTGAGACCTGGTATGTCATATCTGAGGCAATTGTACAGGGCACGCCTTTGCGAGCGTTCATATGGGTGTGGGTCAATACTAAATCACCAGGGGACCGCAGATTTTGGTCCATGTTTCCATTTACCAGGGTTCTATTTTGGGTACCTATTTTTGACCCACAGCCATATCAGAAGCTGATTTTGCTGGTGGTTGCATTGTCAAGAGAGCAGCTGACGTCAAACAGCACGAATGTGGGCCCTGTTCGGGGGGCCACGCCACTGCAACGCTCAGATTGGGGCGTGCTTCGTCCAAACACCTTAACGCAATAATTTCCGAGTTGCTTTTTGATGGAAGCAGCCAGTTGGGAGTCGGACAAGTTGCTGGAACTGCCAGGCACTTGCATGTGTGGTGCTCATTGAGGCTGGGTACCCTTTTTGGGATGGGTTTGAAGACATCCCAAATTGGAACGCCACCCTTTTGCTTGGGGAAGTTTTGACATCCCTCAGAAGCGTTTCAAATTACACACGGTTTTCCTCTACAGCCTAAAAATGTTTAAATGAGTTTTTAGCGTACCAAATGGGCTAAATGACACGAGCATCCTTATCCCATAATCATGCCGCGATTTGGTCTGAAGCTAGCTCACACATCGATCCGGATTTTCGCGCCGGCCCAGATCCTGATGTTGATGTGCAGCATGGCCATCGAAGTCTTCATCATCCTGCCATCGATGAAAGGCTGGGCCCAGAGTCGAGACGGGTGAGGTGAGGGTCCGGGTCAAGTGGGAATGGATCGGACCACTCCTTAGAGGGACCCAAGGGAAGCCCCCAATCCTTGAACATCCAAAGGCCTCATCGACATGTGACCACTTGCAAACTTGGTTCCCACGTGTTTCCTGTTGGTTTCCCTACCACCCGATGCTACAGTCTCCTCCAAAGCCATTTTATGATTGAGACGAAACATGCCACATAATCTAAGCACATGTTCTGTGTACCCTGGATGTGTCAGGCAACCCTCAATTGGTGGTTTGGATTGGTTGTTTGGGGATTTGTCACCCCTGGTTATTGTTGGGTAAATCGGGGCGAGGCTACCCCCCTCCTTCCATCCAAATCACCACTTAGGAATCCTACAACAAGGTACTTGAATTTGAGTATATTCTCTGTGTACCCCTTTTTTGTGCCTCAGAAAAAGGTACCTTTGGAACCCCCCGACTTCTGACGAACGCCGAGGCTTGGATCTGAACACCGCCTGTGGGCTGGACACCTTTGGCAACGCCTCGCGGCTGAATCCGAATCCGAGTTTGGGATCGGTTTGGCTTGGTGCCTCTTTTTGCGGTTTTGAAGCAGAAACGCAATTTTGGGGGGTTTCTATTCTGAAGAAACTGCCCCCAGAGCCCACGCGCAGAAGTCTGCGAAAGGTTTTCAATCCGCTGAAGCTCTGTGGAAAAGAACTAGGAAGACCAGACAAAGGCTTGTCAACTCCAGTGCAGCGTAATCGATTTTATGTAAACAACACCGCGTTCGTGCGGAAGCCTGCGGACGCAAAAGATGCCCTTTGGCGTGGCAGGTTTTGCGGAACCTGCAACAATGTCAGTCGTTCCGCTGAGGTCACCGGGCTGCCCTTCCAGGTGGGCGAGTGCTCCGAGAAGGCTGGGCGAAGTGGCGGGCTCGTGTTCCTGGAGGGCTCGGTTGGTTCCTGCTTCTGTACCAGAGAACTTCTAGTTTCTTAATGGAGAAATCGTTGGAAGGACTTCCATTGGTATCACGGACGTGGGGAATTCCTGCAACCCTATCTCAGTGCAGCCATTCTCGTGTTGTTGGATAGCTACTGTGTGCGGGTCGTTCCAAAGCGCCCATGGGTTCCAAGTTTGTGGAGGCGAAAGAGCGCTTCTTTGCCGCGGAGGCCCAAACAGAGATTCTCCAAGTGAAGCACATGAACGATTACAACGACTGAACGCATGATCCTCACTATGATTGCGAAGCTACACATAGTGATCAAATTTCTGCCGCGACGAAAGGCTTTGGTTGGCTTGGAGGGTCACTTGCACGGAGGCGCCTTCAGGTGAACCGAGCAAAGGACGTGTGAAGGTGTCCAAAACATTGAGTGATTTGAAAGCAGAATGGTGAAAGTGTACGTGCATGACATTCGGACTTTCTGTCTATCAGAGCATCCATGACTGTGCGTGTGTTGAACCTGGTTACATTCGGAGAAGTGGCGACACAACCAGCCTTAGCCAGAGACTCCCGACCGGTCTGGCTCCACTTCTGGCTGCAGCCACAGTCAGCAGAGCAGTGCCACGCTGCGCCATGTTTCAAGAGCTGCCCTGATTGCTAGCAAGACCTTGAAGTGCATGTTGGCACAACGAGCCAGCAACAGCATGTCTGCAAAGTACACAAAGTCCATGTGGGATCGCAAGGATGTGAAACTGGTTGCCCTCCCACAACCAACGCTAGGACCTTGTTACAGCAACATGGCCTTCCAAAAGGGTGCTGATTCCATGTTCGGTTTTGGGAGGGAAGGGGGTGTGGATAGAGATTATTTATGTAGGCTGCAGGCAGTCGCCTTTTTGTGTTTTCTTCGATTTTGGGTACATCCCGTTGATACTGGCTTTTGATTGAGGGCTCATGTTGGGTAGATGCCGCTCATTTTGTTCTTAAGGATCTTAAAAGGACGGACACGGGGAAGCCCACAAACGGTGGCAGTTCAATCCAACAGGCCCTTAACTTAAGTTAGGTCCTTGTGTAGTCGGTGCTTGGGTGTTCGGCCAAAGTAGTAGCCTGCCCCCTATTCCAAATGTCCTTTTTTTTGGGTATAACCCAGAACTAACAAAACACAATATTTACCTTCTGTTTCTTCGAAGGAGAGCATCCTCGACTTTGGTTGCGTTACATGCATCGGCAGCGTGCACGGGTGGCCCAGATGTGGTACTTGGGACCATTTCATTGCGAGCTCGGTGGGGGGGGGGAGCTCACTGTACCCCACAACTCTTGATCTACTCAGCGGGAAACCCGACATCCCTATGTGGCACCCAGGTGCTTTTCTTGGGGATTCCTCATTTTCAGGTAGTGAAAAAAATATAAAACCTGAGGGTCAACGGCTGTGTGGCTTTTGCAGAGTTTCGCAGGAGTTCTGCGCGGCCCGTTGTGTTTTTTCTTTTGCTGCTTTCAGGTCGAAGAGTTCTCAGGATCGTTTCTTTGAAGGACCACTTCGGGGGCTCTGAAATAAGGTATCCAATGGAACCGCCATGTAAAAAGACAGTGAAAACGGCTGATTATCACTATTTAGGTATCAGGGGTCCGCTGAGGAGGTCGGCAAAATCTGCGGAAGTCTGCTTCCATCTGCCTCCGCGATTGTGTATGACCTGGGATTGCTAGGGAAAGGACCACATTTGGGACGTGTCCATATGAAACCTTGTGATTTGGGACAATCCCAGGGTAAGCTGCAAACCTCCAAGATGGGCCATGAAGCAAGACCAGATCCTTGCAGAGTGCATAGCCGCGGATTTCCATGCCCGTCGTCTATGGTTTGGGCAGCAACTCCCGCAGCCACGGTGAGGCACCCAATCTCATGTGCCGGCTCACATTTGACAACGGGGAGGGGGTAGGCCCGTATGCTGCATCTCATGGGAACCAGGAAGTTTCCACAGGAAGTTAGCCACATACCCACCAACAACTGGCGGGGTTGGTGACTTCTGCGAAACGAAGCCTGTTGGTCTCTTAGAGAATCGGATTTGGTCCAAATGGCAACGTGGTGTCCCTTTGAAACCACCCAAGAGGTCATCAGCCATTTGGAGAAACTCCCATGCCATGAACGCCCTCCGAAAAAGTCGTGCGATCAAATTCCCACCAGCGGCATGGACTTCCAGCGAGAGCCGCATTCTTTTCCAGATGCCCCTCGGCCCAACTTTTTTTGGGGAAGGGTTCCCCTACTAAAATAGACTACAGAAAAAATGGGTACCCTTATTCCAGCCTCTCTTCTGGAGGACCTAGCCTTTGAGTCTGGACCGATGCTTTGGGGCCGATTTGTTCAAAGGCAGATGCCGGGATGGATCCATCCGAAGCCCTTGGGTCCATTCCATTCGACTGAGGCTCTTCGCGCTAGCGCTGGTCTTCCTGGGCTCCATGGCTTTGGCCTCGTGCTCCCGCGGTTTCGCAAACTTGTTTTGGTTTGGAGGGAGAAGCCCTTTGGTTTTCGGATGTTTTCGGGTTTGTGTGAGGATTTTTTGGGGTTCCCAGAGACGACTTGGGTTTTTGTTGAGGCTCGAAATCAAGCCAGCCACAAAGTGCCAATCCTTTTTTCCCGTGGCCACCGGAGGTCTGGGGCTTTGAGGCGATTTGGGCCTAGAGATCCCCAAAGTGGTTGGCGTCCGATATGATCAATTTTAACACTGAACGAACATAAAGCAGAATCTGAAGAGATGCACCGGGCCAAAGTGGGGGTTTTCTTTTGGTCTAACCATCAACCAAAAGGGTGGTTGACCTTTTTGGGGCATGGACCAACCCCCCTACAGCTTACTAAAGAAAGCCACGTAACCTGGGCAACTCTTCGACTTGCGCAGCGAGTCAGCAGCGATTGTTTTTTTTTCTATTGGCTTGCTTGGAAAGCCAACCACAAGGATGAATCTCTGTGGGGGGATGTGGTTGGTTTTGGTTTGTTTGTGAAGTGTTCCCCCTGGATGGACGCAGTTCAAGATGGCATGGCTGTATTCCAGAATGTTCTCCTGGACACAGGGATCCCATAAACGTTGCGAAATTCCCGTCCAAGGTGAAACATTTCGATGGAGACACCTTTTAGCAAGCAGAAGCTTAGCTGCGGGTAGGTTCTTGCAGAGCCGCAGAGCCCAGGTTGATGTGTACTTTGTCTTCTACATCTTCTCAGCCGTTTTCGGCAGCATCATGGGTGCAGGGCCAAGTCAGGTCATGGCGATCGACTGCAGTTGAGATTAGAACTATGGGTTCCACGAAAAGAAAGGCGCAATTGGTTTGGATCTCGAAGCCGTGATCTAGACATTTACTTTGGCCCCTGCTGTAGCCCCTGCATTGGAAATCTAACATCGGTTTGGCTCCTCTGCCTGTTCATCGAGCCCTGGCAAATGCTCAGGACTAAAAAGGTTTGTTTCTTTCCCAAACCAAGTGACCCAACTGATTGACTTGGTTGAATCACTGGGCTCGTGTCAAAACAGGGTGACGCCTCGCCTGTTGGTTTCCCTTGAAGCAGCCTCAACAGGCTACCCAAAAATCAACCACCCAAACAAGGTGTGTCCGTTTGAACTATCTGCCAAGAACCTGACTTCAATTGAAAGCCAAAAGAAAACCGCAGCCCATATAGTTTGCCCCCCGCACATATATGGGTGTTTCTCACAAACATGGATTTCCTCAGGTCCCTTGCCTTTGGGTTTCCTTTACCATTCAAAACGGGCCCCATGCTGCAACCCAGCCACACTGTGGGACAATTTCCTGCACCAGCTAGGTGGTTTGTCAAAGGATTTGCAGGCGGTTCATCCATCCCAACTGTCGCGAACTGGATTTTGTCCTTCCACAGTGTCGCTCTCAGGGCACCGACGACACTTGAACGACGTGAAGAACATCTCCGTGCCCATCGACCTGCGCCCAGGTGCACGGGAGCCCAGCGTCCGATTTGGCGCCTTGCCCCGAAGACGGGATCTGTCAAACAGGGGCAGGGCCCGCAAGATAGTGTTTCCCGCGAAACCATTCTGAAAAGGGAACTCCGGAAAAAAAAAAAAAAACCACACCCAGATGGGTTTAGTGGAAGTCCTATGTTGAGGGAAATTGTAAACCCAAAGGGCACCAGAGCTGAGGCGGGCCGACCGGCGACGCTGCGTGTGCTTCTGTCCAAAGAGCAATCCCGGATTAGTTTCGACTGGTTTGATCGGTCGCTCGGATCTGAAGGTGGTGGTTCTGACAGATTCTGGGGGCTTCAAAAAGGGAGTTTCGACCTGACGCATGATCCAGGTTCCTTTCTTGGGCGTCCATTTCTTATTTCAGGGTGCTGAATTGTTATACCCTCCCACCAACTACCATGGAACCCACCGGAAAGCAAAGTCAGCTTCCATGTTAGGAGGGAGGGTAAGTGACCCAGATGGTAAAGTTGCCATTGCCTCTTTTTAAGGCGGCGGTGGTTTCCCATGCGTTTCCTTCAAACCAGGCGACAGACCCATTGGGGAAAGTTAAATGGGGGAAGCGCCCCAATTCGGGGGTGGGGGAGAGCCACCCCCCCCCCCCCCATCTCCCGCGGCCTTTTGCTCAGGTGGGCAAAGACGCCCACCGCTTCGAGGCGGCTTTCGGGCCCCAGTGGCAGATGATCTGGCGCGAGATCGCCCCTTGGCAGATCTGGGGATCTGGTCCCATGGTGCGTCAGGCTTTGAGGGCAACCTTTTGTGGGTTTGAAAGGGAAGCCAAAGGGCGAAAAGGGCCGTTTTTGTAGGTGGTTTGGTTCCTACTTGTTTTTCTTCTTCTTTTTTGTTAAGGCATGTATAGACCTTTGTTTGACAATGTTGATAGCAAAGTCAATAGGGTTTGGGCGCTGCTCAAACGAGCTTTGGTCGAAAAGTCCAGTAATCTATGGATCATTTGGGATGGAGGACACACTCTCGCTCCCTCCCTCCCTCCCTCCCCTCCCCTCCCCTCCCCTCCCCTCCCTCCCTCCTCCCCTCCCCTCCCTCCCCTCCTCCCCTCCCCCTCCCCTCCCCTCCCCCTCCCCTCCCTCCCTCCCTCCCTCCCCTCCCTCCCCTCCCCTCCCCTCCCTCCCCTCCCTCCCCTCCCCTCCCTCCCTCCCTCCCTCCCTCCCCTCCCTCCCTCCCTCCCTCCCTCCCTCCTCCTCCCTCCTCCCTCCCTCCCTCCTCCTCCTCCCTCCCTCCCTCCCTCCGTCCCTCCCTCCCTTTCTGCCTCCCGCCCGCCCGCCCGCCCGCCCGCCCGCCCGCCCGCCCGCCCGCCCGCCCGCAAAATGGAGGAACTTTTTAACTTCACTTAAGATTGCTACAGAACGGATGCCCTCGAATGAAAAACCACATCCATGTTGAAATGATATGTTCTGATGCTTCAATTGTCATCGGAACTTTAGATTTGACTTGGCCCACGTCTAGGTGTGACGCAGTCCTCAGTCCGTATGTGCTGATCTCTTGATGCACGGATTCCCGACCCTTGAGGCACCCTTGCTCCTTGAATATACAGTAGTAAAAGTTGCCCTTTTTCTAAAATGGCCACTATGGAACCGGGCATCAGTGTCAGAGAGCAGACCTGTCCCAGGCAAGGATGCAAGATGTGGGAGCGAAGACCACAACACACATGACACAGGACACATGACACATAACAGGACACATGACACAGGATACCTGACACAGGACACATCACCACTTTGGGCAACTTTTGGGTTTGAACAATCATGGTTTTCACATGTTTCGACATGGAGGCTTCGCTTGCGGAGATCCGAGGTCCAAAGTTTGCTAGACGAGCTTGTGCCTTAGTTCCAGTGGATGAGTTGAACAGCTCCAAGTGGGCAAAGAGCAGCCCAACCACCCAAAGCAAACCTTCGGGAAAGCTGATGAGTGCCCACCCAGAGGCCCACTGGAGCGGTTTGAGGGCCTCACCAAGCGTCGGACGCGTTTGAGTCGCTTGGGTTTGCCCAAAATGCGAAATCCGAGCCTGAGGTGCGTTGTCCACTGCTCGTGTTTCCTTTTTGTTTGGAGCTGGTTTCTCTTTTAACTCAACCACAAAAGGGTGAGGGCTGACTTCAGCTGCATGCCTGGATGGCAAGCTTTGGGGTGTTGGATCTAACCCAGAGAACAACGGCACATTGTAGTTTGGGGGTTTCATCCATTCCCGCCAGCAAGGTGTGGAAAGACTACTTCCCTTTTGGGGGACCTCCCTGTCCACTTCCATGAGAGGGCAGCAAGCGACGCTGGTGCTTTCACACATTCAGGTCTTACATTAGCGTGCGCATGGGCAAGTGGCTAGTTGAAGCCGCAGGCGGGGGACCGCCTTTTTGCTTGCACATTTGGCATGTCGAACATCGCAGATTACAGGCACTTTGCGGACGTGTTTCCTGGACAAGCCACAAGCGCTGTTCTCCCGAGGTTGCGCCCAAAGCGAGATGAAAGCAATCAGCAATCAGCCTGATCTACGGCGGTCCAGTTGCTGGTGAGAAGCCAGCCACAGTGGAAATAAGAGCAGCCTAATCTCAGGTTCCTTTTGCAAGAAGGGCTTCCCTTTAAATTCACGCAACAAAAAGAGGGTTCCCGGTTTCGCCATGAGGCCACTGGGCTTGTGAGTAAGTGCTGAGTTCTTAAGTTAGCGAGATTGCCCTGCTGCGTGCACCCAATACACACGCTTGTGGCCTTTCACTCGGAACGCGTTTGGGAAACAACATTTTGGAACTTAAGGACACCCTTTTTCTGGGAAGCGAAAAGCACAACACCCAATTTCTGGGGTCCACTCTCATACAAACCCACATGTTGACCAGGCACGTGTTGTCTCAAATGAAACTTATCCTAAGACCACGTGCTTGCTTCCCCCCTCAATGGTGCCCTGCAGACGCTCACGGTTTTTTCACTCACCAGGTCAGCTGCTTGGGGGTTGTTTGATAAGATAAGCCAGCATTTTGTGACACACCCACCGCGCTTTAAACAGATGGCACCGTGGCAGCCCAGCGTTCATTGCAGGGATCGGGGTGGACGGGCAAGAGCTGCTGAACCGGAGGGACAAGAAGGATCAGCCGAGCCTTGTCCGAGTCTTGCCGTCTCGGGCAAAAGTTGGCGCCATTCCCTTTATTTCGCAAGGTAAAGGACCCGGGCCAGCTACGTTTTCCAAAAAATGTTCTGTGTTCTACGCATGGGTTCAGTTCAGCTTCCCTTAGCAGCGATCGTACTTCTGTTTATCGATCGCCTATTCCAATGATCTCCCCTTTGACTCTTCTGAGACCATAGCCGGTGACTCCTTGGGGGTGACCCTGTGAATGATCTATCAACTCCCCCCCCTGGTGGCATGTGACGCACGAAAGGGGTGGTGCACCGCCGGGCCATGTCAGCAGGTTGTCGGGTGGAGAGGAGTGATCTTTTTTTGGGTTGGAGGTAATATACTTCACGGGGCAAGTCTTCTTTCTTTGGCAACTCCAGGTTAGTTGGCACAGGTTTGGCCTGCCGACCAAGATGAAAACCGGATTTTGAGGGCCCCGAGAATTTCTGACCAGTTGGTTTAAAACTTCTTTCTTGGATATTGACCAAGCTGTAAGAAATATATTGAGGTCTTCCCTGCAATTACCCCAAATTCATCTGCGTGAGGTCTACCTTGTGGGAGTCTGGCCTAGAGGTCAAATTGACATCATGAATGAGGTCCAGAGGTCTCCTCTTGGGAGTTCTGGACTTTGCATCCGAGTACATCATGAAGTAGGCATGTGGTACATGGCACCTTGACACCAGTCCAAACACCCCCCTCCGCCCAGGGGTTCAAGTTGGCTCCCGAACTCCAGATGTATGGCTAGGGCTCCAAGCGGCCACTCACAAGCGCCCCAAGATGTCACCTGGCTAAATAACGTAGCCAATGAAACCTGCTGGTGGGCCCCTGTAGGCCACCTGATATGGGGCCTGCTTGTACTTACGGGGCCTCCGAAGAGGTTTGGTTGGAATAATTCCACTGCAATGTTTGAAATGCGAAACCAACAGGAAACCGACACCGAACAAGAACACAGAAAACGGCACCCCGAGCGGCCCCATCTCTGCCGGTTTGGATGGGAAGTGGTTGCGCTGAGGATCCACCTGTCCCGGTTCCCGGCCATGGCGGCGGAGCGCCTCGCCTTCTTCTTCCAATCCCTCGCCTGGATCCAGGCGCGACTCCGAATGCGTGTGACTGGGTTCTGTACTGTCGCTCGGTTCAGTATATTCAGTTTCGGTTTTGCCATTGTCTTGATGCTCGCGATTTCAGCGTCAGACGTGATGTCGTTTAACCTCACGATGTGCGGGGACGGGATTCGGAATGGGAGGTCTACAGATGTCTACGGTTTCCAGGGCACGTGGAACAGAGGTTGGTTGACTTATGACCATTATTAGAACGGTTACATGGTTGTAACGGTTTATAACATGCTCGCTGGGCTCCAAAAATGCAAGTGGGGGGGCCGACTGAGCTCTCCATGTGTTCGCTCCTCTGCTCCCTCTGCCCGTCCGCTGCGCCACAGGGGCGTGCGTTTGGAGCCGGCGCAGTCTGGCAGCTAGCCACGCCAGTCCTCTCACAAACTGAGCTTATAACTTGTGCATAGGCCCTTGTCAAGGCCCCAAACACTCATTCGTAACTATTTCGACGCATAAATCTACATGGTATATCATGGTATATAGGTTATAGCCGATTTAAGCCATTAAATTGCATAGAAAGGATCTGCTTGTAGATCCAAAGGAACCATGTGGGTGTACGTTGTTTTTGTAGGGCTTGTCATAAAAGGAAGCCAAAAAGGAAACCAGGGGGGTATTTCAAAAGAGACAAAACCCCATATTCTCCAAAATACACTGTTCAGAAATGTGTGAGGGCACCCTTTTCGGTTTTTTCCTCAGTTGAGAGAAAGGCACCCCGCCAATTTGGGGCTCCCAAACCCGCATCCTTCGGCCTAATTTGGCCCAGGACCCGGGTGGCGGCATCAAGTTCCGTGCGGAGACGGATGCGCCGGGAGCTCGGTGCGCAGTGCCGCAGGCGGTTCGCGGTTGGTTGTTCAAATTCAGACGAGCTGGTGTTAACTAAGACGAGCGTGAAGGTCCCTGAAGGTCCCTTGTTTGGGGATTCCTGATTTCAGGTTTGTGAGTGATAGACACAAATGCCCAGATAAGGCGGAAAGGCAGTTTGGGCTACATTCCGTACGTCGGATTTATTTGTGGACTATAGTTGTTTGCCCAGAAGAATGTTGTGTAAGTCGGCCGTGTTAATTTTCCAGAAGCCGCCTTGATGTCTGTGGCAGGTAAATGTTTGAAAGGCTGATTCAAACTCGCATTCTGTGTCCTTGGTATGCGTGCAGCCTCACAGTCTGATCCTCTTTTATTTTTTTTTGCCCTTGGGGTAGTCCCAAAGCGACCATCCCGGGGCCTTTCTGATTTGTGAACAGCCTTGTTGCGAAAGGGAATATTGCCCGGTTCACTTCACATGGGGGCTGAGTGATTACTGGCGGAACATTGTGCTTCTATGACTATGATATATTTGATTTCAATATCCCCCGCAACTCCAGTCATTTGTCGAGCCCTCTATTAGATATCTCAACAAGGTTTCCCAAAAACAAGACCGACTGTGTAACCATTCATGCGACAGGGCTCCCTCTAGTTGAACAAGTTTTTGCCCGACCCTGCTAGCCAACAGGCGACATGACCGACGAACACTTGCTTTCGAGCCTTTGAGATCTCTCAGAGGCGACGTATTTGAATGAAATCCTGGGTTCCAAGTCGAACCTCCCCCTTTGGGTGGGTGTTCAACGTCCCGCTTTTGACTGCCAAAGTAGAAGTGGGATTCCTTTCGGTGATGCAATCAATCCAAGCCATTTGGTTCAAATCCTCGGGCAGTTGGAATTGACGAAGCCTCCAGGCTGGAATTCGCAGAGAAGCCATTGAGTTTGTTTCCCAGAGACTATTTGGAACCGCTTCCGATAGATCCAGGCGGTTTTGTCAGGTTGAGGAAAAGGCCCTCTCTTTTTTGTCGGTGCGCGCTCGCACGCGCTCTCGGCCTTCGCAGTAGCCTCGTTAGATGTTGTTTTAAACGAACCCACCAGGGCTACAACCAGTCTTGGGGGCACCCCCACTTGATGCGTCAAAGGTGGCGTGCGCGTGGGGTCCAATTTCAATTTTGGCATCCCCAAGCAAGCACCTTGGCTTTTCTCTCGGGAGGTCAAGTTTCTGAGCGCCTTTCAGCTCTTTGCTTCCACCTAAGTGGACATATCTATTTCCCCGCTCGCCCATCGACAAGCAGCGACATCGCTTGCTTCGAGGCTGACGGCGGGGCTCTTTGACCCGGGCACCGTCCCCTCGCTGACGCAGATCATCCCGGCCTACAACGAGGCGCCGAGGGGCCTCGAGCTACGAGTTCGCTGGCGTCAAGGGCAAAAGGAGAACCAAAAGCCGCGTTTGGAGGTTCCCCGATTTTGAAACAGGGAGGTCAGCCCAGTTCTTCAGGGGACACGTTTTGAATCGACTGGGGGGGGGGGTTGTTGTTCTTTTTCTCTGGGTAGCGACTAACATAGATCCGTTTTTTTTTTTTGCTTGCATCGTTTTCCCAAGGGACATGTTGCAAAAATCCAGAGATTGGGGGGACAGTACATTGGATGTCTGACTCTATCCGCGGGTCGTAAGGCAACCCTTCGCCATGTTCCTTTTAGTTTTGAAAGGTTTCCTTGGTTTCCTACTGGGTAAATGGAATCGCCGGCTGAGTTTTTTGCCCAGTTCCATCTCACTTGGTTGAACTTTGGTCAGGTTGTAGTTTTAGGGGATCCTGTTTTGGTTTTCCCAAGCTGCTTTTGAGCGGCCATGTGTTTGCTCTCTTCTAATTTGATGGTTGGGGGCTGAACGTTGATCAAGGTTCTGCAGTCAGACCAGTCCAGTCACCAGTCGGGCAAAAAGGTAAGTCCAATGAGTATCCCCAACAGCCCCTTCACCGACGTGTTGATGGTTGATGACTGGTTGGCCTTTGGTTTCTCTTTGGTTTCACTTTAAACCACGCCAAAAAGGGTACCCTCATTCTAGCGGGATCCGGAGTTTGGGGATCCCGAATTTGAGACCACCCCCATGGGTGTCCCCCGAACTCGGGACTCTCGCTTTCATGAACACTTGGTTAAAACTCACACATCATTTATTTAAGTACTACATGGCTGTGGGTCAAAACCAATGGTACCATTTTGGGGTAGGTGCACCACCCATCTTAGAACCTATTTTAGTGGGGATTGGGATGTTCACTGGGGGTACGATTTGGATTTTGACCCATGGCCACAGAACTGCAGGTGTCCATTAAGAAAACCACCAGACCACGTTTTGGTCGGGGCTCGCCTCAGGTGGTGATCCCTACCGTGGACTTCCTCCGGGCTGGGGCGCTGCCCGAGGATCCGATGATCCGGGGTCAGAGAGGTGGCATCCGTTGCCTCTGTGATGCTGTCCGAAAGGTTCTCCACGTTGGGTGCGGGACACTTTGCCTTTAACTTAGCAGCTTCCACCCATGAATGCATTCTTTGAAAAATGGCATCGAATACGCAGAGGGAAGCAGCTGCCTCTCGGAAAGCACGATGGTTTAGGTGCTAGTTCACTGCTTTGGTCAGCGTTGATCGCATCAAGCTTGCAATCACCGCTCGGAAGCAGCGTTTTGCGATAGCACTTGCTGCTCGAATGACTTTTCATGACCAATCCGTTGCTAGTGTTGATTTCGCGGTTGGGACATGTTGATTTGGAAAGCTGAATTTTTGCAGCTCGTGTGTTCCTTTCTGTTCGGCTTGAGGATTCTGGGTGGGTTTGCCGTGCAGTCCTCCGTTCTTCAGATCTCGCGGATGGTAGTATCCAAAGGTAGCTGAAAGTTGGGTCCAGCTTAGACCTGTGCCACCTTTGAATGTTGGAACCCGCAAGCTTCGAAATGAGTTTGTCAGCTCTTCATAGCTGCCAAGCTCCGGTCCGATATGGTACAGTTGCCAGTCGCTTGCATGCAGCTATTTCGGCACCTCACTTTGCCCCTTTTGTACTGCACCATTGGCACTAATGGGCTTGACGGGCATCATTTTTCCCGCCCTGGCCTTGCTCATCTTGGTTTCTAAGGCTGAGTGGGATACGTCTGTAACAGCAGCCCTGCTGCAACGCGGTCTTCAACACGGCACATCTTCCAAGCCAAAGCCTGTGTTGTGGATTGCGACGATTTCCTTGGCTCCGACGTGCTCGAACACAGACTACTACTTGGACCAGTATGAAATTCTCCTGCTTTCCTGGCAGCGCAGCAACAACACACTCTTCAGCCCGTGCTTCGTGGTGCATACGCTTGAGGAGCAGGAGCTCAGCACTCACATAGTGAGCCGCTTGCAGCGCCTGCGCCAGCAGGGTGCAAGGGTTGTGTTCCACCGCCTGTCCTTTATCGAGGACCTGAAGAACACGCCGCACCACATTGACATAGAATGCCAAGCCGGCAGTTTCCTGCGGTTGGACGCCCCCAAGTTTTTCCCGAAGAAGAAGTTTGATCGCTATGCGGACCTGATGTTGTACACCGACCTGGACACCATGTGGCTCCGCCACATTGATCGCCAGGAGTTCTAACACTTGCTGCCGCGAACAAAGTTCACAGTGGCCTATGGGTCTCAACTCAAGATGCGGGAGGGCCCGATCAACGACGGCGTGGTGGTCTTCAATCTCACGAACTTCCGGGAGGTTCAGCCTTTGATGCTTTCACATGCCTTTGGCCTCATGCCTGGCAAGAACTACACGCGAATGAGCGTGATGTTGGGGGACAGCAATGACCAAGGCATGCTGAATCATTTCTTCGATGAGACCCCTATGCCCGAGGGGCGGGCCTTTCTGCGGGACGAATGGAATTACAAGAGTTTCTGGGGATCTTCTAAGAAGGCAGTTATTTTGCATTATTGGGGTGTGAAACCTTCTCAAGGCTTGAAATGTTGGATGGAGACTCGTGACTACGACAACTGTCCAGACATCGATGGGGGCCTGATACCCCAGAGTCAGCGGGATTTGCAGCGACATGCTCTTGACATGGCTGAGCAGAGGGATTCGAATTTGACCTTCCTGCGTGTGGAAGGTGCTTGACACCTACGATGAGCTCAACGCCACGATTGCCCGAGCATGAGCTGAGAGGAAAAGGCAGCTCATGCCCAAGGGGGCATGTCTCATGGTGATGAACGTCAGCAGCAAGAAACGATTGGACAACTGAACAACATCCAAGCTGTAAGTAGCACATTATGATCGGCAAACAGAAACATTGAGTCACAGGAAGTCTCTTTTCAAGCCGGGAAATTGTTTTATCACACAACCCTTGTTCGGCGGTTTGAACTGGTGGTTCGGGGATTTGAACCGCTGGTTCTTGTAGAGGATCGATGCGCCCCCCCCCCCCCCCCAAACCTCCAAACCAGCAATTAGAGGGAACCTGATTTTAGCGACTATTGAACTTGGACCATCCTGGACCAAAGCTTGCCTGGTCCTCGCGGTATTTCCCCAGAGGTGGAGACACAGCATCATGGACGCGGGTGTAAGTCAGGGTTGGTTGCAAAAATACAATGTGGTTTAAATCAACCGCTGGATCCCGCAAAGGAGTTCCCAAAGTAGATTGATTAAACCGTGGTGTTAAATGGCTAAACATGTTGAAACAAGGGTTGGTGATGCCACACTTTGCAACCAGCGGGGTTTTCGCTTCTTCGTCTTCTTTTTTGCTTGCGCAGGATGCGATGAACCAAAGTCCGGATGATCAGCTGGGAAGCCTAGCCGGCCGGGGGAGTCACTCGAGTGTGGCAAAAGGCGGGTGTTAGGGCGATCCCCTGGCATAGCTTACGTAATAAGAAGAGCTCATCAGGATGTAGGCCCGTTACTTGGGGATACCTTATTTCAGGTTATTGAAGTTATTGCAGCGGACACTATATTTTTCTATTTTCTAGGGTTTAGGCTACAAGGGAATCACCTTCTAAGTGACAAAGTAGTCACAGGGATGGCTCACCTTGGTATCACAGTCAGGCGTATTTTCCACAACCATACACTGAGCGGTGCATTATTTGGCTGGTCCAATAACATGTAAATTTTGCTGGTACCAGCCTGTGACGAACGTGGCATGCGTCTCAGCCCAGGGTTCCTGGATACGTCAGATGCCAGACAAGTTGACCCGCCGCCATGACATATCATACCAGTCTTCGAGCGCAAGCCAAAACGTACCTTCAGACACAAGCGTTCAATGGTCTCCTGCAGGATAGGGCAGAAGATCTGCTCCGGGCCCGGAAGTGGGATTCCAAGTTTTGCTGAACAGCGTGGCACGCAACAGCACTTGGATCGGTGGGCTAACGCCAGTGATCTGGTACAAGGGTCAGGACGCTTAGAAGAGGTGCTAAGTCGCTTCTGGTGCTCCAGGATGGCCACTGCAGGTGGCCAGGGTCCGACGATTACCTACTGTACGCGACTACGCGACGATTGCGCTGGCGGCTTGCGTATGCCTAGTTTAGGTCTTTGAGAAGGGGGAAGACACCCTCTACTTGTACCATGGCAACTGCCTCTTTCCCAGCTACACACATGCTTTTGTGTTTGGTGCACAGTTGCTTGTTTGGGAGACCATGCCTTTTGTTTGGAAAGCGGCCACGCCTGTTTGTTTTTGGGTGGACCCCTTGTGCAACAATCCCCCAAGCGGACACAAGGCCTCTTAAAAAATTGCATCTATCCTCTTGGAAACATGCCAAGCATGCTACAGAAGAGCTGGCAAAAGTAGTTTTTTTTTTAGTTTTCATCCACCCGGGCAAATGATAGCAAGATCACCTAAAGGTACGACGGGCTCACCAATGAAAGTCCCTTACTTGGTCGTTCCTTGCTTCCAGCTTGGACAGCATAGTAAATCGCCCCGAGCGCCTGGTTGTGCAGGGGGGCCCATGCAAACTACATATGCCCAAGAACCAATTGCTTGGGTTCCCCGATTTCCACACATTGGATGGATTGATTCAAGTGAGTCTCCTCTTCTGTTGGTGGAGTGATGTTAAGTGGGAGAATATAGGGACCTCCGCCGTTTTCCCTGCACCTGTTCTTCTGGGGGGTCGCGCAATTTAACTCCTTTTTGGACGTCCGATAGCGAGTAGTTCATTTCAACTTCTGAAGGGGAAACGGTCAATATCTTGCTGTCATCTACTGTAGAGGGGGAGACGTGGGTCAACCGTTCAGCAGATTCCCATGTCAGTTTGGAACACAATATGCTCAGGTGATATCCCCAACAGCATGCGCAGCCCTCGTGGAACCCTCGTGGAACCCTGGTGGAACCGTACTGGAACTTTCGTGGAACCTTACCTCAAGGCCGCCCCCGGACCACCCCGGAGCCCATCCGGGCTGAGACCCCAAAGCTTTCAGCTGTTGGGGAACAAACAGTTTTTGTGCCTTTTTGAGGGAGCGCATTTTTCGGGCTGGTTTCTACAGGGGGACCAACAAGACACCCGGGTAACCCACAGGTGGAGAGGGAAGTTCCACTCCGGAACGCCTTAGGCCTGGGATCGGCGATCTCACGGCGCCTCCTCTGGGAGATGGAGCAGGGTCCCCGGACGGGAAGGGATGGCTTTCAGTTGTTGCGTTTTTTCCTGTTTTGTTTGATGTGCTGCTTGGTTGTGTGTTTGATTTATTGCTTTGCGGGGCCTTTTCTCGATGTGTTTCTATGTGGTTTGTTGTTTTTCTTCGGCTTTTGATATTGTTTCTTTGGAATGTTCGGCCTTTTGGTTCTTTGGTTGTGTTCATTTCCAGCAGGAGGCTACAATGGAAGTCCTTTCTGACACTGGTGCCGACAGCAAGCAAAAGGCTGCTCTTCAGGATTGGGGCATGAAGGTGACAAGGGTCAAAGAGGAGACAACCTAAACCCCGTTGAAGGTGAACTTGGGAGCGATCCCACCGAAACAATCAAACGGATTTCCTTCATCCGGGGTTAACAGCCACCAAGTGCGTTTTGGGGCCACTTCTCCAATGTCTGTCCTCAACGTATTTCCAACACGGCGCATGCAAGTGTCTTTTCCTCCTCGCCCTGCGCCTTGCACGGTCCACATCAAACCTTGGCGAAGCGCGGCCGTTTTGCATTGGGGTGTTGGCACCTGGTGACTGGGCTAGCGTTGACCAGCCTGGGTAGCTCTGCTTTTGACCAGGCGGTGAACGGATGTGTTCTTCTGTTTCAATGGGTCCTTCTCCAGTTTGGCCTCGATTCGGTGGTCTCTTATTCGATTTCTGAGCTTTTGTCAGAGCCTATCTTGTCGGGGGTTAAATAGCTAACACCGCCGCTTGCTCACTTTAGATCATTGAATGAAGGAGCTTCTTTGGCAAGGATTTGGAGTTCTGGACAGCAAAAGGGACACATCCCTCCAGATAAGACAAAAACATGTTGACCCAGTTCGGATGATATTCCTTCAGCCCTTCAGGTAATGGTGGTTATATCAACCATTGTTTTTAATGGTTGGAATCCTAGAAACCATTCAGGGCTCCCTGGCTGAGGCCCAAGACATGTCTGAACCTGATGGATTGACCATGGCGATTGATTGATGCGCATGGAACTTGGAAACTTGATTAATTGATGGTTGTCCATGGTTCATTTGGGAGATGGCGGGACTCGCTAAATGTCCCATGTTTTTGGCTGGGGGAGCAAGTCATTTTGACCGAGGTGAATTCCAACCTCGCCTTCATCATATCGCAGTTCCCGGAGGAATGGATGTTCCTGGCGAAGAGGCTTGCCTTGCCGCGCTTGGGCTGTCTTAGCCACATGGGAGTTGGAACTCCGGAAGACGAGTTCCTGTCGCCTTCCCGAAGCAAAAGGGGGTCCAATTCTTGGGACGCGCATTTGTTTGCGTGCCGCTCAAGAAAGAGGCTGAGGCTGAGGCGGAGTGTGTTCAACAATCCTCAGTCCTGCCAGATGGTGGCGATGCGCTTGTCCCACAGATCGCGGACCCCCTACCCATTTTGAACAGTCAGTCGGTGGAGCTTGAAGCCGAGGCTGAGCCCTTCCGAATCCCGTTTGGAAGGGCCCCTGAAGCTCTGCTGGGGGCCTTCGATGCTGCTGTGAGTTTCAATGGTTGGATCTCTCACCTTCAAAGCAGCCACCCCATATATAAAGTCCAACTCATGCACTTGTGCAATAAATCCTTCCAGCCCGGCTCAATGCTTGATTCGAATCTTCAAGTTCTAATGCCGCGGCTGCCATTCCAAGTGCTTCCATTTTCTCCACTGAGTAGGGAAACAGGTGTGTTGACCTCAGGGTTTTACGTGACGGTGCCCCCAGTTTGCTACTCTTTCCTGGAAGCACCGGGATTCCTTATTGGAAGTGCTCCCTTCAGGTAACATGGACATGGAACCCCAAAAGCCCAAGACGTGGGGAAATTTGGCAACACCAAAGGTTTGCCTCGTTCCTTTCTTGAGGTCCCTTTCAGGGCAGGGCCCCCAAGAGCCAGGGCCATCCTTTTCCCAACAATGCCTCGCGCGAGTTTCGGGGCGCCACGCGAGGCTGTTCCAAGAGGGTCTACTGGAACAGCCGAATGCCGCGGCCCTGGTGCGCCCGCACCACTGTTCGCGGCTGCCGAGTGTTTCTCAAAATCATGGACCCCCCTTTTGTTTGGTATTTGACGGGAAGCCGCAGCTTTAGGGACCCACATTTTGAAGAATCCTCAGTTTTTCTGATCACTGGCAATGCTAAGGAGGTAGGTTGGGGTCCCATCTTGCCATTTGGATGTCCTTCAAATCCTTTAATTAAAACATGTACCCTCAAACAAGACATGCTTGTGTGTATGAACGTCAGACCTATATACCCTCATGCCACATCGTCACGCAACTTTTGAGGATGCAGGAGGCCAGAGCCGGCCCAGCAGTCTCCGGCCCACGAAGACACCCCCGGTGCCCGGGTACCGTACCTGCAGTGAGGGCTGCGCCTGGGCCATCGACGTGTCAGCTACTTTTTGCCCCTTGGACGTCGAGTTGAAATTTGGGCATTGGGGGACCCCCGGGTGTGATTCCGCGACGGCTTTGCCGTGTTCAGTTGCAGCAGCGTTTGACACAAGGCACCCAAAGAAGATGAAGATTTGAACATGATCCTTGCTGATGCACTTCACCCTGCTGATCTACCCCAGGAGCGTTTGAGACTGCTCCTTGACTGCCTGATTCTGCTACTTTGGCAACCTCGTTGAGCTGGCCCGTCGTTTGAGAGATGCTGCTTGTCCTCATTGCCCCTTGGCGGGTGTGTGTGTGTGTGTGCTGAGCGTCAGATCTACCCTGATGCCACAGCATCATGGAACCTTTGAGGACGCAGTCTCCGGCCGTAGGGCTGCGCCTTCGCCACTGACGTGGCAGCGGGCCCCCCAAACAACGTTTCCCTTTTTCCCATGACTCGAGAGAGCCACTCGAACGTGACAGATCTCTCCTTCAAGAGTTTAAGTGTGTTGTGCTTTGCAAGGATTCCAAACCCAGCCAGTTTCTGCTACAAGGGCAACATGATCAAAGCACCCCTGCCCGAAGAGAAAACCAAGAAAACCATTCTGATTTCGCGCGTGGCCCAACTGAGTTTTTACCATGGCACACATCAGTCCTGTGAGCCTTGTTTGGGTTTGGTGCATGGCCTTACTGACCCAAGACTTACGCCTCCCGTACACCCCCCAAAGGGTTGGGGCACATTGCAGCGACTTGATGACGAATGTTCCTTCATAGGGAGTTCTCGTCATTTCGGTTCGGTGAAACAAACCATGGTTTACGCAAATCTTATGGCACCGGGACCTGTTCTTCACGGAGAGTATTCTTGTCACAGCAACTGTCGAATTCACCCAGACACATTTGCATTGCCGTCTAGCCACCTTGAGCCGGCCAGCCAGCCTGCCTGCCGGTGGGCCAAACCAATATTCACCGCAATCCACTGTAGGAAAGGAACTGCCTTGCGGCAAAGAGGCAAACAGAAATCGCCAAGTTAGAAAACAAACCATGCCCAAGGTTACTTTTCGGGTGCAAATTCACCCTTACCACCAACTCGAGATGGTTTACCCTCTCTCCCCCCTCTGTCAGTTTGAGCCCCAACGAGCTTTATGAGGGCAAGCAACTTCTGGGGTGCGGATCCAATCGGACTCTCACATTTGAAGCGTTTGACGTTGCATCCCGTTTTCCGGAATTTCAGCAAAACCCGGGGGAAGCAACCTGTGTTCGAAAAGACCCATGGCTGGAATGGATGGAGCCCGAATCAACCCCTAGAATCGGTCAAGCCCTAAACTTGGCGCCGGTTTCCTGGCTTCCTGTAGAAGCAACATCAACCAGGGTTCTCCAAAGGGAAACACCCCCATCATGGTGCTTGCTAGGTTGTTCCTTGACATTCCTGTTAAGCCCACCCCAAAAGGGTGCCAAAGAGACACCAGAAAAAGGCAACCTCAACCTCTCGAACATCTGGTCAACGAAAATGGAGGAGCATTGCAAACCCAATAGCATTTGGTCCTAACCCCAACAATCTTCAGCAGAACGTGGACATCCCTGAAACGCAACTAACCCCGAAAAAGGTTCGGTCAAGTGGTGTCATCTGCAGCAGCTAAAGGGGGTGACATTGGGCACACTCACCAAATTACCCTTCCGGAAGTGGGGTTGCTCACCAAAATCCCTGCATAAGGATCACTGACCACATGCCATGGCCAAAAGACCCCTCTGCTTGAGGTTGGCAAGTATGGATACCGTAGACAAGGAAAGGATTCCTTGTCAGAGAACCATGACCATCGCCAGATTCGGAGTCTTGACTGTGGCACAACTGGGTGTTGAATAGCAACCATGTGTTGCTTCTCATTTCCCAAAAGGAAGCCAAAAGGGATGGTCCTTTTATGTGCTTTGCCGTCCAATAGCTTTCGCCCAGAATGACCAAACCCCTCTAGGTTTCCCCAAAGGAAGCCTGGAGCAATCGCCCAGCGAGCCTCCCAGTCCCATGAGCTCTACAAAAGCTTCATGAAGAAGAAGCTCAGGGAGGACCTGGTGATCGAGGCGTGGAGAAGGGCTAGGGATAGGGGGACGATAGCTGGTCCGAGGTTGGGGGGGAATCGTTTTTTGTTCGCCTTCTGGGTCCAACAGGTTTGGGCTTCAAAAAACGAAGGGGTCCGTCTTGGTAGTTTCGTCCCCCTGCCAGGTACTATCTAGTGCGGGGCTGCATTTTGTTTTCGTTTGGCTCCTCGCCTGCATCAAGGCTAACACCCAAGTCGGTGCAAATCTGTACTCCCACACCAATTCTTGAGACACTTGAGGAATCCCCAAACTGGACAGAATCCACTTGGACCAGTTGGAATGATCCCTTATATGAATACTGTGATATACCACCTACCATCACCTACCAACCAACCGGTGCAAAATGAGTTTTGTCCATCCAGAGTAGGCACAGTCTAGGTTGTAAATAAGGGCCTGTGTCACATGGTCGCCTGACTTGTCCAAAACCGTTGTAAGGTGAAGCGTTCAACGGTTTGGGATTTGAACTAGGAACCGGGGGTAACATTTCTCATTCCAACCATAGCTCACAGGAGGCCTCCTGAGACGCCTTGTTGGAAGAATCGTGGCTGTCCACTAAGACGGCAGGATTTGTCCCTCCCCGCCCCGCCCCCCATTTCGAGAGAGAAGCCGCAACCCATTCAACATGGAGCTCGGAACTTAACTTGTCCAAGCCCTAAACTCCCAAAGTGCCACCATGAACAATGCCCATATATCCTCGACTGAGGAGTGTTGTCGTCAAATGTGGCTCACTGATTTTTCAATGGGTTGAAGCCTAGGGCAAAGTTTGTGCCTTCAGGTGTCCCTTTCCCAAACCCGTCTAAAAGGGGGTCCAACTAATTGCACGACACTCCCATGCGAGTTTCGTAGTCGATGTCTATTTGGGAATCTGAATTTACAACCAAAACCCAGGGGGACTTACGCAACATGACCCAAACAGGAACCTCATAGTCCGAGCTTGGTCTCTCCTTTCAACGCCTGGCATCCGGGGCAGGGCCCCATCCGGGGCAGGGCCCCATCCCGGGGCCACGATCTCTTAGCCGGCAGGTGCGTCTCTGGGCGGCCATGCGCACTCAATCCGTTGCAAAGACTGTGGTCGGGGCTCTCCAATACGGGCGCCGCCCCCAGTCGCTTTGGTGGGGGTCTGCGTTTTGTAGTCCAGGGCTGGGTCCTGCCCTTTTCCAGACCACCCCCCAAAATGGTGATTTGCGCTCCTGTTTGCCTTCAAAGCCGCAGACAAAGCAGAATCCAAAGATATTATTTTCGGTGCACGGAGTTGGGCCAAGGTTCAGGTGACGGCAACCTGGACAACAGCGTTCGATTTTGTTGTTCCACAAGAAGGAGCAACACAACCCCCCCCCGTCTACCCAACATATTGGTTGGGCCTTTGTCATGTATCCCGACCATTTTTCCGACCTCCGGCCTTTCAAAGGTTTGCCGCTGTTGGAGGCCAGGGGCCACCGACCGTCCCATGTGTTTCTGATTTGAAGGGGGGGTTCAAATCCAATGGAAACTCATGTATTGAGGGCAAGCTGATTTTTTTCATATGACATGTTGAGAGAAACTTGGGTTCAGGTGTCTGAGTTTTGTTTGATTCTCAGGCCCTGTTGGCACTTTACACCCAACATGGCGCATTTGACCGGCAACATGCACCACACATGACACATCTTAACCCAAGTAACGCCGTCCGCACAAACAACATGGCCTTTGTGTGCCCCTTTCCAGACCCCCGCGCGGTTGAAGCGCGACTTCCGGCCCGGACCCAGGAAGGCGCTGGCGTCACTGCCAAAGCCCGGAGCCGAGGGGAGTCGCTCTAAAGCACCGCGAGAGTTTTGTTTCTGATTCATGGACCCCGGCTCCTTTTTGACTAGCCGTGAGCCATTGCGTCAGACGCAAATCAGAGCAGTGTTTGACAGAGAGGTTTTCTGAAAAGCTCGGGATGAATCCTGGTGGATTTGTCATATTGTTTTTCTCCGAAAGCACATGATTCACTCTAAATTTCACCCAGGACTATAATAACCAGCCCCTGGTTGATTTTGATCTGGGGGTGTCCCATTTTAGAAGGCATTCAAATCACCTTTTTGGATGGAAAACCCTCCTACTCGCCCGCCATGTGGTTGGTTCTTTAATCTCTCTCGAACAAACGAACGGCTAGTAACCAGCGTTGCGAAGCGGTAGGACCCCTCTCCGCGATACACAAGGTACGCCTGAATAACATGAGTCAGGCTCACAGGATTCCACCGCAGGATCAATCTGAGGACCCTACCGGCTTTCAGATCGCTTTTTGTGATGCGAAGGGATCAAGGGAATGACTTATGTCACGGCCATGCCTAAGAGCCCAAACCGTTTTAGGGTCCTCAAAACTAGGCCCTTGAGTAGTCGCGGTTCTCGTTTGGAGGGCCCCCGGGGTCTACATTGCTTTTGGGGAAGCCGCCCGGAACCTTTTCATGAGCACAAGCGCTGCAAGTCCTGAAATGGGCGCTTGAACTTTTTTCCGGTGGAGGCATGGATTTGGTTCGCGTGCCCCGACTTTCGATTTGAGGATGAAGCAGTACTACGCGCAGTTTCCCGAGAAGCGCAATCCCGAGGACCGCAAGTCAAAATCGGCGAGTTGGCGAGATCCGGGCAACGAAACAGAACGGCCAGCCGTTTGATTGGCGAACAATAAATGCTTAGGATTGCAGAACAGACTGAATGCACCCAACACACATGATGACTCATGATACTTCCTTCAAGAAAAAATACATAGACCACCCGCTTGCTAAAGGCTTACCAACCCCACTTGATCCCAGTTACCATAACGTTAGGCAACACTCTGCAAGGACTTCTGCTGATTAACACGGAACCCCAAAAACGATCCGTCACTTGAAGAAGCTCCTTTTTGGATTGCTCCCCCTGTGAATCTGGGGAGTAAATGGACTCCCCCCTTGGGGGTCAAGCTTCCAACCCTTCAAGGGCCAGGGTACTTAGCAAGTGGTTAGGGATCATGGTTCTTTGGAATTCCCCACCAAAGCCACATTAAGTCCCCCTCTCAAGGGAATCACTCGGAAGTGCCAGGATCACGCAGAGTTGATCCTCGCTCATCAGACATATGGCCTGGGACCCAGGACCGAGCTGGAGTTCTGCGTTCGACAGGTTAATTGGGGATTCAAGCAGACGGCTTATTGAACATGACTCATGTTGAGATATTGAGTCGGGGTTCCCGACGGCCAGCACGGACACGGAACTTGGTGCGCAAGGCTGTAGCAAGACGACAGGAATCCCTTGCACAGCCAGCATGTCCTGTCCGTTTTTAGCTGTTTGCAAAGCCGATGTCAAACCAAAGACATCAGCTCTCATGAGAGCTGAAGTCTGAAGACACATTCTTCCAGCCAAAACTCAGCTTTTGCGAAGTGCAATTCGTGCCTGGGGCTACAGTCTTGGGACCGGCTAGTCAGCAAGTTTGGTAGGCTCAAAATGATCTGCCCTAAGAACTTAAGAACCCTCAGAGATATTGAAGGAGCCCCAATTGACAAGCGGTGGCTCCCCCTCGTGCTGTTTCGGCTGAAATCTTGAAAATCGCCAGATTTCTGTTTAGTTTCGCAGATGCCAAGCTGCTTTGTCAGGATCGCGACGCTTCTTGTCAGCCAAGGAATGAAAGCTCCGGAAGGCAATCCCGAGAATGACGAAGCGATCAGGCTATTGCTCACCAGGCGCTGTTGGGGGGCACTAGTGGCTTACTCATTGCCAATTTAGAGAGAACGCGCGCACAGCAAGAGGTGGCAGCGTGAACCAAGGCTGGGCCAGCCGTTTAAGACATCTTCAAGCCACTCGGATTTTCCTTAAATCGGACTAAATCGGGTCTGCTCTGTTTTTTTTGTTTTTTTTCCAGCATGTTTAGCAACCAACCATGGCCCAAGCCCCAACTTCCAAGTCTCCGGAGTCAGTCGGCTCCCGGCCAGGCATGCCAACGATCCGATTTTCCTCGTCTTTGACCTGACGCCTGCGACGTTAGAAGAAGTTTGGTACATGGTGGAGGCCGCGCCACGCGATCGAAATGAATGCGTGCTTTGAGACAACACTTGACATCATATATATGTATATATATATATGTATATATATATATACACATACACACGGTATACGCATATATATGTATATATATATATACATACATACATACATACATACATACATACATATATATATATAATATATGCCAAGTACCCTTTTCGGGTGGCTTAAACAACACCTTGGGCCAATCTTAAATGATTGCTTCTCTTTAATAAGGTAATGTTAAGCAGCCATGAGGCCGCTTGCCCGCGCGGCCCTTTAAACATAGTTGATTGGGGGGGGGGGACGATTTCGACCCCAAGTTGTAACGAACCCTTTTCCTTCTTGAGGACTTGCAGAACTCAACCCCCGCCCCCGCCCCTGAATGTCAGGAGGATTGCCCCCCTGTAGGGATGGCAAATTGGGTTTGTCCCAAAAGTGAGACAGCCCTTGAACCGGGCGGTTTCTCCCTTTAGTTCCCAAGTGAAGCCAACGCCGAGGGTAACCATGGTAATCTAAACACACACACACACACACACACCCTGGAAGATCTGGAAGATGTGTGGAGACTAGACCAGGATCTCCAGTCCAGGGACCCCTTGCCACAAACCATAGATCCGTGCCGTGCTTTGTGGGTTCCCCTTTTTGGGGTTGTCTTCAAGCGTGCACCACATTTTTTTGGGGTGGGATTGAAGTTTTCGGGAGACACACAAATACACTATGGGTATGCATGTGTACAAAGGGCATGTGAGGCCGGACCGCCCAAGCGTTGTCCAAACCTTGCTTCCAAGTATTTTCAGCGACGGTGGCTGCGGATACCTGGGCCAGTTGTGCTATCGGAGACGAATTGAAAACAACGCAGTTCATGAAGTTCTAGACGCAGGATCGCCTTTGGTTGTCCTGATGTCGCACAACCCGCAGTGTGTGGCTTCAAATTGATTCCTTAGCAGTCTATTTGCTGAAGGAGCTAACAAAAACACGGCGCATGAACTTGAATGGGGAACGGGGAGGTTCCGGGGCTATTGGGTAGAATGTCCTGGGGCTGATTTCAAGAGGGGAGCAGGGAGCAGGGAGCAGTTCAACCAAACACGCCCACCAGGCAGTGAACGAAACGACAGCCCGGAGTCAGGAGAGCCCTCATTGGCGAAACAATTACACTTTGTGCGCGGAGCATTGCAGCCAGCTTCTGATGAATGCTGCCTATAAGTCAAGAAAACCTTCGCACGGCAAGATCAGCTTCCAACAGTCATGGCCCCAGCCATGCGCCCACGAATATGCTCTTCTCGTAGCTTCCAACGTGGCACCACCCACCTCCAGCCTCTCGCAAAGTAAGCCACGCTTCTTTGGAGGGCCAGCCGCCAGGCCTTTCTCACCCGAAGAGGTGGATACCAATTGGGTGCTTTCACCTATGCCAGCGTGAAATGCAGGCGGGGACCCGGGGACCGGGTGAGGCGATGTCAGCGAATTCCTCGGCGCTTGCTCAAAACCCGGGCAGAAGGTTGGTGCCATTTCTAGGCACGATGTTGAAGAAATTGCCCCTTGAGTGCCAGGTTTTGTCCAATTTGGGGGAGGCCACTGCATCTAAGAATCTGACTCTTGTGAGCTGTTTGCGGGGCTCGTTAGAGTTCCGTAGCGAGCGCGCACCGGGCAAAGTCATGTCTTGCAATGGATGTAGCATGCAAATCATTGACAAAGGTTCTCCCTCAATATTTGTGGGGTCGTGCGTTTCCGTTTTCTGGGGTTTGAATCATCACTATTTGCGGCAATCTTCTGTAAGTTTCCTTTAGTGAGGTGATACATCAAGTTGGGCCTGTGAGGAGCCTTGAAATGGGCAGCTGGCCTTTGGTTTCCCTATTCATGCTACCCCGCCAAACGGTTCCCTTGAAACATGCGTCTCCATCTGCACATCCCGCGGTCCTTCTGACACCCAGCAATCCACAAGGTTCCCATTTCAATTCGGGACAATTGATCGATGGGCCCCTGCGGTTCCAATTGTTCCTGGAAAGGGGCCCAACTTGGATTCCCACAAGGGGCTCAAAAGGCAAGCCCTGTACGATGTGGTTGGGGGGATTGATTGCGGGTGGTGACCCCGCATCAACCAACCCGGCGAATTCATAGTTTAAGAGCTGCTGCTCAGTGCCACCTCCCCCTTAGTGCCAAGCATCTCTCAATGTTCTCAGCAGGCCTCGATACCACTGTTGAACCAATTTTTAGGCAACAACCCCACATCCTGGCTCTAGGTTACCCAAGTTCCAGAACCATGAATTGAAAGCTTGTCCGAGCCTGTCCCAGGGTGGAATCGAGATGAATCGAGCCCCAGACGCTGCCCAAAAACCCACGTAGTTATTCGCCCAAGCACCTTTCAAGTCATGCTCCCAAAAGGTGCAAAGCAGTGCAGGTCCCGATGGCTAACGCGACAATCAGATCATGTATATGACAAGGAAGTGAGAATGCGGGATAAAGCTAATAAAGCTAAGTAAAGCTAAATAAAGCTAAACCAGCTAAACAAGGCAAGATCCCCGGGATCCCCGCTGTATGTAGAATACGTGCAGCCACGGGCCCACGGAGCAAAAACCGCATATTGTGACCGAATTGCTCAAAGGAGATTGGAGTTCATGAGCTGGCTGACGGGGCCTTTGCACAGGCCCCGAAGGCCGGCGACTCTCCACTTCCGTTGTTAGAAAGAGTTCCCCCCCTGCTTGAGATGGGTTCTTGAACGAAAATAGAGGAAATGCTTGTGTGGGGCCTCCCTTTAGGTCTCCCTTGGGTTACACATGGGTATGGGTCAAAATTAAACCACCAGGGGACCGCAGGTTTTGGTCCATGTTTCCACGTTCTTGGGTTCCATTTTGGGTACATATTTTTGACCCACAGCCACGTGTTAGTTGGCAGAGGGGAGTAACCCGGGGTTCCCATAAAGCCTTGCCAGGTGGGATTCTGCGACGGCGGGCCTGAGTATTCTGGAGGCCAAGCTGCGAAGCTCATGGGCCGGGTCGTCGTGGCTTTTTAGACCCTGGCGCTGCCTTTTGGAGGGAGTACCTAAAAGGGGCCCGCCAGTTTTGACCGACACCCCATGAAGAAGAAGAAGAAGAAGAAGAAGAAGAAGAAGAAGAAGAAGCAACAGCGGACCCCACAAGATAGAAGAGCCTTCTTTGCGCTTGGCCCCCCTCATGATGTGGCTCATGCCATTCCCCCCCCTTGCAGCTATTGGTGCTCCCATCAGTTATGACTTCTAACAATGCAGCATGAAGGTGTCGATTTGTACCATACCCTTGAAGCATCAACCTGGGGGGGGAGCGGATCGAGAGAACTTTGGTTGCGCAGGCAACCAGTGTTCTCTCTCAACATCAAACATGTGCCTTCCAAATTTTGATTCCCCTAGGCCCTAAACTTGTGGTTGAATACTGGACATGTGACATCACTTTTCCTTTCAACAACCAAAAGGGGTTTGATCGACATAGGAAACCCTCACATCCTGCAAGGCATCTTGGATACCCCGGTGGACCTTTCCCGGAATGAGCTTTCAAGTGGCAGGCTGGCTTTCAGAGCCAGAACTGCTTGCTTGCGCTCCCCTAGTGAAGGCTTCTATTTGAGATTGTGGGAGCACCACATGTTTTGAGTTTGCTCGCCAGGGGATTCCTAGTGGCCATACAGAGGTTCTGCTGAAAGTACCGAGATCTCAGCATGGGCTGTGCAATGTCTTGCCAAAAATGCATTCCTTTTCCGAAGGAGAAGATATTAGGGCCCCCTACTACTGCCAGCAAGGTTCTCAAAACCCTTTAGTCTTTTGGTTCGACGAATCTTTCCCCGCGGGAGGGGGGGGGGTGCATTTTTCCCGTAATCTAAGCCCAGCGTCGCACTTCGCATTGGCTTCATTTGCTGCAGCAACGTCGCTGGCGCGAGGTGCTTCCACGAAAGTATCCGCTGCGAATAGGCCGGGCCATCGTGTGGTTGGGCCGTGTCAAGCTTCCCGCGTGGATTTGGCTGCAATCCACCATGAACACATGGATTCCCATTGGCCGCAATGCTCATCACAAAACAAAGAAAGGACTGGAAAGAAGGAATGGGAAGGTTGGGAAGACTGGAGTCTGGATGACATGCCGGCCCAGGCAGGATAGTCTGGATGACATGCCCGCCAGAACAGGAATCTGAAAAAAAACATTCCTGCTTTGCTTCTTAAGCAGTCCGCGCGATTTGGGTCGATGCTTTCAGACGCAGCTCAGGCCAAGGAGAGTTCAAGACGCAGGGCAAGGCAGGGGAGGGAAGGCCGCCGTTTCCAATGGGCATGTGCCCCTTACCAAGTATACCCCTTGTTTGCCCTCTCATGCACAATATGGTACCTCCAGTTTATCAGGAATAGATCACTTTTCTGTTGCCAGGGAATGCTTCCACGTTGGGAGAGCATTTGTCTGGGACGCAAAGGTGACGGCTGGCAGCCCTTGTGGTGAGCAAGTGCCGGACCAGGTTCCCTGGTTGAGCCTTTGTGTTATGGTTCTAAAGGCTTTCAGGTCCAATAATCATTTATGAATTAAGCCACAGATGGTTTAGCACACTGCAAGGTATTCTGCGGGGTCTCGTTTAAACGGTTCTTGCATTTCCCGCTCACCACATATGAGCTGAAAACAAACAAGTTGTTTGTTTGATTTGTTTTGTTTGTTTGTTTGATCGTTTGATTTGTTTCGTTCGTTTGTTCGTTTGTCCGTTTGTTCGTTCGTTTCTGTTTGTTTGTTTGTTTTGTTGCTTTGTTTGTTTGTTGGTTTGTTTGGGCGTTCCGTTCAGTGTCACTGTGACTTGCAGAGAGCCCTTGGCGCGAGGCCTGCAACCAGCTAAACGCCCTGCGCTTCGCGTCTGGGCACTACATACAGGCGGGAAGGACTCGCCAACGCGGCTTCCGATGGCCGGCTTTGGTGCTTAGTGGCCCCCAAGAGCCACGAGTAGGCTGTTAGCCGTGAATACAAAAAAATCAGGCCGCTACTGAACCGTCTCAGAACAGGGGGCAACTTTCCCCGTCTGCCTTGTGAAGCAAGGCGGTCTGAAGGCAATCCTTCATCCTTTCCTTGGGTATCTAACTCCCTTTCTGCTTTTCTGGTTTCCCAGTGGCGATTATAGATTCTGGATTGGCCAACCCTCCCTTGAACTGCTTAGATTTGTCCACTCCCCTCTCTTTGGTGTATCAAGTCGCCCTAGCCAAGCATCGGCTCACTGGAAAAGCCAACTTGCCAACAGCGGCAGTCAGTCCTTCAGTGCCAATGCATTCTGAGACTAGGAACGGCATTGCGTGCGCAGCAAATGCCGATAGGCTTCCCTTTCTTCTATCTATCTTAGGGCCCTCGATATTTGGCTCAGCTCAAGCTGCTGCAAGAAAGCCAAGCACTTCCCGTTGTAATTACTTGATCCCTTCTCCCCCCCTCCCGGCTGTAAGAAGCTTTCGCTGGAAGCGAGAAGGGTTCCTTCCCTCAGAATCAAAGGACAAGCCCGGCGGAACAGGCCTTCCGTGGTGAGGACCCTTATTTGTTTTTCGCCCCCAACCGGTTTTACGACCTCCAGTCGCTATTTCATGGCCCCCAGAGAACAGGTTGGCGGTCAAACACAAGGGGCCACAGGTGTCCTTTTTAGATTAGTTTGGCTAAAAATCGACAGAAGGACATCTATGCAAGAGGCGTTTTCCGTGAACGACAGGCCTTGGACTGCAACATGGGCACCTTCCGGGGTGAGGGCTTCAAGGCGCGGGACTTCGCAGCGTCCAAAACGCGGGGTTTGTGTTGGTCGGTTTCTCGTCAAAAGGCAAAAAATGGGGGGGAGCGGGGTTAAGGGGAAAGCCAAAAGGAGCTGAAGCCCATGTTGGGGTTCCATGGCTCCATGTTGACAAAGGATTTGGATGGTGCTTCCAAGATGCAATCATGACCGTTTGGATTGCTTCTGTTTGGGCTTGCCGCCAAACAGAATTCAATCCGCGTGTCCCTCATTCTTTGTGAAAGCACCCATGCGCGCGCGGGTGTGTGTGTGTGTGTGTTTCCTCCTGTCTTAATCCTGGCAAAGAGCCAACCAGTTGGCGGATGGGTGAAGTTGCTTCTCATGCGTCAAGGGAATTTACTCTGCCGCATATTAACATGGAACCCCCAAACGATGGTGGCTTCCTCACAGGGCGATTCCTCTAAAGCAGATACGCTTGTTGGTTGCATGTTGTTATTGTGCAGGGGAATACATCTCCCGACATGTACCCCGATCTTGCAAGGGTCATAAGGCAGCCAGGATGTCCATATTGTGAAGGGCTCGTGAGGGGACATTGACCTGGGTCACCTGAACATTGTGTCAAGTATCCCAAGCGCCAAGAATTGCCGTTGGACCATTGCAGGGCCATTCCATGTCTTGCACTTCAGATGTATCGGATGAACAGCCTAAAAGTGGACAGCCACCACCCACGTCTTGCAACCACCCACTCTCCATTGTTTTTCTTGGTTCAAGCCTAGAGACACCCTTTTATCAGACCTTCACACGGATTGCTTAATGTGTCTTGAATTGCTAGATGCTGAAACCTGTTTGTGGACATGCCATGTCATCCCCCGGAAATTTCATTTTGGTCAGCGCACTTGCGGGTCTTATTCAGTCAAGCCGAGTTGAATTGATTCAATAGAGTTGACAGGACAGCTCAGGGTATCAAATCAGATCGGGTGAAAGCAGGCATGGCAACGGAGACAGTGGAGAGACGGATGCTGGTGATTTGAAGCCAGCCTATGCGCAGGTTCCGTATGTTCTGCGGCTCTTCATGCCTCTGGACAAAAAGAACCGCTCGGCACTAAGCTTGGTGGCTCATGCGCTTACTTGCGCTGACGCCTACTCATTGTTCCCATCAGATGTCAAAGGAAACCTGCGCGAACGAGCTGATTGGTGGATATCGCGGGTGGTATCGGGGCTGGCAAAGTGTTGACGCCTGCGTTTGAAGTCCCACGTTGGGAAATTATAATTCTATTGCTGTGGCTGTGCGAGTGAGATGATGTGTCCCATGGGCGCCGTTTGCTTCCCCGTTGTGTGAGAATTAGTCAATTGGGAAGGCCGATGTTATCAGTATCAGAGAAGTGGCTGCAAGCAATTCCCTCTTGTCATACTAAGCTGGGCTGTTCAAAGGTAATCCTTAATCCTTACCTGGGGTTACGCAAGGGGTCCCCTTTGTAGTGGCTTTCCTATTGGGATTATGGATTAGGATTGGCCAACCCTCCATTTTGAACAGTCCAGCTAAGGCAGCCCCCTTCCCCTAACCGCAAAGCCGGAAAATTGGTCGAAGAGGTTCTGTACAGTTTTCCTCCATGGTGAACGTTCGATAGGGGCAACCCTGGGGCTCCTCCCATGTCTGGGGTCGTTAATGTGGAGAAACTGGCTGTGAACTTCAGTCGGGAAATATCTCATAAGTGCTTGGTGGACATGAATCCTTGTCCAGCCAAGGGTCGTTTAAAATTCACATCCCAATATGAACCATTTGGACACATCAGCTTGGGACCCGATGCGAAGCAAGAGGGGTCATGTCGGGCTCGGAGACCTCGAGGTGTGGCCACACGCTGCCGGTACTTGGGCTTTCGGGAGCACATCTACACCGGCAGGGAGGGGACCGCCCGGGGCTTGGATTCCCTGCGTGTTTCGACCCCTAGGCCTTGGAACCAACAGCTTCAGCTGGCACAATGGGCCCCCTCCTGTTGGATTCCTCCCCCCCCGTGCTCCCCCCAAAACAAAGCAAACGAGGGGGAGAATTTGGATCCAAGCGATCTCCACGCATGCACTTTTCTTTGGGAGAATCATGTGAAGTGGGGAGACCTTTAGGTGGGGTGGGGTGGGGTGTCCTATTTTGACTGCCCGTTTCGACAGGCGATCCAACAAGTTCCTAGGGGTTATGGGTCGGGATTTGGACGGCCCAGGGAGAAGCCAACGTGACCTCCTAGAAGTGTAAAACAACGTTTCAAGGCGCACAAAAAGGGGGTGCAAAAGGTCAAGTATGTTGGATGTGCAATCCCCCAAAAGGGGATTGGACAACCTCATTCATTGTTGAACAGAATCCTATTGATTGTGTTGATGTCGAGGATGGGGGGTTGATGTTGCTCTGGTTTCAAGGGTTCTCTAAAAGTGCCCAACCCCAATCCCAATACGCGCTCATTGGTCTGCTAGCATCATCTATCTTGAAAACGGGGATGATGTTGGGCGCACCCACCACAGGACGACTACAAACTGGGGGGTTACGCACCAGTTTTTCCATTGGCAGTGGAAGAGGTGCGAAGATGACAATTGACCAGTGCTCTAATAGAGCCACAGACTATTGGCTGTCCATGCCTGATCTGGCAGGGACGGCATCAGGGTTGCCCTGATTCGGCAATCAACCCAAGCAGTCCGGAGGGCTGCTTCAAGGGCACTGGGCAGACTCGGCAAAGCGCATCACCATTGAGCATGTTGCTGGTGAGGATTCGAACCTTTTGCAGGTCTAAAAAACCAGTCTACGGGGCCATTTGGCCACACCGGTCAGACCAGCCATGAGCATTCGGTTCCCCCTGCCATGGTTTCAAGTCACGGCGCAGGTGGGCAAGTGCCACGCAGCGGCGGAGTGGACCTTCGGCACCATCTACCAGCGCTTCCTCAGCGGCCCACGCCTCGGAAGGAAAGGAGGGCGGAGGTCCCGATATTTTCCTTGTCGGCCCGTTTAAGCATCACCTTTTGGGCCACTCTTAGATTAGTTTCCGTTTGGGATTGGCGATGTTTAAGGCGGACATATTTGGAGCCTTGGAGGGGGGTTTAGGTCCAACAAAACCCAAGGGAGTTCCTGCGGATACTCCCCTGCAAATTCACGAGACGTAGAGAACAATCTTGTGGCCATGGGTCAAAATCCCGTACCCCCAGTGAACATCCCAACCATCACTAAAATAGACTAAAATGGGTGGTGCACCTACCCCAAAATGGCACCATTGATTTTGACCCACAGCCATGTGTGTTTGTGTTGTGAATTTTAGACGCCACTTCTCTAGAATCCATTGATCGCCCAATGCCAGACACGTGTGGTTAGGGAAACGACTTCCCAAAAGTCATTTTGTTTACTCTAAGGGACCCGTGTCTTTTTTTGGAGCCTACCGTTTGGTCAAAAAGGGAGTTCAAAGGGGAAGCGGCCCGATTTGCGGTTCCCCTTAGAGCGACGCACATAAAGAGCGTTGCTTGGCTTTCAAAGGACAAAGATACAACAGCTTGGCAACACTCCAAACCTAGGGAAGACAAGTGGGGGACAGTCCCAGCCATGAATTGGTCTTGGGTAAACGGCTTTTGAACCAGCTGTTGATTGTGCCTCAGCTCGGCTGATCTTCAAACGGAATTGAGCCCCTTGGTCTACAAGCGGAAACTCACCGGAGCGGCTCCCGTGTTTTTGACCACTCGAAGCGCTCCATGACACATGGGGCCGGGAGCTTCGGGCCAAGGGCTCAAGTCCGACAGCGCTCACGGTCAATGGTAACCCCGAAGCGAAAGTTTGATTCATGGAAGTCTTTGAGCCTGCGCATCATGATGCTTGCTGTTTCTGCAAGGGCCGACGGCTCTGTCGCCGTGAGAAAATAAGGGACCAAGCCATTACACGCGTTATTCTCCCACGACTATGACTTAAGTAGGTTGGTTTTACGGTATTACGCAATCACGGCCCTTACAGTATGTTTGTTTGGCATACCGGGCACTTTCGCCGTTCCAGATCTCAAGTATGGCCTCTTTGGTCAATTCGGACCAGGGCGTCGTCCTGTTCCGTAGGGTGAACTGGGTTTGTCAGGTTGAGGCTGAAACCCTTTGCGGCTCGCCGACGTGCCGTGGTCGAAATCGCTTTAACTTGGAGTTGGTAGGGATGGTCAGATGGTCATGAACCCCTATAGTAGAGAAGTTGTACAGCCGCAACAAAGACGCATATCAGAGAAACGATGCCCATGGCCCAGACAAGGATGGGTTTTACGGATGCCGAGTGACTCTTGGAGATGTTTAGGGCGTGAGATTGATGCTCTGGAGATTCAGCTTGGACATGGAACTTGGATAAGGCTGGGAATGTTTCACAGTTCCTCCTGCGCATCTCTGTCCAGAACAGATGGAAAAAGGCCCTTGGACTACCGGTAAAGGGCTCGCGCTCCTGCACTCCCATTGCAGTCCCGGCTTGCAGCTGAGGCATGGGCACGCGAATGCATTACGGGCATCCCGATTTTGTGGACGGCTTCTGGGCCAGAAACCGAGGAGGGATGAGTCCGCCTTGGCTCGCTTTTTGGTCCTTCGTCGTTCGAGTCATCCGCTTGCACACTCGATGTCCTTTGGCCTTGGAGGGAAGCAAATGATGCCCCTTTAGATGACGGGGCCGAACTATAGGATCGCCTGTCACAAAATTGCCACTTGAGCTCTAGAGATAGAACAACAAACAACTACGATGGTTACCCACAATACACTTGTGGGTTGGTTGGGACCAAAGCACAAGGATTGAGTTGGGACCCTCCCAATACTCATGTACATTCATGCGGGCTAACACTAGACCGTACTTGGGGAACGCGAAGATCCGCAGTGGTTTTGATTTGTCATTCTGAAGCAGCAAGCACCTGAACAACAGGGTGAATATTAAAGGTTTGATATTTATTTCTGGTCCTCCTGGAGAACGGCTTTTTTTCTGCGATCCCCTTGGCGTGCCAGGTAAGGCCTCGCCCGTCGTGAACCTTAGCGAGGACATTTTTGCAGGACCGGAGCTCCACCAGAGGGGCAGGGAAGGGGAGGTTGGTTGTGGGTCAACCCCTTTTGGTTCTAGGGGCACCTTCCCCATTCTTTCTAGGGATCCTTCTTTTCAGGGAACCATCAAAAACCCAGGGAAAACAGCCGGTTTTTGAAAAGAACGACGGTTGAAAAGAATGGGGAATCAATCCCTTTTGGTACGCGTTGGGCGTCCCCTATTCTTGGTCCCTTTTCGGAAGCCACGAGGAAGTCAATGATTCGGGGATCCCATGTGTCGCAGATTCAGAGGCCAGAGTACATCTTTTGCCCACCCAACAGACATGGAAGTGCACCCACCCCTCTTGAAGGACTGCTTTCTTTTTGGCAAGGGGGCCCTGTTTGACGCACACACATTCGACAAGTGGAAGCCAAGCTTATACCCTTCAAGCTCGGCCTGTATTTTGCAAACTGCCCTCCCTCTCCTCGCGTTCGAGGACTTCTGATTCGACCTGATTTTTGCCCCGGCAAGCCCTTTACCTTCTAAGGTTTTTGCCATCACGAAGCAGCGATGACACATCTCCTGATGTGTGGGGTTGATGCCCTTTGATTCGTTGGGTGTAAGTTTTCTCCGTCCATTCGCCAGGCTACAACGTCCACATGAGAGAGGAGGCCTCGCCTCATGTGGATGCGCTGGAGTTCGAGAAGGGGCGAGAGGCCGGGCTTCACCTATGCGAGTTGGTTGAACATTGCCAGGCCTTGAATTTTCCTGCACTGTCCCTTCCCAAAAGAAAGAGCGGCAAGCTGAGAGTTGGAGCCCCCGGAAGTTTTGAGTAGGGCCCCAAGGGCCGCGCAATGGTGAAAGTTGGCTTCAGCTGGGGTCGCCTCCCCAAATATGAGACATTGCAGGGTGGACTAGAAATACGAAATATTGGCGACATGAAACTGAGTCTGAACTTACTGTACTACATGTACTCTAGATTTGGTCAAGTGCAGGTGCCAGTCACATGTAGTGGCCGCAAGGCAGAGAGCTCAGATATGCAAGGAACAAGAAGGTACACCTGCATTCTCTTGACTTTGGATGATTGGCAGCGTTTGCATTTTGGCCCCTGCTTACCATGGGAGCGGGCCCTTTCTCCAACTATGGGCAGGAAGCAACACCTGGGGGTTTGTCAACCATATGGCTCCTCCTTGGACTCGCCTTTCAAAGTGGCTTCCCAAAACGGGTACCCAATTTTGACAAGCCCTTATTATTGGGGTAAGTGGTGGGTAGTGGGGGGCATTCTTAACCAATTGACAATATCCGAGGCAGCTTTCCGGCCTATGCAGATCCTTGCAATGGGTCTTGGTCTGTACTTTTCTCTTCGCCAGGCGGCGTTCAACGCAGCGCTGGGAGCTCAACCGCGTATACATATATATATAATATACACATATAGAGATGAGTCAGAAGTAAATGGGAAGCGGCTTTAAGAAGCTCAAAAGCAAGCCATTCACTGCTTGTCTGGAAGGGGCCTCAAAGAACCCCCCACCCCCCAAAGGAAGCCTTACTTAAGCAGCCAATACAGTTTGGCGCAATTAAATATGCAGACAAGTAGATTCATGGCAAGCCGTCTATACCACATATCAGCGTGGCTGTGTTGGTTTTGGCTGTGTTGGCTTTGCCCGAGCTTTTGGATCTTAGAGGTTGAGTTACATCGATTAAGTTGCACGTGTGAGGACGAGGCGGTTTAGATGGCTGGCCAATACTCTCAGGAGAGGATGGTTTGGCGACTCGAGACACATGCATGTTGGTGTGAGCACTAATATGGGCGTGTGTCTTGTGTTTGAGGGGACCCTTTGTGGGGTGGTGTTAAACGGAATTTTACAGAGACGCCACTTTTGCTTTTTTCTTCGTCTGGCGGGGAAGCCGTTTATACACTTCAAAATGGCTGTGAGGCCGAAGGAGGAGTCCCGCGTGGTTTGTTGCCTAATGCCCCATATGATCATGATGATTCACACAGCACTGCTCAACTTGGTGTTTCACAGTGCTGCGGCTTATTCAGCAGTGGTTGCCAGGATAGCACTTGCTTTGGTAAGGCGCACCCTTGCCGAAGTGACAAGACACCAGAACGAAACTAAAACTTACACATGCATTATATATGTATGCACGCGCAGGCATACGTGTATGAATGGCTATCTATATATATATATATATGTATGTATATGTATATACACACTGTATACACATATCTTTGGTTTGAACGGGTGTCGGGCAATTCCAAAAGGACACATAGATAGATTGTATGGTCAACGTGTTTGCCATGGGCGCTGTGAGGAACGCTTTGCTCGCATTCTGTAGGGTCTCGGCCTGCTTTGAAGGTGCCTTGACTGCAAATCTGTTTATATAGCTGCACCGTCCTGGAGCCCTTTGACAGGCACAGTTTGCCTATGACTTTTGCATGAGTCATCCCGTTAGGCGACCTGCCTCATGGTCCATTGTTCAGACCAGCGTAGTTGTTGCTGATCCTTCGCGCTTACAGGCGAAGACGATGGCTTTGTGTGCGATTTTGAGCAGCTAAAATAAGCCCATCCGATTGGTATTGATATGCCGTTTGTTGATGGTTTGGGTGTTTCTTCAATTAGGCCAGCGTGGATGGTTTTTCCATTCGGTTCACTTTCAAAAGCCCCAAAGAAAGCGGCATGTGTCAACGTGGATGGTTTGCCTTCGTGTTTCCCTTTACCACCGAAACCATCCCTTTGGGACACCCATCTTGGCTTTCTTTTTTCTCAGGTCGAGCTTCTTCTCGAAGATCTCTGGTGGAAGCGTCGGCATTATTCGTTCCAGAGACAACCATTTACTGTGCGAAAGGACCGCATTTGGGGGTGGGGCCGGCGGGGTGGGGGAACGATCTGTTATCATGCATGGGCAACCCGCCAAGGCAATGACAGGGAAGTGAAGCATCGTGGTCGTTGGATATCATCCTGAGCTTGCTTTTCCCCCCCAAATCGGCAACCTTTATGGATCACAAAGCGAGTTTTTGTGCTCTATTGGCAATCAGCCACCAAAGGGGCCCGCAATGTGCGTGCGATCACGGCTCCAACATGTCACCCCTTGACGTCATCACTGTCAAGCAGTTGTGACCCATGACAGCTGCTGCAAGGACTTTTCTCTGCTTCCGCTGCAATGCTTGGCAGTGCCATAGAATGCAAAGGCCCAGACATCACTGAATTGGAATTGGGCGCATTCAATGTGCCCATAGACGTAGATCTTTGTTTCCTTACGGGGAGAAAGGCATTTGGTTGCGAAGGCACTCAACAAGACTTTGTTGTATTTACTGTGCGGACTTCTTTTTGCAGCAGGGAGGGAGTGCGCCATGAAGCTGGGATGTGTGCTTCTTAAGGAACTGCGTGGTGGTACTTGGATGAACTGCGAACCACGATACGTTCTGTATTTCTTGCAGACAGCAGCTGCAGAAGTGCTGCGTGGTCAGTTTGGTGGAACATAGGACTGGTTTCGGTTTGGTTCCATAAGTTCCGTGGAATCCGTGCCGTTTTGTTCTGCAAAGACACACAATGTCGGCGCGCAGGATTGGCATTTTGCATTCGTTATCTTTTTACTTCACCTCGGTTGCCTTTTACGCCGCTTGGCCAGCACGTGATTCGAGCCTGGCCGCGGGCGCGAGGAATGTGCCTTTGACACCAGTTGAGATTTTCTGACCAACCAAGCAAACCCATTTCAGGTCCTCCATGATGAGTGCTCTATATGATTCTTCATGGGGACTGCCAGAAGTCCCAACCAGTGACACTGGCAGGGACTAACGTTCGCAGTGCTGCGAACAGGCAGTATTTTGAGTCAACAGAAACTCTTGAGGTTGGATTCTATCCTTAGACGAGCTTGATATATCCTCCCACAGGTGTCGTGTGGGAGGAAGATGTGCTCCATGCCTCCGTCCAATGATTTGTGACCTGGGCTGGTGCCCGGCCCATGGCTCTCTTTGGCTGAGCAGCTCGACATAGAATGGAGGGTGTTGCTTGTGATGTCCCAGTTGAGTTCCTGGAGTACCAGAACTTTTCTGGTGGCGAGTGAAAACCGATTTACACGACGCCTTGGCTTCTCTTGATGACCAGTGAAACATGAGAAACGCAAGCCCAATCACCATCACCCCGGGCGAAAAATACCCAACCGTTTTGGAGACTGAAACTCAAAGAGCCCTTTATCGGCAGCGCCAGCTACGAGGGCTGTGTGGAATGTCACTCTTCGCCATGGTGTTTTCAGTGTTTTCGTATTCCTCTGCAAATTCCTCTAAGATTGGGTGTGGGTCAAAATTAAACCACTAGGGGACCGCAGGTTTTAGTCCATGTTTCCATTTACCAGGGTTCCATTTTGGGTACCTTTTTTTGACCCACAGCCAATTCCTAAAGCCTAAGGTCAGCAATCTGTTGATCGACATTTCCATCTCCTTATATGCCCGGCGCTCGGAGAGAGCGACTCTTTGACAGTTTTCCCGCCAGCCGAACATTGACCGAAATAAATTTGGAATTGACTTTTTAATGACGAATCTCATTGCCGATCTATAGCTGGTTTTCCAGGTTTGTTTGCCGAATCGTGACGCCCTAAGTCCTGTCAGCCTGTGATTTGTGTTTTGAGTCAATTGCCGCGATGACATTTGAAATTGCTGTGGCTGTCGTCACAGACTACTGGAAATCTGCTAGTCCTGAATCACGCTGGCAGGATCATGAGAAGTGGCAGTATTTTTGGACAAGCCTAGCATGGAATCCGACAACAGGCATGGTCGTTGCATTTGGCCGAGCTACTGCGGGATGTTGATGGCCTGAGCATCGGCTGAGGTCACCCTTTTCATAGTGTTCACCCTGGTGGGGCGCTTGGATGGAATGCTTGGACGTCTCGCCTGCCTTGTCAACCTCCCATTCCGCTGTACTACCGCTGAATGTTGCCCCCAAGGCCCTGAAACAAGTTGGGGGGGTCGACAAGTTGAGCGGGTCAATAAACAACCTGGGGATCAGAGTTCCTGCTCAAGTAGTCTCCCAGTAAGTACCGCTTTGTCGTGGCTTAGAATTGGTTCAGTATTCCTTGGAGCTGGCCCAGTCCTTTTTGGATTTGGTTTAGTATTGGCTTACTATTCCTGTGTATTTATTATTGGCTTTGTATTCCTTTGAGCAGCTGGCCCAAAATTATTTGGAATTGATTTAGTATTGGCTTTGTACTCCGTTGAGCTGGTCCAAGACTTAGTGCAACTCTTAACAATTGGTTTAGTAGCGTTTTAGTATCCTGTTTGTACTCTCCATTCCTTACCCTGAACCGCAGCATCATTCAGTTTCCGGGGCTTCTCTGTACGACCTGGAGTAACACCCCCTTGAAAATCTGCTGTGGAGGCTGTTTTAGTAAAGGGTGTCATGAAGAATGGGGCTGTTTTGCACCTCGGTTTTGCTGGCTCAGGACTGGCTTAATATTTGTTTAGTAGTCTAGCATTGGTTCGGTCTAGTATTGTTCAAGTATTGCCAGGGCTGGGTGGCGACAGTTTTGCCACCGAAGAAACAAGTACCTTGTGCGTATTGCCTACCCTTTTTTCCAGCAAGGGGAATAACTTTCGGAACACTTTTTGGTATACCCTCGGAAGTGATTGATCGCTATCCGACGTGACTGGCTTCTGCATCTTCCAGCCAACGCACGAATCCACCAGGTTGATTCATCCGGTCGATGATGCCCCTAACCCCGAAAGTTTGAACAAAATTGGCTGCAGATCAATCGACCCCCTCATCCTTGGTTTAGATCGGCACGACACGCAGGGATTGTTTGTTTTTCTTGTCATGGCCGGCCTGGCTGTCGGCCGGTTGCCCTGAGGATGTCTAGGAGTTTCCACTTGCTTCACCTCGGTTCTAGTCGTTCTACACCTATTTGTCCCAAAGGACACTTGGCCAAGGCAACTTGAATGAAGAAGCAACAGCCACTGGATTTGAAGGCGTAGCGCCATTTGGGTGGGACGCATCCTTCGCTTTGAGCAGACCTAAACCACCCCCCGCGCGTCCGACTCCTTTTCTCTCCTTTAGGGTGGGTTTATCATTGTGTGTGATGTTTTTCAGGTTGGACATCAAGCCTTCGGCACCGGTCTTATGATTTTGTTCGTTTGATCGAGCTTCTTTTAACTGTGAGTTTCTGGGTGGGAATTTTGGCACCTCCAGGCAGGAAGCCACGGACCTTGAAGAAGGGACGCGAACCACAACCAAACCCGCATATCCGCAACCCTTGTTGACCATGGGTTTAAGCTATAGTAGCATGGGCTCTACATCTCCAGAAGGTCTTGGACGTCAATTTCGGGCCATTGAGGGCTCCGATTCTTAGGGAACCACACAAATGTTCCAAAGCCAGGTACCCAAAACGCAACATTTACGTTTTGAGGCAGGTTTTGACTGAGGCCAACATCGACCTGACCAAGCTCTCGGCCCTGGGCTCCTCCTTCAGCTCTGCCGTGGGCCCAGCCAAAAGTGAAAAAACCTTACGCCCGGCCTTTTTTCGGGGCTTGGGCCACATGTTTGGATTTGAGCATCACCTGGACACAGTAGAGGTGAGGTGCCTTGGGTGCGGGAAGTTTAGAGCCATGCCGGACAGGGAGAGACGCAGGGCGGTGTGGATCCAACCTCTCACTCCAAAGGTTTGCAGTGGTGGCTTTTTCTCGGCAACACCAACACTGCCAACACAAACACCTGCAGAGGTGTTTGCAGCCAAACATCGCGCCGATTCGTTTTTGTCGCAATTCGTGAAAAACATCCTGGCTTACCATTTCAGTCAAGCGCCAAACAGTTAGACCGGGCTTGACCGGTCATCTCAGCAACTCCGTTTCAGAGGGCATTGAGTCTAAAGTGGTGAAGTTTCTGGCTGGGCAGGAACTTAACCTTCCGGATGAATGTTACTGGGTTCTCTTTGTCTAGCATGCTTTGTCCCTGTGAATGTCTTCTTGGAGCTGCCAGCGACACATTCTGGAGCAACCTGAGTTTACCTTCATGTGAACACACACCTCCAATCAAGACGGGGATCCAAGCATGGCATCTCAGTAAATGGAAAACATCCTCGCAGTCCAGTTGAATGCCCACATACGCGATTTTAATAGGTGGTTCTACTACATCACGTTGCTCGGGACAATTATAGGGCCTGTGCAAGCCACAGCCACAGCCAGGTGAGTAGGACCAAACGTCAACGGGTTTGGTCGCTTACCCAACCTCAGCCAAGCCCGCGGAGGAGTGGCTCTTATCCCTCGGGATCATGAGTGCGGTTCCTGGATCGCAGTGCCCGCCCAGCTCGCTCAAAGCTTCCGGTAGATCCATTTGGGAGGGACTTGGGGACCCACCAAATTTCATACGGTGTGTCGACGTTTCCCTTTTTGGAGAACAGAAACCTCGCGGTCCAAGTGTTCGCTTACGTTCCGACATGCACATATTGCCTTATCACCTTTCAGGCCAGTTTGAAATGAGGTTCGCTCAGTGTGATGTTAGCAGGGGGCATGCATGGCGCTCAGGTGTTGTTTGACCTTGGCTGATGAAAATCACTAAAGCTCCCAAGGAGCCATCCCCAACTCACAACGGCTGTCATCCAAACGCAAAGGGGTCCATCTCCGCCAACGCAACGAAAAGGCGTCTCAGTTGTAGCACACACTGCTTTGCACGTGCCAGATGTATGAACTCATGGCCCCCTGGTATGAACCTATATTTCACAGCGCAAGCTGGAAATCATTTGGACCCTTTCGACAAAATGGGCTTCCATGAGTTGGTATAGCAACCTAGTAACCTCATGAAGGCAGCGGGGAGCGACGGGATGGAGGTTGCTTCTTTGAGTCATGTCTTGTTTGCACTCGGCCATTAGATGGCAATGGAGTTGTCATTGGGAACCCTGTGAAAACTTGCATGGGGGATTTAACATAAGGGCCTAAAATGATTAGTCGCATGCTCCCATGATCAATTCTTTTCTCTGGCTTTCAAAGCACGCCAGAATCTCACTCTGATTCTAAAAGCCAATGCAATGCCCTCCCATGCATGTCATAGGGTGTTCCTTAGCCACACGAGCCTTCAGACATCATTTACATGGGCTTTGTGTCAACCGACCAGTTCCAATTAAATTCCTAAAGCCTTAGGTGATAGCGCTCCCCTTCCCGCAGCTTTCGACCTCGCTTTGTGGACGCCTCCGAGGTCTTTTTCCACAGCTGTTCGAGATGATCCTGGAGCCTTCGCCTGAGACGAGAATGCCACCGATTTTCGCAAAGGCCAATTGAATGGGTGGTTCTACGGTTCTATTACAAAAAAGGACAAAAAGGCAATTTTGGCGGGCGGTTCTAAGATTCTACTACAAAGCCCTCCAAAAGCAATGTTAGGGGGTGGTTCTACTACCTGGTTTTCTGAAGTTCCTAGGTACTGGGGTGAGGCCAATCTTAGCAGCTCAAGTGGCCTTTTGGTGACTAAACATATAGCTATCAACAGACACATATATAATATATGTATGTTTTGTCTGACATGGGAGATACACCCCTGCCAATTCTGCCTTCTTAGTTGTTTTACTGGCATTGGATGGGGTCTAACATATACGTGTATATATGTATATATATATATATATATATCTAAAATGATTAGGGTTAGACCAGCCCAGTGCCCTTTGCCCTGCAGCAGTCGGACACATGCAGGTAGGATGGTAGTTGTGTGTATGTAAGAAGTTAGGCCGACCCGGAGACATCCATTGGTTTGGGGTGGTTTCGCAAGCTTGGGAATCTTCTCGGAGGTAGAGAAAGCTCAAAAGGAAACGACCCGTGTGTTTGGTGTTTTCTTTGCATTTGGCACCATGGTTGGGGGAAGTAGGTTGTCGCTTTCTGTGATACCAAGGGCACCCCTTTACAGTAATAGAGTCATCATAGGGACGGGCTGTCTTTGCTATGGCAGTCTACTCCAAATGGCAATGCATTGTAATAGGTGAAGAGCCTCAAAAGTGGAAGATGGACATGAATCCTGGATGTCCACCAAGGGGTCCCAATTAAACTTCACACAGTCTTGAAGCCATTCCCCCTCCGTGCATTCGAGGTTCGGAGCGGTCAGGGCGTGTAAAGAGGTCTTTGGTGGACTGATCGCAGGGAGCCCAGGGTTGGGCGCTGTGGTGTTGGGACTTTAGGGCAACGTGTGATAGTGGAAGCCAGGATTTATCACGCTGAATTGCAAGCATGATTCACCCGTGATCCTGAGGGAATTGCGTGAAACGGTATCGCGGCCTCATTTTATTTGTTGAGGGCCACTCATAGAAAAACTCTGAACAGTGCCTTAATTTTCCTATGGATATTTTGTCGTTCAGGCTCATGGGAGATGCTTGATCAGTCGGTTGGTCATTGACAATGCAAGCTTTGATTCCGCGTGGGCTTTGTTTTACATCATAGCTGATTTTCTTGCCGCGGTTTTGTTCGGACTGAGGCATCCACGATGTTCTTTATCTTCCAAAACAAGAACATCTCGGCTGCCCGGGACTCGGAAGAGAGGATCCCTAGCGAGAAGAGCCGCTCGATGCTCAAGGGCCGACAGTTTTTTCCCCCCCCCCCGCTTCTGTGATACAAAGGAATCTCCCCCTTGATATTGGGGGGTTTATCCCCGCTTCAGTGATACAAAGGAAGGGTTGGGGGTTAGTCTTTGGGAAGCCCTTTCTGTTGTATCGCAGAAGTGGATTCCATGTCCCACGCCGCGTGCAGGCCATGCGCGACGGCGCGGCCTCTGGGGTGGCGAGGCGGGTCCGAGTCTGCGGGTCTGGGGCTCGCGAGACGCGAAGCCCCGAAGACGCAAAGGGCTCCGGCCGTTCCTAAATGGCTGTGGGTTAAAAATGGGTACCCCAAATGGAACCCTAGTAAGTGGAAACATGGACCAAAGCCTGCGGTCTCCTGGTGGTTTCATTTTGATCCTTACCAAAGTGAATCCAGCTTTGGGCGCAAGGGCCAAAAGAATCAGAATGGAGTCGCGGGGTATGAGACTGAAACCAGCTGTCAATGGGAACAATTAGAGCGTGTGATTCGGCCCTTGCGGGGGGTGAAAGGGAGCTGGTTGCCCCGGAGACATGTTGGCCCCCAGAAAATCAGGAGAGGAGAGCCAGTTTGTATAGGCTTCGGCTGGGGGCCCAGGAATGCGCCGGGACAAGACCTAGGGGCTTCTCCCCCAAGCGAAGGAACTTTGAGGGGTTCTGATAGATTCGGATCGAACCTTTGAGGGCTAGGACCCCAATGTTACTCTGCAAAACTGAGACCTTCCGGCTGGGGACTGGAAGCCTTACCGTTTTCCTCTTCACTTGCATGTGTTCAAAAGTCAAAGACCCAACAAATTGGAGAGGCCTTCAGAATGGAAAAGTAGAAAGTTGGTGGGAAAAGAACAACTGGATGACCTTTGTTCGACCGCTCAACCGTTTTAACCCTGATCTGCGATGGAGTGCAGCTGTTGTTGGCGGGGGGGAGGGGGAACATGGGTGTTGAAACGCGAATCGCACAGAGTTCGCGTTTGGCACCTTTTGGATTGAAAGTAAAAGCACCACCTAGAGGTGTAGATAGTGTAGGAGGGTCAAAATATCCAAGTTTGGGTATGGGGCATGGGTAGCTGGCCAATTTGTTTTTCCACAAATGCCAGAGAAACTCGTCTAGTTTCCCCACGCCGATTTATGTCATTTGGGTCTGTTTTTTCTGAGAGTACCCCTTTTTGTGGCTTAAAACGGAAACCAATTTGTTGGGGTCCCCCAAAATGAAATGAAAGACACACCCATGTACGAGCATTATGCGAAGTGTGAATTTTCGCTCTGGCTCTCCCGTCACTGGCCCACTCGTCTCGCGAGGTACTTCTTTACAGGCCGACCACTGGCGAATCAGCATCAGACCTGGAAGGAGACCCAAGTAGCACCCTTGCAGATTGACATGGAACCCCCAAAAGCGTCATCCATTTGAGCAAGCTATGCTAACGAGCTCACAGATTCTGGGATCCCTTTTGGATGCCATGATAAATTGCAGGGGAGCATGCTTCCAGAAGAGATCTGAAGGGGGATGCGAGTCAGAGCAGGGTGGTGGAACCCTGCGAGGGGGAATGAGTTTGGATGTTTTAGGCTGTGGGGAAGCGCTGGCCTTGTCAAGAATTCGTCCGGGGCCACATCCAAACGGGCGCTGCCCCTACTTTCTGAAACCAACCGGAGAGGGGTCCTCCTTACGCACACCCCTATGCGGGGTTAGCAGTGCCCAAGACCTTCCTCTTTCAAGGTCGTATTCCAGTGCCTTTTTCAACAATAAGGCCTACATAGACCGTTGTAAATATGCGGGGGCACCCAACAAATGAATAAGTTGGCGTTGCTGCGTGAAAAAGGCGAGCTCCACAAGAGTTGCCCTGCCAGGACAGCTACATCAGCTACTGGAAGTCTCACTACTCACCAGCGATCCGTGGAGACCTTAGTCGGGGCTCAGGAGACGAAAGTCCACTCCATGTACAGCCCAACTGGCTTCAGTTGGGAATCAGGAGCTACAGGTTTTGGAAAGGAACCGAATTTGAGATCCCCTCATAGGGGTAGCAAGTCGGGCATGGGCTGCTTTCAAAGGATCGTGGATCGCGACGTGTGCGGCTTCTGAGGACTTTCAGGGTACAATGCAGCTGAGGGTACGGAGAAGTTTGGGTCCCTTAAAAACCAAGGCGGAGAGGAAAGAAATGGTCTCAAGAGGTCAGTTTGTTTGTTAGAGCATGCTTGCCAAAATATGTTTATCCAGGTGTGCCCACGGCGTTGCCATGCACTACGCGTGAGCCTGAGGCCTCATGGTTCTGTACATCGTGTACAACTTGCTGGCCAGTCAGACCTTCCAGGCGATGGCGCACGGTGGTTTTTGGGTGTTTCTACGGCCACGGGACAAATGCGACTCTTTTGGGCGGCCGTTTACTCCATGTGAACAACAAATGGCCCATTTGCTTTTGGAGTACATTCACTTGTGGTTTTGTCCTTGCTGGTTTTCTGACCCAAAGGGAAGGGTCTGGTCAGTAGAGTTTCCCCAGCGCGAGAAACCTCGTTTGGCATCCTTTCGTCGAGCAGCTGGCAGCCACAGCCACCGAGAAAGCAGCCAGGGTCGGCTGCCCATGTTTCTGGTGGTGGTGTCCTTTATCTCCTGGGCCCAGCACTTAATCCCAGAGATCCAGATGAGGGAGGGAGGGGGATAGGTTTTTGGTCGGCCAGGATTGAATTCTGCCCTGGAACACGCTGCCTTTGATTCGTCCAGAGAAAACTTGCTCAAAGCAGGACTCAAATTCCCTGCGCATGCCAGTGGCCTTGCGCAGCGCGCACTGGGCTGGGGTTGCCGAGTCTGCTTTTGGTAGAAAGCATCCGCCAAGAGTTTTCAATCAATGCCGAGTAGAAAAACAAACGCCGGGCAAGAAACGCCGAATAGCCGAAACACACGACTTTGGCACGCGGCTGTTCACGCCTATTCCCCTTCAAAGTTGCGGAATGAAGGAAATGGCCCGGATTCAGTTGTTTTCAGGTAATGCCCCATCCCATGCCACAAACCACCCAAGTGAAGGCTTCGTCAATTCTTGAACCGGGGCCTTCACGAGTGGCTGTGGACGGGGGATTTCCGCCGACTGCCCCGAAAATTTCCGCCGAGAATTTGGGGAACCCAAAGCACTCAACGTGATATAGGGCACGGGCCTCAGGGGCCCCCAGTCTCACAATAAGGGCTTTGGCCTAAAGAGTTGTGTGCAACCTTCGGAAACTCAAGGCACGCGTCTATTGCACAACTGCACGGGGCGCATCAAAACAAAAATCAGGTCTCCTGGAGGCCGTGGCCAGGCACAGATGCAGGTCGAGCAAACACGCCGAAGTTCTAAAATGGCCGCGTTCTGGCATTTCCGCCGAGGGATTGGACAATCATTTTATAGGTCGTGAAGAAGCCATCGCCCATAGGAGTTTTCTAGGTGTATATGTACACACAAGCATGCATATGCGTATGTATACAGGTATGCATTATGTATTTGTTTATTCTACCTATTTTTCAGTCCACGATAGATACATACCATGTAAAATCTCCTTTGCCTTTGCTGCCTTTCGGAGACGCGCTATGCCCAGGTTGTGACCCCTGTGATCTTTGCGCCTTTTCCACGGTGCGAGCTCATAGAGCAGGACGGGGGCTGCTGGAAATTCTGCGCCAGATGTGGCAATTTGAGCAAACCAGTTGAAGCTTTTGGACGGTGTTTTGGGGGGAAACCCGATTTTTGTCCGAAACTGACTCAGAGGCAGTCTAAAGGGTCATGACATGACGTTCCCAAGCTCCACTTGCAGTGGCTCTGAATCAGTCCATGTTTTGGGAAGCAAAGGTAAGCTTGCCAAAGAGAGAGGGGAGTCCTGTGTATGGCTTCGTGGTTTTTCTTCTTTCTGTTTGTCAATATTTGTTTCTCTGCACCACTTTGAAACCAAGGGAAACCATTGTTTGTTGGTATTTACAGGCCAATCATCATTCGAGGGTTTCTTAGGTGGGGCAGGATTTTGTCTATCCACAGTATGTCTCTGACTGTTTGTTGTCCAATCGTGATTTATCATGTTTTTTCCTTTGTTTCTGCCTTTATTTCTTTCTTTTTTATATGTTGTCTACATGTCTTCCTTAAACAATAGGAAGGCTATTCCTCCTTTGTTGTTTCCACATGTTCCCATTTTGTACATTTAGTTCTTTCTGTGTCCTTGCTTTATGTCTTGCTGCAATTCTTTCTTTCTTTCTTTCTTTCATTCTTTCTTGTTCCCCGAAGCATTGCAAAAACTTCTTCTTCTAAAAGCGGCTGCCAACTTCACCTGCCAACTTTTCGAGAGTTATGTCACCTGCCAACTTCTCATGCCAACTTTTCGAGAGGTACTTCACCTGCCAGCTTCTCGTGTCAACTTTTCGGGTGTTATCTCATCTCATTATCCTAAAAGCACAAGCTAACTTTTCGTGTGCTACTTCACTATGCTGAAAGAACAAGGTAACTTTTGCTTTTGTACTTTCACTTCTCGACTCTTAGTTCTTCTTCTTTTTCTGGCGGAGGCCTGCCGGGAGCTCACGAAACGTACCCCTCTGCGGGGATCGTGCGTGTCGGATCGCTCTCGCGGTGGCGCCGTGCGAATTTACACTCGCGAATTGGCTTTTGGAAGTTGTCTCTTGGTTTGCGCGCTTGCCTTCGCAAGCGTGCGGTCACGGGCTCCGGCGCTAAAATCGCACCTTTTGAGTACAGATTCAGCACGCGAAGTGCATTCCTGCAGCTCCGGCTGAAATCGCATGTTTCAAGTGCGCAAGCAATACGCGAAGAGCATTCACGCAGCTCAGGATCGAACATCGTAGTAGCATTTGAGCACGAAAGTAGTACGCGAAGTGCATTCCCATGGACCTGGCTCAAGGGTTGCAATTTTAAGTACAAAATAATGCCGCGGCTCCGGCTGTAAGTGACAAGTACAACATAGTGCGCGAAGAGTATTCCCGCAGCTCTGGCTGTAAGTACAAAATAGTGCGCGAACAGTATTCCCGCAGCTCTGGCTACAAGTCTTAACTTTTTGAGTGCAAAAGCAGTACGCGAAGTGTATTCTCGCAGCTTTGGCTCGAGAAGCGCAGTTTCTAAGCACACAAGTGGTACGCAAAGAGCCTTCTTGTAAAAGCGGCTGCACACTACCCCTGCCAACTTCGCCTACCAACTGTTCGAGGTACTTCACCTGCCAACTTCTCATGCCAACTTCTCGAGAGTGACTTCACCTGCCAACTTTGCCTGCCAACTTTTCGAGAGTTACTTGACCTGCCAGCTTTTCACGCCACCTTTTCGAGAGTTACTTCACCGTGCCAGCTTCGCACGCCTTTTCGGGACTTACTTTGCCCGCCAACTTCTCGTGCCAACTTTGCGAGAGTTAAGTCGCCTGCCAACTTCGCTTGTTAACTTCGCCTGCCAACTTTCGAGAGTTACTCCACCTGCCCACTTCGCTTGCCAACTTTTCGAGAGTTACTTCACCTGCCAACTTTTCGAGAGTTACTTCACCTGCGAACAGCTCGCGCCAACTTTTGGACAGTTACTGCACCTGCCAACTTCTCGTGCCAACTTTAGGTTAAACTTTTTCTTCACCTGCCAACTTTTCATGCCAACCTGGAGAGTTACTTCACCTGCCAACTTCTCATGCCAACTTTTCGGAAGTTGCTTCACCTGCCAGCTTCTCACGCCACCTTGTCGAGAGTTACTTTACCTGCCAACTTTGCCCGCCAACTTTTGCTGGGACTTACTTTGCCCGCCAACTTCTCGTGCCAACTTTGTGAGAGTTAAGTCGCCTGCCAACTTCGCCTGCCAACTTGGCGAGAGTTACTTCACCTGCCAACTTCGCCTGCCAACTTTTCGAGAGTTACTTCACCTGCGAACAACTCGTGCCAACTTTTCGGGATTTACTGCGCCTGCCATTTTCTCGCGCCAACTTTTCGAGAGTTACTTCGCCTGCCAACTTCTCATTCCAACTTTTTGGGTGTTGTCTTGTCGTCCTAAAAGCACAAGCTAACTTTTCGGGCGATACTCCACTATCCTACAACGCACAAGCTCACTTTTGCGTGCAAAAGGAGTCGGTTAGATTAGCTTAGATTAGCCTAGATAGATAGCAAGATCGAACAGCATGGACGCTGCGAAGCAGTCCTTTTTCGGAAAGGTTCACGTGACCAGTGAAGCTCGGAAAACAAGAGCTGTTGCTTTCGAAAGGGCTTGTCCAATTTTGCGGAGCTCGTTTGGAGAAGACCCTTGTTTGATTTGCAGGGTTCTTTCTTTTCGAAAAGCGTTTCTGATTTGTGGGGCGCTCGTTTCGAAAGGGCCATTGCTTGTTTTCCAAGGTGCGGTTTGGTCCGTCAGAGCAGGGGGCGTAGATTTTGAGCGGACCTCTTTCTGACTTTTTTGTTGTGTTGTGGCGGGTTTTTTGTTTTGCAATCTTGGTTTGATTTTCAGTGTGTAATCAGTTTCCGGAGGGGTAGCAATTCTCAGAGGGTTCTCATGACAGGCGACACTTGTTCGGGTTAGCGCAGGTGCGTGGCTTTTGATCGAACCTTTGTTTCATTGATTTTGTGAGGCCCCTTTGACTTCAGAGGACCCTTGCTTGGTGGCACAAGATGGCACAGCAGCTTTTCTTTTAACATGCTTGGTTTGGGCCCAAAAAGTGGGCTAAGTACATCAGCCTTCCCTGCTATGGGCCCTCATTGTGAGTTTAATTCTGGAAGTAGACGCAAGTCGAGATTTGGGCTTGGTGCGGAAGCGCGCCATTGGCTCTGAAGGGCTTTAAGACAGTGCCCCCTTACAGAGGTCCGCGCGCTGTTTTTGCTTTCTTGCTTTCTTTCTGGTATTGAATATGCCTGCTTCGACAATTTCCGGGTGTGTCGCCATCACTGTTCAAAGGCTTTGCTGCGCCGCGTGCAGCCGGAGTCACATCCATGGTTAAAGTCATCTGAAAAACTCATATCCGTATCACACAACACGGGACTACCACGGGCATGTCCGACAGCTCCGGGCTCCACTCCCCGTGGTCAATCAACGCGACATTGATCGGATGCATACTTCGTGCAACAAAAGGGTCACCTTGGAGTGCCCAAGGCTCCCAATGGAGAGCCTGCCAATAGCACCCGCGTCGCGAGGATTTGAGGGAGTTTGCTGGCTTTATCAACGGTTCCTGGCTCAGTGCGTGGCGGGAGGTACCCAGTTCCATTTGAGCCAAACCCAAAGCGCGGGGAATTCAGGTAGGGGCAGTCCTAAGCATAAATCGGTGCGGCCCACAATGGATGACAGAAAACTTGTCTAGAGGAGGCCTTAGCTTCTCAACATCTGATGGATCAGCTCGGGTCCAAGCTCCCAGGTCGTGCTGGGATGTCCGAGAAGGAGCTTCCTGAAGTGGTGGAGCGCGGTCAGAGGCCAGCCTTTTCGCATTTTCCACCCAACCTGGGAAGCTTTGTAACATCGTGTGTTGGGCCATTTTGAATGTTGAGTTCTTGGATGACTTTTCCCAACAGGACAAGAGATCCACTTGTTGATTTTATGTTGCCGGGTCAGTTTAATGAGCGGATCAACAGAAGGACCCCACCAATGACCCCACACCCATCCATTTGTAAGAATGGAGCTTCCTTTTGGGGAAAGAACCCCCTTTTGGGGGCAACCCATGTGAAAATTCAAGGTCCATCAAGGTTTCATCCTCAGGATGTCCCTTTGAACGGTGGTTAACGGGAAGAAGCCCCAACAGTACTCGAGAGAATCCCAACTAAAATGCCACCGCTTTAGCGGCGCCCTGTCAATTTGTGCAGGCCGAACCTCGAGTTCGCCTTCAAACGATTTCGCCGATTTCCCATATTTCGCGGATTCGGGTTTCGTCAGGGGGCGAGTACGGACCATTTTCGAGTGCGGCCTGGTGGACGCGGTCAGCTACTGGACTGGCATGCGCCGGCCCCAAGCGAGTCGAACCCCGACAGCCCGATCCACGTCTGGGTGAAGCCTGCGTTGTTTGTTCTGAAAGTATGTGCCAATAGGGACCCCGTGAAGGGGTTGGTGGCATGTTCCAGAGGTTCTGGTGAGCCCCTCGCACCGAGGCCACTGGTCGTGCTTAGCTTCAACCTCTTGAGCAGGCACTTCGCGAGAGAGGGCTATGGTGGCGCCACTCATGTTTAAATGATAGGGCCTCAAAACCGGTGCCGGGGTTGTCCAAACTTAGCGTTTTGAAGGCGGGCCTTTGAACAGCGAGGTTAATGTCTACCTCATGAATTGATGAGTGTTACAATGCATCGCCAATAGTGAAGGATGCCATCTTAATGGGGACGTGTCCACCCCTATTCCCGCAACAGAGTTGCATACATACCTCTCAGAAGGTCAGATCAAAGCTTTGTGCATGTTCGCAATAGGCGACCCTTTGAATTGACTAGTTTTCTGTTTGCTCCCTTTGAAAGAGCACACAATCCCAAAGGATACCCTCAAAAAAGATACACGCACAAGAACTGACCTCCCCCAGTTTTTTCCTCAAGCCGGATGGAAGGAAGATTCTCTTCACTGGATCTTCCGGAAGTGCCTGATATCCAGCTTGCATCAAGCATTTGTGGCCCGACAGAAAGACAACTTCAAACACGTGATCCGGATCTGAATCCACCGAAAGGGGCTGAACCCCCATCTCAATCAACTATTTTTTCAGATGAGCCACAATAAAGCAAGTGAATACTAGTTGAGGACGGCCCCAACCAGAATCCGTGGCCGTTTAGGCATACCATTTAAATACCAGGTTCTGATTATGACTCACATGGGAGGGGAAAAGGAACCCCCTTGCAGGTTGCTCGTGTGTGTAGCTTTGGCGCGCGGTGGCCCAGATGCCGCAAGTCGAAGGTCGGGATCCAGAGAAAGCCCTGTGCTGGTTAGGCGGTGGGGTCGGTGTTAGTGGGTCCTCGCCATAGATTCCGGAGGAAAGACCGTAAAACGGTAAAACGGTTTTAACGTTCTCCCTGGTAAAACGGTAAAACGGCAAGACACGTCCCATCAAAGGCTTCAGAGGGGACAAGGGCTCCTGCTGTACTTGGGCTTTTGTTACAGCATCCGAAGATGCGCTTTCTGACCTTTGAGGCCCATGAATTAGACACTATGGTCTGGCCAAGACAGCACCGAAGCGATTGGTAATCTTTCCAGAAGAGGCAGAATGCTGCTGGAGTACCGAAGCGATTGGCGCTCTTTTGCTACCAAGGGGCTGGGCCACGGAATTGCCCAAGTCGCCTTGTCTCAACCTCCCAAACCCAGGTAAGTTCGAAACAGCCGTTGCTCTTTCCCACTCAACATGGGCAGGACCTAAGAAGCAAACAAGCATTGAATAACATAATGTTTACCCCAAATTGAACAACGCTCAGTCAAAGAACAGGGGGCATCCCCCTTACTGACACTGAGAATCCTTCATCCCTGTCGCACAAACCTCTGCCAACCCGGCGTTTATCTATATCAATATCTATATCCATCTTATCCTGCGTAGTCCTATATGATCCTTTATTATCCTATCATACCCTGCCTTACGCTGTCTTATCCTGTCTTGTCCTATCTTATCCCACCGTATCCAATATTATCCTATCGTATCCTGTATCCTATGTACATATATTCATCTATATCTATATCTGATCCTATGTTATCATATTTTGTCCCATCATATCCTGCCTTGTGCTGTCTTATCCTGTCTTATCCTATCTTATTCTATAGTATGCTTGCCCTATCCTATAACGGGAAGCAGCTGGCTTTTTTGAGGATCACACAGAACCGACCAGGAATCAACCCCTAGAAAGGGTATCGTGCTGCATGCTGAAAAATGGTAAAACGGTTTTAACGTAAACCGTAACAAGTTTTGATGGTTTTACCTTACAGGTAAAACGGTTTTACGGTGAAACGGTAAACTTTTTATGGTGTGACCTTACAGGTAAAACGGTTTTACGGTGAAACGGACGCTTTTCCTACAACATACAAACCCGCGTCGTAAAACAATCGATCGGTTTCCCAACCCATCCAAAAGGGGTCCTCTGTTGTTGGACGTCCCCAAATGTTTAGGTAGCATGCTGAATTAGGTGGGAACACTCCCAAAACGAAATCGAGACAGGGGGATGACATATTCGGTGGTTGAGATCACAACCACATGCGGCATTGGAACACGAGGTTAACGAGTCCAAGGTGGGAGCGCCCGACCATTCAATCATGTCGCAAGTAACTGCCATTGTTTTTCTCATTGCAAGGTGCCATCATTTGCATACTGGGCTGTTGTGGCCAGGCTTACGGACAAGCCAATTGCTTCGACCTGGAAACCAGCATCTGGAATCTGTACGCGAAGTCCAATCTCCTGGGTATGTGGAGCATGAACTGGAGTCTTTGGGTACCTGATTCCTCCTCAATCATTGTCCGTCCTTCGCCAACCCTGTGCTTCCAGTTAACACTATATATAGCCCAGGCATACTTACCTCTAGGTTGTACGTGATGGTTTCCCGCTGGTTGCCGATTCTGGTGGCTTAGAAACGGCCAAGTGGTCCGCATGGCTGGCCAAGGGTGGGAGGCACGTGGGGCTTAGCCTGGGCTCAGAGTCTGGCCAAGTTTGGACCTGGCCCACGTTTCAAATCCATTCTGTCCGCCCCCAATCCCAAAAGGTAAAATATTCGTTCCAGCTTTCTGGGTTGCGAGAGGCAGCCTTCCCTTGCTTTGGTTACCCTCAGGCTCATGTATTCCAATACAGGACACCTGGTTGTGAGCCCCTGGGTAACCAACATATTGTACGAGATTCGGTCAAACTGTCCAGCATTTTATGTTTGTTTGGGAGGGACAAGGGGGACTCATTCAATGTCCCACAAAAACCAATCGACTCACCAAAATCCCATGTCCTCAAGCACTTCATATGAGGAACGACGGTGTTTTTGTTTGTGTCATCTACTGTAGTAGAGGGATGACATTGGGCACACACTCATCAAAATACAAGAAAATGGAGGTTTCTCACCAAAATCCGGTGTCCTCTTTGGGAAACCCTCAAACAAAGATACCCTCAATGACAAATATAGTCTATATGTATATATCTATACATATATCTATCTATATATATATATGCACACATGGAAGCCTGGAACTTTCCTGGGGAGGTGGGACTCGCGCGATTCCAAGGCTTGCGCTGCCAGCTGAGATCATCGACTTCCTGTGGGCCGCTACTCCCGGAGCTTTCGTGGGCCCATGTGTGAGTGTCAAATGGGCAGACCCCCAAAACTACAGTAGCGGTTTTGCTTTTGTTTCCTTTTGAATAGGCTAGCCATGTTCCTCTTAGTCTCCAAAGCCTAGTTCCATTGGTTACACCATACAGGGACTCACTCGGGGAGTTAGGGATGGTCATGAACGCCTTGGGGATGTGTGACAGCCATGTACCATGGCCAAGGGCCACAGGAGTTTGGACCAGGATCTTTGATGGAACAGCATTCCAGCGACGGTCAAGTTTCAGCGTCCAATGTAAAGGGGATGACATGGGGCAGATTCGCCCAAGCACAATGAAGAATTGTGGAAAACGCGCCAATTCTCCATGTCAGCTGCGGGCTCGCGAGTGGCTGACATGGACCGGTCTGGATTTGGCTTGAGTCAACATCGCATGCAACATAACTCGGGCACCGCCCCCCAACCAACAAACCTGGATGGCTTTTCTTTGTGTTTTCCCTTTAACCAACTTGACCAGGTACCAAGTCCTTCAACAAACAGCAACACATGCACCCGACATCGAGCCGCCGGAGGTGTACCTCGTGGTGCTCAGCGTGCAATGGGTGCCAGGGGGCCTGCGGGGTCAGTCAGTTGTCTTACCCGCGCAATATGCATAGATAGATACTTAGCTTCCAATGTGTTAAACATGCATATTTATATACGCACATGCTATGCACTGGCATTGGTGTCTAGAATCTGTATATATGCAATTATCTATGTATACCTTTATTCATACATACATACATACATACATACATACATACATACATACATACATACATACATACATACGTACGTACATACATACATACATACATACATACATACATACACACACACACATACATACATACATACATACATACATACATACATACATACATACATACATACATACATACATACATACATACATACATACATACATACATACATACATACATACATACATACATACATACATACATACATACATACATACATACATACATACATACATACATACATACATACATACATACATACATACATACATACATACATACATACATACATACATACATACATACATACATACATACATACATACATACATACATACATACATACATACATACATACTTGCTTGCATGCATGCATGCATGCATACACACAGATGTATGTTGTGTCTCCACAAAATCATACACTGATGATGCTTGCAATCCGGGGCTCATTTTGTCGCTCAAAGCGATGCTTGTTGCTTGGCGATTAGATGGGGGTGTCAGATTCGCTTGGGACGTCACGGACCCTCCAAAGTGGACTTCCAAAGGACTCCTTTTGGGGTCAATCGTCCCAGACCTAGGCGAGCGATGTTTGTTTGCCACTGGCAGCAGAGTTGGGAACCGGGGCGCCTGGGCTTCAGGAGTCAGATTTGTGGATGGGGGACCATGGCATGGTGGCAAGAAGGACCCATGCTGGTCTCACAGGAAGGGTCGCTTTGAAAAGCATGAGCCATGGCCATAGCCCAGGAGTCTTGACATGTCTCGCGGAGCCCTGATGAATGCAAAAGACGATGCCAAGACAGTTCCATTCCGATGGTCAGGTTCTCAAGACACATGAAAGACCGGACCAACCTGTTTGCTGCTGCCCCAGGCGCTCTAAAATGCCAAAAGAGAGGTTCCCTCCTCCTGCTCAGATTTTCTACACATCCAAGGAACAAGTACTGAAGAGGCATTTGTAGGTGTTCGACTTGGGCGTCCATGCCCAAATTATCGGAGTGGCCCCCAACTCACCGCACATCCGAGGCTGGTGCTGGGCTTTTTCACCTTCGGTCTCAACAATATCCTCCTGACGTTGCCTGGTCGGAGATAGGTTGAGATTCGCTGGCGGTGAGCGGATGGCTTCCTTTAAGGTGAGAGAAAAAATGGGCCTTGGCAAAGGCAAACCAAGGGAAACCTATGTCCTACCCCTCTGGTTTGATCTCGTACGGCTCGGACTGTTCCCCTTTCATACCCTCCAAAAAGGGGCTCCCCATTTTGAGACATACCGCCCATGTTGAGTGTTAACTGCAGGGCTCGCACAAGCCAAAACCAAAGCAAGCAACCCAGCCAATCTAAAACTTTCAAACAACCCAACCCACCTGAAACCAATGCAGCAAGCAAAACGCATCTGAAACCAATCAGGTGGCCAACGCCCAAAAGGGCTGAACAGGTCACTCCAAGTTGAACCCACAAGTTGGGTCTGTCTCAAACTAGGCTTTAAGAGTGGCTTCCCTGAAATTTCTAGAAAAACTACAACCAGCAAAGGGCATCCGCCCAAAACATGGCATAAGAGACTTTGGTTTCCCAACAACAAAGAAAGCTTACATTTCCCGCAAACAAACAACAAATTCAGAAGCCTTCGGTTGGCAATGTAGGCAGCCTACCCATGTGCTGGCTGGCTGCAAAGCAAATGGCGTGCACGGGCCTTGTGCTTGGCAGTTTGACCTCATTAAAGTAATCAAACTGTGTTTCCCAAGCCAGCCAGACCAAAGCAAGCCAAAACATGCTTCACCAACATCATCAAGCAATGCTTCCCAGATCAAACCGGGATGAATTAGTTTATCTTTTTGCAACGGACACGTTTGATTTTCTCTCATAATCCATAGCCCATGGCGCGTAGAAGGGACACCGGTTCAAACTGTGAACCCCTGTGCCAAATGTCGCGCCTTGCTACGCCGAGGTTATCGCTGCTCGTGTGGCTTTTGGCCCTTGGCTAAGCAGAGACAGGGATTAAGACGAATGTTTGGGGGGCCTGAGTGGAGCGCCACGCACCGAACGTTTCGTCCAGATCCAAGATGTCCTCAAACAGAATTGGCTGGCGGGTCAATGGTTGAATATAGACTGTGAGAGGTTTGTTTGTAAACTCAGACTGCAACACAACATGACAGGCTCGGCATGATTTTTGGTCGGGGTCCCTTTGGCGCACATCGTGTAGGTGGAATTTTATGCCCACCAATCCGGTTGGCAAGGTGTTGCCCATTGAATTCATAGCAACTTCAGAAGAGATGGCTTTGTCAGGTTGCAGCGCCCGAAAAAGAGTTTGTGGGGCTGCCTGCACAAGTCAATTTCAATGTCCTTTTCTGCGAAGAGCACATGTTTTTGGCATAGCATGTTACATTAATGCTACGCGGATGAAGCTTATGATACATTCTGCTTGGTACACAGGCAAATGCAAGGCGCCCGTGCACCTGTGTAAAGATATTTTAAGCACTTGTTTCTGACATGGACACAAGCTCTCCGAACGGCTTTTCTTTGGCTTGTGAGAATATGGCCGATTTCATGAATCCGTCGGACACGGATTGGTCAAGCTAATGCTGCGAGTGAATTCACGAGAAGGGACCCCCCGGATTTTGTCAGCTGTATCTCTGTGGGTTAGTCCCTTTTGATAGGAATACCATGGAATACTCACACTGTGGAAATTTCTAAGGGGTCCAAACGTGTCACCCCCAGAGATACAGCAGAGCTTTGCTTCCTACAAGATATTCGCAGAAGACAATCACGTGCCTGGAATTCCGTGACCATTCAAACAATTGTTTGGTTTTCAGAACCACCATTGTTTACTGTTCAGGAGCTTCATCTAAACTAGGCCTCGGCATTATTTTCCTGAGGGTTGCCCTCCCACCAATGAATATGGAACCTGACAGGGGGGTCCTGGTCGGGTTCAATGTAAATTGGTGGCACATTGAGTCCATTTGGGTTCAGCTGCCACGCGTGTTTTTTCCCGCGAAGGTGCTTCCAATCGGCCGTCTGGTCATCGGGACCAGGGCTGTGAGCCCATCGCTGTGGGCGCGCTTTGCTCGCTTTCAGCGCTTCGAAAGTCGGTGGTGGCACCTCAAACATCGAGTGGCTGAGCTTTCATGTAACTCCTGTGGAGACAATTGGCCTTTGTATTAAAGCCAAAGCTACAAAAGGTTAGATCTTTTGCTCAGGGGTAAGAGCAAGCCAGCAGTGATGTCCTTCGTTCGGACGGAGGTTCCTCGTCTTCGCTTTGGGCGGGTAGGTAGGTGCTCCTTTTCGGACAATGCTTCTTCCCCATGGCCACTGGAGCGTTGGGAGGTTGGGACCTGTTTTGAAAGTACCCTTTCATTCCGTTGGTGCATTTTGCTTGGATGTTAGGACTTTAATTTTTTGCCAACTAATGGGTTTTCCAGTAAACCGCTAAAAGTTAAACTTTTAGCAGGGGAGCAGAAAGCAACCGAGATTCCACCAACAAGCATGGAAGCGGGCAATGGAGGTTTGATGGTAGTCTTCCAAAGCTCTCCTATCCGCTTTCAGCATTGTTGCAAAGAGGGTAATTACCATAGTGTGTGACCCAAAGAGGGCCATGTGGTCACCTCCCACGAGTTTGGCAGCTGCAAGGTACCAGGTGACTGGTCATGACACCGCTTTGCAAAACAGAGAAGACAACCCGCCTTCCTGCTTCATGCGCCAGATGCGATTGCCGGAGTACTTCATCTCCTTCCTGGTTTTTCTGGTGTTTTTGGGTCGGGTGCCAAGCCAATCGAGGTTCATCGGCTTGGAGAGGGCGTCTCAAGGTTATTTTGGGATGATATTCCTTTGACGCCACAATTTGGGCGTCTTCCGTTTGTTTGGGGGGGAGGATCTTCTTTTGGTTTCCAAGGGAAACTAGGAAAGCCACCATGTGTTGGGTCTAAAAAAAGAAACACCTATTTGGAGGGCAGCTTTTGATGACCCGCGGATCCGAGCCCACCGGGCTTGGCTGGGCACCAGAAGTGTCCCAGACTGTTGGCAGCCACTGCCTTCCACCAGATGTATCTAGATTGCTTGACAAACACACATCAAGCCACCATGATGGCATCGTACATCAACTGGCATATGAGCGTGTACGTGTGTGTGTGTGTGTGTGTGTGTGTGTGTGTGTGTGTGTGTGTGTGTGTCTGTGTGTGTGTGTGTGTCTGTGTGTGTGTGGGTGTGTGTGTGTGTGTGCGTGCGCGCGCGTGCGCGTGCGCGTGCGCGTGTGCGTGTGTGCTTGTGTGTGCGTGTGTGTGTGTGTGTGTGCGCCTGTGTGCGCCTGTGTGCGCCTGTGTTTGTTTGTGCGTTGTGTGGTTGTATGTTTGTGTGTGTGTGTGTGTGTGTGTGTGTGTTTGTGTGTGTGTGTTTGTTTGTTTGTTTGTTTGTTTGTTTGTTTGTTTGTTTGTGTGTTGTGTGTTTGTTTTTCTTTGTGTTTTGTGCCTGTGCTTGTGTTTGTGCTTGTGTGTGTGCGTGTGTGTTTGTTTCTCTCTTTGTTTGTTTGTTTGTTTGTTTGCTTGCTTGCTTGCTTGTTTGTTTGTTTGTTTGTTTGTTTGTTTGTGTGTTTGTTTGTTTGATTGTTTGTCTTTGTGTTTGCCTTTGTGTTGGTGCGGTTGTTTTTCTGTGTGTTTTATAAGACACCTCAACTAGAGTCTCGTTGAGGCTATGATTTGTTAGTTGGGATGTGTCTACTGAGGTTTGGTTCATCACGTTCTGTTGACTGCCTGCCGTGTCATCATCAGCATGCAGGCTCCGCTCCGGAAATGGGTGGGGCCGGGGTTGGTGGAAGATCAACATGGCCCAGCGCCATTTGCTCTGCTGAAATTTTGGCGAAGAAATGCAACTCAACTGGCAGTTTTGGGCGGTTGTCCCATGAGGGAATCTTCCATTCCATTCAGTTAACCCTCACACTGCCCGAAACACGTGCACAGCAAGAGCAGTACAGCGCCCTTCAAAACGGAATTCAAAGTGTTTCCAAACTTTCGGGCTTTATATACTTGTTGGCTATTGTTGGTTTCGGGGTTGGCTTCCCTTTTTCAGTAAAGATGCCAACAGACATCACCTGTTCGAGGCCCTGAAACGTTGCATGAGCTCATGGACGGAGCGAGCGAGTTGCCACTTTCACCCGAGCATGGCTCCCGCATCTTTTCTTCTTTGTTGCCTGGCTCGTACACATACAGTACACCAGCTGCGGAAACGACCTTTCAGGGTACTCATACGGCCAAAACGTATGTGTTGCCCGCGACCGCCCGGAAGCGGGTCCCCGAGACCTCCAAAAAGCGTGGCAGGCGCAGCAAAAACGCACTGGCCCCACCCCAGCTTCATGCTCCATACCCCCTTCATGCAGCGCGGCGACTTTTCCTGGATATATACTGTTATCATCAACACAACCCTAAATCTAAACCAGAGAAGCCAGCCTCGGATGCACCGGACAGCCAGCTCCAAGCAAACCTAAACCCTAGAAACCCTACACCATCCTACACCTAAACCCTAAAAACCCTCAAAACCCTAAACCTAAACCCTAACAAAAACGTAAACTTAAACTCTAAAAGCCTGAAACCTGAGCCCAACAATGACCCTAAAATCCCTGAAAACCCTAAACCTAAACCCTAGAAACCCTCAGCCTAATCCCTAACACCCCTAAACCTCAGCCCTAACAACCCTAAACCTAAACCCTCAAAAACATCAACCTAAACCCTAACAACCTTAAACCTAAACCCTAAAAACCCTAAACCTAAACCCTAAGAACCCTAAACCTGCCAACACGACAGCATAATAAGACCTTGTGGGCGACACGTATGTTTTGTGGGTACTCATACTTATTATTTGATTTGTTTGAGTGATTTGTAACGGAACTCAAAGGGAACCGCCAAACTCCCTCATTTAGAGGCGCTCAAACAGCCAGGCGAATCTTTGCTGCTTCGGCTTGGACGAGCGCAACCACAGGAGCGGCGGTTTTTATTGCGAGGCGAACGCAGGTGGAGGTGCAAAAGTGTTTGTAACCTCACAAAGGATGTGTGTGTTTTTTTTCTCTGGGGTACCGGGGCACCTATCTTGGGGGTCTCTTCTTGGCTTATTTGGGTTGGGGGTTCAGTTCGCCCAATACTTCGGCTTTTGAGCGACCCGATCCGTTTCCGCCAGGATACAACGATGGGTGAGGCTAGCTCATGCCACTTGGCCCTGCCTTTCTGCGCTGCCAAAACGGAGAGGCGCGAAATGCGTGAACATGGAGGCCGACGAATTGTCACTGGGAATGACTCCTTCGGCGGACATTATTTACCTGGTTAAAGTCAGCTCCCGTGAAAGTTCATGGCCAGCTGTGGAAAACCGCCAGATGTTTGAATGAATGTTTTAGCGTGCTTGACCACGGTTGGATCATATGCTTCAGGTTTCGACCCCGGAAGACTGGCGCTGAGAGTCGGAAGTTACGAAGCCCCGTTTCATGCCCTGGCAAGGAAGCGCTGTGAGTTCGGAGGTGAGCAACACCCCAAGGCCCTGGATGGGCATTTGAGTGGGGGGACTTCCACTGCCAACAAATCTCCAGATCTCCGCCCCTTGGATTCACAGACCATGGGCTTTGGGTCCATTGGTGTTGATTCAGGAGGGCCAATAGGAATCCACCCATGAGTTCACTGAGTTCAAGTGGGTATGCGTTAAAGCATGCCAAACGAAGAAAGGTGTTGTTCCTTGGCTTTCCCCTGAGGCCCGGGTGAAAACGGTACCGAGTACCGAGTCTCAATGCAGACACCCAGATGGCTGGAGCAGCTGAGGTCTACTTCTTTGGGCACCAGCTTCACACCCTGCAGGTGCCAGGGATGATATTCACACTGTTGATCGTGCTTTTTGCAAAGGCTCGAAGCCCAAAAACGGCAAAGTACATTGAAAGTGCACGGAGGTTGTTTTGGTTTTTCTCCCCCGCGCCATGTTAGACATGTACCTTTGGGGGGTTCCCTCAACTCGGTTTTGCGGCTCTGAACATGCCCAGAGTATTTCATGAAAGTGACCACACTTTCTGTTTGCCGGTGGGAGGCGTCGTGTTCATGTTCGATGCCCCGATCACTTAGCTTCTGGGCTGTGCACGGTTTGGGAGGGTCATTCAGTTGGTTGGTTCGTTGCTTGGTTAGTTGGTTAGTTGATAGTGGAGAAAACGCACTGCCTTAGGCCAATCCAGGCCCGTGAGACCACCAGAACCACTCGACAGAGTGCTCTTGGTTATTCAAGGTGGCCGGCGCGTTGCACCGTGGCACGAAATGATGGAACTAACAATGGAACTGGCGGGTGTTCAACCACAGCTGGGACTTCGGATATGCAAGGTCATTGCCCCCTATGAGGTTTTTCTTCTTATCTTCCCCCCGCAAAAGTCACAAAGGAGAACATAGAACTCTCATTGGATTTCCAGGGATCACCTGCCTTTTCTTCCAAACAAAAACTAGAATTGACGAGCTTTGGGTTCCTGCCACTGCAGATGTCAGGCCTACATTGTGCTGTCAGCGGACCTTCTGTCCTCGCTCTTGATTGCAGGTTTGGATAAGGCAAGCCACCGTGTTGAGCGAGGCAGCGTGACCTTGGGGAAGAAGGGCCCCAGACCAGGTTTTGATTGTGATTCACCCGGCATTGAACAAAGTCAAGCGACTCAGAGCCGCGCCCAAAACCCTGCAGTTGGCAAAGGGGTGCTACCTGCTTTGAAGTCAGCGAGCTTTTGGACCCTGCTGCTCAGTTGGCCAAAGCGAATCGAACGGATTTAAGCTCGGAAACGTGTCACCAAAGGCGATACTTGCTTAAGTCATGTTTCCTGATCCTTTGGCAAGCTAGGAGAATGTGTCACATGTGTTCCCAAATGGCTCGCTCCATTTTGGATGTTGTTTCTCGGTCAAGTTGGCACAGCACGACTTGGCGGCTAGAACAACTTGGCGATGGCATTGCCTCGCATTGAACTTGCAGTTTAGTTGTAAGAGCACATGGAGCCTCAGGAATGGTGGCTTCGTTTTTTGAAAAACTTTCCAGAAAGAAGAGATGGCGCAGATGATGCTTGCCACCCTGCAGGGTGTGTCTTCTGACTAGGATCGGTTTCTCCCAGCTCTTGCCCGCTTCACCCGGCATTTACTATCCCTTCTTGCGGCCGGCATGAAGTGTGTTCGCGTGCTTGCTTGTTTGTTGCTGAGCTGTGACACCGTAGTGGGTGCTGCTGCTGGTATTGACTATGCTGCCTTGCGAACGCAAGTCGAGCCGGCATAGCGCAGCAGGCAGAGGAGATGGCGCAGATGTCGGGCTGGTGCGAGGGCGGGGTAGTCCTCCGGCGAAAGCCGCAAGCATTGCTGCGCGCGCGCGGTAGCCCGTGCTTGGTGACTGCAGGGTATGTGGCAGCGGGTGGTCCGCTTTCGTACAACCCGCTCGCCCGCCCTGCATGCTGATAGTTTGCAGCCCAAGAGCTGCATGGCGCTTTGTTTGGGGCTGACCTGCTAAGCACAGGTCCCCCTGTTTGTGTGTGTGTGCTTGTCCATTGAAAAAGGCGAAAGTCATGCAATATTGCTTGGCACCGTGCAAAGCATTGCTGCTGACACAGCCGCGGCAATTAAAGATACAGAAAGGCTGGCCGACGCAGTGGTGTGCTTTGGCGGGGTGTCACGTTTGGGTGGCCCAGCAGCAGAGAGCGACTGAAAGACTGCTGATGCGGAAGACTTGGCTCAACTAAACGTGCTTGCGCAGGAGACGTCTTGCAGCCAACGGTGCCGTCGCAAGCCCCAGAAACGAGGCTTGGGCGTGTCCGCAGGAAAAGCGAGCTGGCAACCTGTCAATGATGGTAAGAGCTCGCTACTGCGTTTGCACGCCCGAAGCAGTTGGCGCGCCTTACGATGTGTTGGCTTTAGGAGCTTTACTTTGTCGGTTTCACAGCTTTACCCTGTGCTTGCCAGGGGCTTTTTGCGGCCTACATGAAGTGTATTCGCGTTGTGTGCTTTTGCTGTTGAGCTTTCGGTGCTGCTGGCGCTGACTATGCTCAACGACTCGAGCAGGCGTAGGTGCAGTGCAGCAGGCAGAAGAGATGGCGCAGATGCTTGCCACTTTGCAGGGTGTGTCTACTGACACCCGGCGTTTTTGTTTTGGATAGGATAAACCAGGCCCGAATGCCTTGACCACGTGCGACACGGGTGCAGGTTTGCAGAATACACACCTGGTGGTGGCCTCAGTTAGCCGCCAGCTAGCGGGGAGTCAGAGGTCCATGGACCCCAAGGACTTCAAGCCTGTGGTTGATCCAGACTTAAACCCATGGCCCGTTGTGAGTGTTGCAAGAAGCGGCACAGGGTTCATAGCGATCACCTGTCATTCAAGCCTGAGATGGCCTTTACCACCGCCAAATTGGTACCTGATCCTCAAAACATGGCATGATCCCTTGTCCAGGCTCATGGAGACTCCAGACACTATTTCGGCACCAACTACCCCCGGTAACCACGGTATTTCATGACTACGTCCATTGCATCCCTGCAACACGGTCCACGGACCGGTCGGGTCGGTCCCCCACTTATGTCACCGAGGCATACTAGAAATATAGGAATCTCTAGTTTTATGGGTCATTTGTCCCACCCTATGGATCTTGGGACCTCATAAACAAGCCATGTTTTCTTAATCCACAGCTTGAGACGACCTTTATGCAGTCCAAGGATGTTTGGGGCATCAGTTGGTTTCATGCTTGTAACTCACTTGGCTCGCAGGCTAGGCTCGCAGGCGCTGGCCCAAGGTGGCTCCTGAACTACGAGTTGGCGCGGACCGACCAAAGGGAGCCGTATCTCCAGAACAAGTCCGGCGCCCGTCCGCGCCAGACTGGAAGGGAAACCCTCAAATGAGTGTGCCTTAGAAAAGGGGACCCCCCCAAATGGTGAGTTTCCTTTTGGTTTCCCTTTACAACCACCACACAAATGGTACCCTCCAGAAAACACACACCCAAAAAAGCCGAGATGGTATCCCCAACAGTCCTGGAACTCTTCTGGAACCCGGGAAGCTGCTCCTGACGAGAGCAAGTTGGCCTTCAGGGCCTGTTCTTTTCAGCATCGAATCGCGGGATTTGAAGCCAAGGCGAGTCAGTATCATGAGATACTGATGTTTGAATCTGCTTCGATATTCACAGACATTGAGTTTGGAAGACTAAGTTGGGAGTGGGCCGGAGGAGATTGAACTGGTGGAAGCTGAGGACCCCATCAATCTTGTTTTTCCTTTGCTCGTTCATCTCCTCACTAATTATGACTTTCACATCCCTCAACACCCAGCTGCATTTGTTTGGGGGCGGGGGGGGAATAAGAATGGACAGGGATACAGGATTGGGTCACAAGGATTCTATAATTCGCGGCGTCAATACCCGCTCTCCTTTTTATGTGTAATAACATGGAGGAGCGAGGAATGGGGAAAGAAACGGAAATGATAGAAGCGATTGCCGTTGCTTCTACATCCGTTCCATTTCTTCTCTGTCTTCATCCCTCATCCATTAGCCATCGAAAGCTTGCAAATGGCGAGACGAGGGGGTTTCCCTTTGCTTTGCCGCAGCCCAAAAGGGCATCCTGGCCAGGCCACCAAGTAGACAGCCACTATAAAGGGTGTATTGCCCGTCTATTTTTGGTAGTTGCAACAGATTGTGCTCGAGTTGCATCCGTATTCGAACGCCATAGGAACCCATTTTCCCGGATGTGGTCTCCTTTGAAAACCCAGAGATTTCGTGAGGGTTGGGCCAAATTTTCCGTGACACAAGCCCTTTGCGCGTGGGATCCTCACGAAAAGCGGTCCCTTGTTGCCTCAGGCCCACGCTTCTGGAGCAGGAGTGGCAGAGGCCTGCGATCATAGCCGAGTGACCAGCCGACGCCGATTTGCCGTGGTGAGCCCACTCCCTTCAGGACTTGGAAGTATTGCTGAGTTTTGGCGGAACTATGGAACAAACCCTCGAAGGGGGGACATCTGAAACCAGAAAGGACACTTCCAGCGACACAGTGGGACGTGGTTGGTCTTGGTGGCTTGTTCAGAGTGATACAAGGCTGGGGATGGGAGTCTTGTGTACGCTTCGGTGCACTTCAGTGTTACAAGAGTTAATTCCCACATGACCAGAGGCACTTGATATCCGGGGTTTACCATGCACAAAGGCGTCTCGAAGACGTCGCAAGCCTTGCCATGGTTTGGGAGCAGCAATGGTTGCCTTTAAGAACGCATGAGGGTAGTGTTTGTCCATCGCGCCCCTTCATTCTGCATTGGACACCCGGGAAGGAACGAATTCCAGGGGCGCGTGGGACGTTTCTGGTCGGTCACCACATTTCATTGCCCAGGTGGCTTCACCCGAGCTTTCTTGAAGCGAGCTTCCCTTTAGGCTGGTTTGACAGGTTTGGTGGATTTTCTGCCAGGCACGGGCACCAGTCCGAGACCTCTTCCTACCTGGGTGGCGACACATCTGAGGAGAACGCCGCAGTTTGGCAGCACTTCGACTTGGGATGTCCCGAAAATTCCGCGTTCATTTGTTTTGCAGACATGGGGAAGCGGAAGTCAGTTTTTTTGTGAGTGTAGCGAGGCTTCCACATATCTCTCAAATTGATAGACAGCTGGAAGGTTCGAGGAGCCTCGCAAACCTGGGGCCCCGAATGTGCCGAGCCTTTGTTTGCAGACGTCGTGTCATGGAAGCTGCCGAGCTCCGCACTTGTTGATCAAGCGGTCCGTCTAGAAGCAAGGAACCACTGCCAAAACGGGCACCATCAATTGGGGGTGGCGGTTGTTGCTCAGCGATCAACAGTGATGCAACACAACCCGACTGTCATGTGAGCTGCGGTCAACTAATACGCAGTTTCCCGCAACTGGCCGATTTTGTGGGCTTCTCAGGTCCCAAGCCTCAAATTGCTACTCGAAATGTCGGCAACGAGCCGAAGAGGTGTCGATCTTCATGCTGTCCAGTTGCTCAATGGAGTTCGTAAATTTCAGACTAAGACCCGGTTCCCCTTTTTCGTGGCTTCCCCCCTAAACCGGTTCTTCCTTTTTTGTTTGGTGTTCCCACTAACACCGGTCAACCTCGTGTTCTACCAGCTTGGGCCGCGGTTGGGCCGCGTTTTGGGGCCGGTGCCGGGTCGCATCCGGCCGAGGACAGCAGCTCGTCTGAGGCGGGAAGACTGGAGTAACCCCGTCTGGCAAGGACCCACTTTCAAGAAACTGAACGGTAAACCATGCTGGTCTTATATGGTGAGTGAGTGAATGAGTGAATGAGTGAGCTAAGACTGCTGCGCTGACGCGCTAGGTTATACAGGGTTGGCTTATTGTAGTAACCCAGATTGCTTTCGGGATCAGACCCTGGTTGCTTTGCACGGATACCTTCGGGCCTCTCACAACACGGCAGATTGGACTAGACTTTGTTGAGGTGAAGCCAAAGGGACATCCCCCATTTTGGGTGTTCCCCCGTAGCAACTAAAACGACAATCAAATATGAGTATATATATATATATATGATATATATATATATAGACATTGTGATGACCAACAAAAAGCAACAACGTAGTATCAGCTTTGGTATGATATTTAAAGAATTCGACGAACTCTCACTCATTTCTTCAACTGGGACTTTGCTTTCCCAGTGTTTCTGTCGTTGTTCGCCGGCTTGCAGCAGTTGGCAGGCTGCGTCCCAGAGCCGCCTGCTGCCAACAGGCCAAGGCTCGGGGGGGGGGGGGGGCTGCTTGCGATTTTTTCGACGACGGGTAATTCAATGGGAACGGTCAGCGCCCACCGACTGCTTTTCGGACAGCATGCGAGGGCTTTTGCAGGCTCTCAGGAATCAGAAGGGTTTCAGTAGCCACTTTTGGATGTCCACAGGGCGACTTTGCCCATCCCTCAATTTCCTCAATCCTTGTTTTGGTGTGGGGATTTGACAATTTCTCCGATGGAGACTCTAGGCATTTGTTTCAAGGGCTTAGGGAATGAACCTGGGGATCCCCAACATCCATGCGAGGGACCCTCAATCCAAACATGCCAAATCCCAAGCAGAAAAGGGTACAATGAGGGCCCCCTCCAACATACGTATGAGTTGTGAGGTAGAATGACACCAACACCACTGCACAGGGGGTTTATCGTAGTACTCCTGCAGTTTCATCCATCTCAATTTGTCCATCCGGGGGTACGGCCGACCGTTCCCTTCTGTGGGCTCCGCAACCTCGGAAATCATCCGCAGTATGTCGGGATCCCATCCCAGCAAACATGTTTTTGGAGAATGCAGCAGTGCTTTGGGTCATGCAATTCAATCCATGTTTTTGGTGGACCGATGGGTCCGAAGAAAAGTGCAGGCTACGCGCGCGCAGCCCCGATCGAGGAGCGCGCTAGTGCGCCGCCCCAGTCTTTGAGTATCGCTTTTGTCAAAATGTTGGGACTCTGCGGTGGGTTTTCCTGTGCTTTCCTTTAAAACCACCAAAGAAGGAGTACCCTCAAAAAAAGACACCCTGAAATAGGCTGGTCGAGCCGCCCCAAAGGGGGTTCCTCAAAAAGGAGACACCCAGACAGAGTTGTGGCCCCCAATTGCTGCTTTCATGTCGATGTTCTTTGGGGTGATCCAACAGATGGCCAACACAGCAAGGCAGAAAGTAGGATTCCCTTGGTTTCCTTTGCAATGCACCAAATGTCTTCCCTTGTGCCCAGGTCTTGGTAGTGGAATCCCGAATTCGGTGATTTGCTTTTTCTTGATCTTGAACAAACGGTGCTCTCAAAGAAGTCACACTCCACATGCCAATGGAGCCTTCTCACAGGCAAGGAGAAGGGTGATTTGACAAGCGGCCAATCCTTGCAAAGCTTTCTATGACTTTCCTTGGGGCGTCCACTGTTCCAAGGGTTGCCAGTTCTTTTCCAGCCATTTGGAGGTTGCCCTGTTCAGAGGCGACCCCATGTTGCTTGCTTTTTGTTTCTGGAAATTTCCGGATGACCAGGTGCAGTGTCACTTTGACACGCAAGTTGAAGAAAAGCCACAAGTGCGTTGTTCTGGGTGAGCGTTGGTGCGTTTTCGCAGAAGCGAAGTCCCACAAAAATTGCTTTTGAACACATGTTGGAAAAGCTAGCTTGGACAGCTGTGGCCATTGTCGCCATCATCGGACACATTGACCGCCTTCTCCAACTCAGAAAGGAGCATCGGGTTCACATGGATCCGAGTGCAGCTAAGACCTGAACGGTGTCTGAAGCTGGCGGTTTGTGGAAGCTGAAATGAGCCATGTGGCAGCTGGCGAAGACTGAAAATGCACGCACATCCATTTAGGCAATCCGGTTGGTGTCATGTGTCGTTTAAGACACTTTAGAGTTTCTGTTTGTGGGGAATCCAGTTTGAGTGGACGAAGTAGTTATAGGGCTGGGAATTCACCTCGGTGTCACAGGACAGGCTTTGTCCACAAGCAAAGGCTAAGGGGCCACATTTGAGTTTGGACGCGCACCAAGTCAGCACCCAGTCAGGCCAATGTTTAGGACATTTCGGTTTGTTTCAAAACAGGGAACTCATTTTGAGGTGGACATCGGGATTCCAAGGGGAGCAGGGGCCGATTCGAGTTTTTCCTGCGTCCTTTGCCGGGCTGTGAGGCTGTTTTCCTGAACTGCTGGGTTTTTTCCTTTCTTGCGGCGCAAATTCCTGCCTCAACATGGAACGGCTAGCATTGTAGCCGGAAGGAGTTTCCAGGTAATGCACATTTGACTGACATCTCCGAGGCGTTTGGTCCACAACGCCCGGCTGGTCTGGAGGAGTGTGGCCTGCTATAGGCTGGAGCATCAAGACATGGGTGTTGTCAATGGTAATGATTTGTTTGAGTGGTAGTACAGGAAAATCGAAGCAAGACCATTTTGTAGGGTCGCCCTATGTTGACACGCAACCACCTGAACAGCAACACGTGGATGGACAAAATCCGCTCCGCACCAGTTGGGATGGATGACACCCTTGGACTGCGAGAAATCACCTCCCAACTGCAGGCTTTTGACCATCCGCAGTAATTCTTTCCCTGTTACTTGCTGTGGTTTGGGATGACATTGAAGAAGCATTCACCCAATAGTAATTGGGCAAACGGGGCTCAACAAAAAATGGAAATCCGGGTTGCTCACCAAAATCCAAAAAGTGTTGGAATGAAGATAGGAAACCCCGCAACATGGTTCCTTTCTGTTGCCCTTCCATGCTGTCACTTGCTAAACGTGGCCAATCATGGAGCTTTCTTCGGGGCCTTGCGAGTGGACCCTAAAGCTTGGGCCACCCAAAGCAACCTATGTGTGTGTGGTGTGTGTGTGTGTGTGTGTGTGTGTGTGTGTGTGTGTGTGTGTGTGTGTGTGTGTGTGTGTGTGTGTGTGTGTGTGTGTGTGTGTGTGTGTGTGTTTGTGTGTGTGTGTGCGCGTGTGTTTGTGTGTGTGTGTGTGCGTGTGTTTGTGTGTGCGTGCGTGCGTGCGTGCGTGCCTGTGTGTGTGTGTGTGTCTGTGTGTGTGTGTGTGTGTGTGTGCGTGTGTGTGTGTGTGTGTGTGTGTGTGTGTGTGTGTGCGTGTGTGTGTGTGCGCGTGTGCGTGTGTTTCTGTGTTTGTGTGTTTGTGTGATTGTGTGTGTGTGTGTTTGTTTGTTTGTTTGTTTGTTTGTTTTTTGTTTGTTTGTTTGTTTGTTTGTTTGTTTGTTTGTTTGTGTGTTTGTGTTTGTTTGTGTTTGTGTTTGTGTTTGTGTTTGTGTTTGTGTTTGTGTTTGTGTTTGTGTGTCTGTGTGTGTGTGTGTTTGTCTGTGTGTGTGGAGAGTGTGAATACCACAAAGTGTCTTTTGGTGAACGAAGTTGGAAAGGACGCACGCCTTTTGACACCGCTATATGTAATCATTGGTTCAATTAGCGAGCTCTGGATTTGGCGTGAGGGGCTCAATTTGGTGAGGCGACGTGGGGCATTATGAGGCTCCCTTTGAAACTATCGTTTGAGTCCTGCCTTCCTTTTGTCTGCAAGCGGGGCAAGTAAGACGTTGCTTTCTTCTTGGATATCCTTTACCACGAACATTTGTGGAGCTGCCCCATTTGCGTGACTGTCCACAATCATAGACACACCGTTTGCAATGTATTGCTCGCCAGAACACACACCTTTCTGCGATGCACATCAGGTGCTACCATAACTTTATTGGCAGAAGGGTGGATCGTGACAGACCCGTCCTGAGAAACATGTACCATCTCTGGTACCTCCCTCCTTGATCGCTGAGGCAGTTCAAAGAGCCCACCTTTAGCTTCTGGGGCTATGTTTTGTCATGGCCCTAGAAGTTCAACCATCTATGTCAATGTCCATGTCCTTTGAACAATTCGGTATATATATTAGGTACAAAAATACGTAAACAGATCGCTGTTGGCAGGTTTTGTGTGTGTGTGTGTGTGTGTTTGTTTGTGTTTGTGTTTGTGTTTGTGTTTGTGATTGTGATTGTGATTGTCATTGTGTTCGTTTCGTGTTCGTGTTCGTGTTCGTGTTCGTGTTCGTGCTCGTGCGTGCGTGGGTGTGTGTGTGTGTGTGCGTGTGTGTGTGTGTGTCTTGGCATTTGTGTGTGCGCGTGGGTGGTGCATACAAGTGTTTGATGTATATTATTTATTGTTTTACTATATATGTATTCTTCCATATGTATATATGTATAGTCTATATGATTTCATGTACATAATATTCACTCGTCCATGCCCACCTCTGTTGTGGGGTGATCACACCATGAAGCCTTCCCCCTTCGTCAACAAGTTCTACCTGCCGTTGCCAGGCGTGGCAGGTTCGATGGCATGAGATGTGAACGTCTCGGCCCGGGGCCTCGATGAGTGCGGCTCGAGTTCGGCTCAACCTCAACCGATGACATTGGACTTCGGACCGGCGGTATTTTCAGTGGACCATGGCAACCACGCAAAAAGTTGACCATGCCCTTTTGTTAATGGGAGTGCAGTGGTTGTCCTTTGGTTGAGGCTCTAGAACAACCCCAAAGCGGGTACAAGCAAAAAAGGATGCCAGGCAGAAATTGTTCGTCCGGTCAGGATTCGGATCTGCGGATTTGGGATCCCCTCTCGCACGCCGTTATTTTGGGCAGACAGTAGCTCTTCTCTACAGCTAGCAGCTCACCGCTTGCTTAGCTCTCCTGTCAGGAGGATTTGCGCTTGCCGCTATCGGGGTGTTTCCTTGCACAAGCTGCACTTGAGTGCATCGGTACCTGATGAAAAGAAGAAACAGCACCCAAAAGGAGATACCCAAAAGGGCCATTTAGGTTCGGTTCCTAGCTAGTTTCATGGTTGATACGGCCTATTCATATGAAGCATTTGGAGCCATGTCGGTAGAACCACACGTCATGGGGTTTGTTTTGCGCTGTTTGCCGGTGCCAGATGGCCTCGTGGGAAGTTCAGCAACACTTGGGTCAACATGGGGTCACCGCACGCGGTGGACGATATCAATGGCATCAAGATGTCAACGTCTTGCACAACATCCCCAAACATGCCCGCCCTCCAACCAGCATAGAACAAGCTTGTGGAAAATACTTTTTCTGCTTGAAGCCCCCTGCCCGCTTCCATTGGAAAGAGAGTGAGTGACTGATATGCTCATCCACCTCACATCTTCTCAAGCTTTGCTTGACCATATATTTCCCCTGAACTTGATTGGGGAAATGCAGAGAGCCCTTCTGAGGTCCGGACCTGCTCGCTCAAAACGCTGGCGCTTGAGATCTGGTGCGTCTAAACCTCCCAGGAAGCTCCGATGGATGTGGATCAAAGATTCGACCCCTTGTCCGTTTAGAGAACCTTCTCGGAAGAAACCAATGGCCCCTCAAACAAACAACGTGGGCATCCTCTTGGAATACCAATCTTGGCCGAAAAGGGTCGCAAAAGGAAAAGTTACTGTAGCTGAGGTTTATCATAGATCCCCTTAGGTTTGAGTGTCTTTCTTGTCCGCACCGCCGGATTTTCTTTGTTCAAGTGGCTGAGGGACCCTAGAACCTGTGGATCTACAAAGTCCACCGGCATTCATCGGCTCTTCTAGAATTTTTGAGGTTGTCTCTGAATCTTCGCCCGCCCTCGCTTCGAGTTTTGGGCATCAATTACTTTTTTCAGCTTCTTCAGCTCGATATTGAGGCTTGGCACGGCTTTCCGACGCACAGGAGCATTGGCAAGACTCAAACCAGGATCAGTATTGGCTTGTTTCAAGTTAGTTTTGTTATTAGGTTATTAGGTTGCACTTTTTGTTTTGGCCAATCCTTCAGTCAGTTTGTTCCTGGCAGAGCACGCTCGTTGAAAGCTGAGCTGAGCTGAGCTGGAAGCACTTAGGAAGCAGCATCCTGCACCCAAGCTTTAGGCGTTTCATTGTTCTGGGGCCGGGCTGGGCTTTAATTCGGAACTCTTTGGTGGGAAGCATTTACATGGCGTTTCTGTCCTCCAACCTTTTTTGACAGTGCTCCGAACTAAATGTAATAGCCAGTTTGTTTTCAGAGCGGCAAGCTCTACCCGAAACTTGCGCATGACGAGGGCGTTCAATCTTGGGCCTTCTTCATTTGGGTCAACTTGGGGTTTGGGATATGGGGCGAGACCTAAATCATCCCACACCGAGGCGTTGCTTGCGCCGTGACAGGTCACGCCTGCGAGCCGTGGGAGTGATGCTTCAGGAACAACTGGCACTTGGGGTGTGCCGTTGTTTGATTTTGTGGAACATGGGCGAGCGCAAGACTGGGTCCATTCAGGGGGCATCCTCAACCACCCGCAGGCGTGATCTTGCGAATAATTGTCTAAGGGACCCAGCAAGATCAAGTCTGTTCCTCCCCGCTTCAGGGCTTGGGTGCAGGGTCTCGCCTGCCCCTCTGGGTAGACTATAGGACAAGAGTTGGCTGCACTACCCCAGCTTGGCCTATTTACGATTTGCCTTTTGCAAACATTGTTTGGTCGCTTAAGGCTTTTCCAGTGTTTCAGACGCAGCCTTTTTTCTTTTGCACGGGTCTGGATTAGTTGGGTTCCAGCTTCCTAGTGGACCGCGTTGATTCTAAGGGTTTCAAATTTTATACCGAAGTGGAACTCTGGAGCCTTTAGATTCCAGGGTCAGGTGGTCCTCTCACGCGTGTCTCACATGTTTAACGGGGCCAGGTAGATGACTTCAGCTTTCTTGGCGTTTTGGACATTTGGGACCCAGCATGCAGCATATGCAAACACACACACACACACACACCGGCACCGGTGTTCATTGGCCAGATTGGGGCCAAGTTGGCGAGTGCGGCCAACTGTGCATGAACTAAATCCAGTGTCATACCACTCCCGCGGATCAGTAACCGGATCCAACCACGACATTGTACAGGTGCCGGTGACGCTCGTATCGTGTGCTTAAGAGCCCGAGATCCGTTTCACCTTTTGGCCGGAGCCTTGCAAAGCCTACAGCCAGGAACGGTGTCTGCAACCAGGGGTTGTACGGGACGGTGTGGTTTCAAGTTGCTTCTGCGTTTTGTTGCCCTCTTGTCACTCTAAGCATGTGTGAGTTTGTGTGAGTTTGTGTGAGTTTGTGTGTGTGTGTGGAAGGCATGTTCACCAAGCCGTGTGGATGGCTTGAGACCTTGTACCGCCCAACTCATTGCAACCCTAGGGGCAGCGGAGTTTTCCCCGAGGCACGGCCCAAGCGAAGTCTCGGAGCATGGCAAGCGGAGCGTTTTCCCCAGTGCCTGGCTTAGGGAAAACGGGCTGGCGGTTTCTGCGTTTTGCGTGATTTGGTGATGCTCGACCTAAATGAATCATTTAATTACTTACTAAAAGGGGAAGTACCCCTGATTACTACGATTCTGCGAACCAATCTGAAGTTAGCATTTGTTTTTTTGGTTGTTGTCTGGTTCTGTTCATTGTTTGTGGGGGGGCCTGCAACACACAGGGTCTTGCCACCATATCAAGGCTTGAGAAAATGAGGGGGGTGATGGGGTTGGAGGGGGTGCTATTGATGGGTTTGGTGGTGGCATGCCCCACTTCCACAGGCGGACCAATGTGATGAAAGGGCCTGTTTTGGACATCCCACACAAACACCCGTTTTCTGTTTTTAGTGTGACAGTCTGCTGCCGCGCATAAACGCGGCACGCTTTCTTGGCCGCTCAAATCCAGACTCGTGTGCATGGCTCAAGGACAGGGAAGCCGTCACTTGGGAAGACACAGGATATTTTGTTTGTGGATATCTTCACTCAGAGACCTGTCCATCACCAAGTCTTTGCTAAAGAATCCCGGACACCCTTTCCACCTCATTTGAATCGTGGTAAGACATTCGCTTTTGGCGGACTGCTATTTTTAGGGCAAATATCGTGCAGTCGGCATCGCGTAAGAAAGCTGCCAATGTCACAGAGTGCTCCTTTGGCTGGTTGGTTGAGTTGATCTCTTTTCGCAACCTGTCAGCCCGAGGTGTCCAATGTGAATATGTCTCATGAATTGCGTATAACACGTGGTTAGTTATTGTTATACAACGCACACTGTAACCTGCCACAATTCCAAAACGCAGATCACAAGCGCCAACCAAGCCGGAGAGCGCTGTCATCTTGAAATTGAATGGGCGACATGGACTGAGAAGGGCAACAGCAACTTGGCGGCACTTGGCAATTTTTGCCGTAGGATGCAACGCACAAGGCTGTGGTTACACTCTTCTGGCAAAATCATGGTGGAAGCCAAAACAAGTTTGAATGGGGTTCCTCGAAACAGGATGGTTTTGGTGGGTTTAAAGCAACTCGCTACATGTTTTCTTTAGTGTTACCTTGCCCTCCCTCGCCTTGCCGCGCCTTGCGTTGCCTTGCATTGCGGCACCGGGGTTTAGACTTGCTGGCTGTCAGATCTTGTTTCTACTTTCTTGCTTTCATTCTTTCATGCGTGCTGTGTGGCACTGAGTTGTTCGAACATTATTTAGCTAACACTAGAATAATTTGGCGAGATATTGCAAGCCCAAATCTATTATTCTGATCACCCCACACGTTGGGAGCCGGCAGCAAAAACTAAAACACCTACGAACCCTTTTGAGAGGTGCTGCCGAACCTTTCCTGAGCCTTTGGTTATTTCAGCCAAAAGGTCACCGCAAGGGTCCACGCTAGTCCAAAATCAACGGACAAGAATCCCGCCCCCTCCCTCCCGGTTCCCCAGATTGCACGGGTAGGCGAATGCTGCTGCAATGGACAGGGAGGCGGGCTGGGGCTTGATATTTCCTTATGCCTGTGATCATGATCCTGCCCAAAAGAAACATTCTTGGAGGCTTGGTCAAGTGCCAGATGTCGCCGCCCCCAAACGAAGGGGCAACTTCAAGTGGCTCGGGTACCGGGGAAGTTCGAGCGGCCTTGGGTCTTTGGGGGATCCTCAGGCATCGGTCTTGCCCACGGTTTGCGCAATGCAAAGGGCGATTCTCCCAACTCTGGTCGGAATGCGTATCAGCACTTCCGCAACTCTTAAGATTCTCAAAACCCGGTCGGCGCTCCCAATTTACAGGAAAGCAACTTGGACTCATCAAGAGCATAAGTTCTATGGGGATGTGTATCAAAACAATTTGGGGACCCTCAATGGTTGGTCCCCAAATTAGGGAGCCCCAAAACGGGTGGGGTCCCGTTTTGATGCAGCCAGGCTCCCCCAAACCGTTGGCAACCATCTCAAGTCTTGTTCCGATGAGAGATGGTAAGTCATTGAGTCACAAGTGGCGCGCCTGGCGTTTGCATTTGGGTTTGTCTCATGGGGGGAAGAACCCCTCCAAAAAATAGGAGTGGTGTCCGCTTGCCTAAAGAAAATATATCGCCTTTTTGGTCACGTTGAGACTTCATCATTGGAGGACTCACCGACTACTTTTTGTGGTTAGAATTGGCGGCCCTCGGGTCTGTCAGGTGGAGTTTTCCGTAGCACATCCTCACGTCTCCTTTTGGGGTCTTAAATGAACCAATGTTGGGCCCCGAACACATCTTATGACCCAAGTGGGCATACCATTTCTGGCGGTTTGTATATCCAAAATCGGGGCAGCCGCATGCTGTTGGTCTGATGCCAGTCTACTCGTACGCTCAGAGGCCGTGAGGGAGAGGGGTGGGGGTACCGGAACTTTGCTCCGTGTTGTCGGGGTGATAGATCACTTGCCAGGGAGAATGTGGTTAACTCCAGAAACACCACATCAACGACTAAACCTGTTTGGTTTTTGTGTTATTCTTTAGACACCATCAACAAATCGACCCCACATTTCAGGAGGTTCCCTCGAATGCCGTCGGCCAGCGAGGAAAAACCATGTACACATTTTCCCGAACGACAACTTTCCGCATGTGTCAAAGTTGCGAGTGATGCTTGCCAACATTTGAGACGCCTTTGGTGGTCGAATTATTCTTGCGTCGAAGGCGTGTATGTTGTCAGAACTTAGAACCACTGGCTTGCATCTTGATGGTCGCGCTGCTTCCTTGGCATGTGTACGGTTGAGTACTTGTTGTGGAACGAGAAAGCCTGCAGAGGTGCACTAGTTGACTTGTTCACGGCGCAGATGGGATTCAGATGTGTAACTTCAACCTTGTTGGAAAGTCCACATCGAATGGCATCTACCAGATGACAGCTTGTTCTCTTCATTGAGCGTTGCAGGAGGACAACTGGCAATGCCAGCCGCTATATTTGTTGCATGACAAGCACGTACAACTGCATCCATGTTGGGCAAACACATGTGCACAATAGCTGGCTCCCTGGGAGCCAGTCCTTCTCCTGCGATGTTTCCGTTTAGGAAGTTAACGCGCGGAACCTTCCTGGGAAGAGTCACCAGTTGCAGTGACTCGCGCCCCTTG